ACTATCTGTCGCGCAGCTATTTAATAACAAAATTTTTAATCGTATCCATAAATCCGTCTAAACAGTGAATCAAAGAGACGAATAATTATTAAATTATTAATATGTTAAATTATCAACTCACATAATGCAAATGTCTGGTAAATGTCATAAAGGTCTATCTGAACGTTTTTTAAACGTTAATAGACTTAAAAAAGGCATTCTCTGGATCATTGTATCGCTTAGGATAATTGTTAAGTAATTTAGATTATAATTAACATATAACATCAAAGAGAAGATTTAGATATATGCATTTTCGATTGCGAACTCGTGCGTATGTAGGAAGATGAAGGCTTGCACGGATACATATATTGTAGTATGAAGGCATATCTGTATAGAGGTTCGTTTAAAGTCTAGATTGTCGGTTAGTCGCCAGAGTGACCTCGGCTTTGCCTCATAAAGCGCCTACAGGCCTAATATATCATGCTTTTTGAGTGTGTGAAAAAGTCTAACAGATAGTAATATTGTAATACTATCGTAGTAACATTGTTACATTAAGTCCAGTAGTTAATTCTTTCCGATGAAATTTACGTAGTTCAGAGCAAAATTTGTAATTGAAATATTCTTCCTCTTTTTTGCGGTTTTAAAATGTTGACATTTAACTTTTCGAGATGACATATGATTTGACGTTTGATGCACAGAACTCTAAATAATCAATAGTGTTCACGATGACTATCAACAAGTTGGGAATAAGAAAGCTACTTGCGATCGTTTACATCGTATGGGATAGATACAGAAAGAAGGGAAGTGAGTTTCACACGAGCTAATCATTGACAACAAAAATGGCCACATGCGTTACCTTGTTTGCCAAACAAAAAATTTTTTTGTACAAAATCGTAACTGTTAACGAAAAATGTATTATATATAAAAATTCTAAACGCAAAAAATCATGGGTAGACTTTGGTTAACCGACAACGTCGACAGCAAAACCTGGACATTTAAAAAAAAAAATGTTCTCTGTACATAGTGGGGCCGAAAAAGTGTGCTGTACTATGAGCTCTTGGAATCGGCTAAAACAAAGAATTACCAAGAGCAATTGATATATTTGAACGATGCAATTGAGTAAAAGAGACATTTACTAGAAAAAGCAGTTATAAAATCATCCTGCTGCACGACAATGCTAAACCGCAGAAGCCATTAAAAGAAACCATTTACACTTGGGTTGGAAAGTCCCACACGCGTATTCTCCATATTTGGCTCCATTGCATTTTCATTTGTTTCGATCGATGTAACACGCACTACCCGATTTTTTGACATTTTTTGATGACGAAATTTCATCGATGACTTTATAGCCTCAAAGCCACCAAGTTTTTATCGTGATGGAATTCAGCAACTGCTCAATAAATTACGAAAGATCATCGATAACAATAGAGAACATTTCATTGATTAATCTTATTCTATTGATTTTTAGATAAAGATTGAAAACTGTCGAAAATCGGAAAGAATTAATTACTAAACTTTATATTATGTGAAAAATTCGGCGACATGACGATTGGTGACATCATGGATATAACACACACGCATACACACACACACACACATACAGTCACACTTTACATTATTTAAATAAAAAATACTCGCCTTAAACAAATGTAAGTTAAAAAGTTTCTGCCATATTTTATAATCTGTACTATTTTATAACCTTCACATACACATATGTATAACATTGATTTTTCCTCATAAGAAATTTTCAATTTTGACAAATGATATTTCTTAAGTCCATTATTTCCAATGTTGGAATAGTCCATCTATTTGAAATATAGATCTTTTAGCGATAGACACCGTATACATATTTCCTGAATATACCTTCCCTAAGTTATATTCTACAACTAAGATAATGAAACGAATGTAACGTCGTTATTATGTATTATCGTCATCATATTTTGCCGCAATAAACATATATTGATATGATTAACAATATCTTTTTCTTATAAATGTATCGAATAGTTTCTAAAAGATATATCGAAGCAGAAATTGCTACCAGTATAGACAATTGGAAATATAAAAACTTATATATATTTTTCTTTATATATACTATATTTTAATATTATGTATATAAAGCTGTAGGATATATATATAAATATATATATCCTACAGCTTTATATTTTATTCAAAAAAGCTAGAATATATTAAAAAATCTTTTTCCCTTCGGAAAGAAATGGAGGAATTATATTCTTTAATTCTGCAAATGGATTTTGATCAAATTATTATTTGAAGTTATAAAAATGTAAAAACATTAATCATGGATCGAAATAATACGATAAATCTTGAATCTTTCTTTATTGAAGAGAGATTAGAGATAAAAGTGTTGTATTTGACGTTTCTTAGAGGAACGCCTTGTATGTTAAAATTTAAGATTGATCTCCTAGGAAGTAATGTCAGGTTTCTACGTTGATTTGTGAGAGGTAGCCTCAGTGGATCGGATGATATATTAATGTGAGAAAAAATCGTAAAACTCACTGTTGTAACCGTTTTTTTCCTTACGATAATCTCAAGATCAGGTATACGCGGCCGCCTGCGTACGTCGCTTGTAAATCACGCATATGCGTCAAACGTGAGAAGAATAGTCACTCGTAACGTATGTTGAAGCGGTTTCTGGTTCGCTCGAAGAGCCGGTAATGAACTTAATGAGTTTCGGTATCGTACATTTTTTTATGATTATCTCACGGTGAATGTAAAAGATTGTTGAGCGCTTTAATAAGCCGTTCACGTGCTCATGAATACTCGTTGGAACGTGACATACAAGGTGGGCCAAAACATCTCCGGTAAACTGTTTTGCTTTAAACTTCTATGATAAAGAGTACACAACGTTTTGATCACGAGTCAATGAAGGAAACGCTTTTGAAGGGAACAAGCGTTAAACGACACAATAACGTATTTGATGACGTAATTACTAACTTATTTCTTATTTCCGTATATTTAACAATTAGTTTTATTTACATAATCTCTCTCTGTCGGAATTATTAAAAAGACATATGTCACATACTTTATCGCTCTTAATAATTTTGTTGTAGATACTTGACGTAGAGAAGCTGAGATTGCTCATAGCTATTTATAGTAATGCAAGAAAAAATGATACAAGCGGTTAGCCAAGCTATTTTTATAATCCATAATTATCATTTATAATAATTGATTTACTCATTGCTATTCATTTTCCCTGCATATATGTATACGTATGTATACATTAGAATTCATTTTCTTGCCGGAAGTCGAAGAAAACAGCTGAAGCCTAGATTCCTCCGTTAGATCTTAAGGAAAAAATTGCGTGGAATTCCCGCGGCTATATTCCAGGACATCAAAGATGGTGGACGATATCCTATAATTGCTTCGATATCAGCGAAGGCGATCGCTTATGATCGTTCGTGAATAATCAATATTCAACACATATGTTGTCACTGTCAATGTGTACAAAATGATGTAAAAATGCAGACTCATGTCCGCCAAATATATCCCGTTAATTATTTATCGAGTTGCGTCCTACATATGACATGAATAAAACCTCTAACCTTAAACATTTATTTTTTTTGCAATTTATATTCTGGAATTTTTGTTTATAACTACACATGTTGTCTTTACGCGAGAACATTATATTGTTTTCTTATTTTCATTTAATTGACTTTCTATCGATCTTTATTTAGATAAAAAATAAAAGACTATTTTTTAAAGCTGTGTGTGCAGATTTAAAAAATCGTCTTTCGCAGGATGATCATTTGCCTCTCATATCATGATTTCTTTAATCACGGAAAAAGGGAGAAAAATTTTTAAATGTCCGAAAAGAAAAGCATAACGATTGAGGCTAATCTCTAAACTACCAAGATTATCGTACATTCTCTTGGTACTCCTGACGGATATTTTTAAATAATAAGAAAGCGGAAGTATTCGCAGGAGATTAATTCATCGAATAAATATTTGTATTCGCATGTCAATCACTTTGTACTTAATGCGTGAAAATCATAAATCATCGTGAAAGAATTAAAAGATTCTGTCAATAACAGACACACATCACACACACACACACACACACACACACACACACACACACACACACACATCACAAGATATCTCATTAAAATTTTTTAAATTACACATGCCGTTGTGATTTTTCGAATTCATTGAAAAAACTGTACTTCCCCGGCTCAACCGCAATAAAATATCAAATTATAGAAATATCATGATGCGCCTTAAATTCCGAGAAAATAATAGCAATGCTGAATTCTCAGAAGATAACAATTTAAAAATATTGCTTCTATTCGTCGCCGTTCTAGCGATATCTCGCGCTTCCTTGTAACTTAAGATTTAATTTCTCTTTATTTATAAGGCTCGGTTATTGAGACATCTCCGTTCTAATGCGAAACATTTTTTTTTACATACTGCCCATTAGTTCCTTGTATCATTACATGGTATTTTATAAAAACGGGGGTCCGCGCGACCGTCGCTGACAAAGTGGATGCCTCCTATTATGCGTTATTAGCGAGAGTATATACGAGAGAGGTGATAAATATACAAAATGACATTGAGGTGCAGCGAGATAAGACCGCTGCAGGCTGCGAACGGCCTTCGTGAAACGTTTTGCGTTTGTCGGCTTAAATGCGTTCTTCGCGATGATTCTTTGGGCAAGTAATCATCATCGGCAATGTCAATGATCAAACGAACAATACCGCTTGCTCCAAGTAAATAATCGTCCCTCTGTCTTCTTCTCTCATATACCGTTATTCTATTCGCGTTATACATGTTAATGACATGACAGCGTCGATTCATCGCGGCCGATCGAGAAGTAGACGAAAGTATGAAGACGTGATGCGACGCGATTGTACAGCTTCCTATGGACGGATTCCCAATCAGAACAAAACCCGTCGACCGGATTGCCGATCACCTTAGCCTTGGCTGCGTGCGCTTGTCGCATTTTTTACTCCCGTTGTTTCTCAATCCGATCTTCCTTCAGCAAAGCGGTTGATGTTTTAGCGAAGGAACGAGCCGCCGAAGTGGGAGGCAAGATATAAAGACTTGGTAACCGCCGACGATCAGGATAGACGCAAATATCGTCATGTCGCAGTATCGGACGATCAGCCTTTTGGCGTTACTGCTTGCAGCATGTGTCCAAGCGCGAGGTATATCAATTACTTTCCTCTCGTAATATCACGTTGTGTCACCCTCATCATCATCGTCGTCATTATTATCATTTTAACGATCTTATATCTGGTAATAAGATGTAATAAAATAAATGAAGCTTCTCTGTAGCTTGGCTAATGCTATTTAATATTAAATGATTCGCACGTATACAAAAGCGTGCAATTTAATAACACGCGCCATTGAGAAAAAAAGTTTGTCGGAACTAAAAGTAATTGTTCGTTGCTCTAAAAATTGTTCGTTAATCGATTTCCTCTGTAACAAAGCTGATATATAAATTGGAAAATTCTGATCGTTGAATACTTTCAAATTCAGCTTTGCCAGGCAGCAAGCAATTAGTTATTTGCTGCGACTTGCATCTTCGTTAGAAAAGTTGAGTCATGCCGTTCCTTCAATTACTGATTTATTTGTTTCCTTGGCTGCTCGATTATGTCATTACCTTTACCTATCGCATTTGAAACTGCAGTTAAACGTTTCAAGCAAGTGAAAAATCTCAAGTTATGAAGCTGCAAAGAAATCTACGATATGTATTATTTTTATTTAAAAACGATGTTTCCGCGATATGTAATGCGCAAAATAGTAATTAATGTTTCCAAGATTCAGCCGTTAGTAAGACAGCGATAATCCTTTCGTCATACAACACAAATATACATTAATCACACACTTTTCTTTTTGTGACAACAGCCTTGCTTCTCGCTCTTTCTGAAGACGCACTATAAAAATCCAAAGCAAGTGCGCAAAATAACAGAATCTTCGTTCTTTTCTATGTCGGAAAATCGATAAGGAATTTCTGCTAAGAATATATAAATTTTTCGTAGATACTGATAGCTACACTTGAACTTTGACCCAAGATAATCTAGTTTCTTGCTTAAGTACATTTTCATTTTTCATAAATATTGAGCAATTTTGCATTTACTGCCTCAGAGCAGAAAAAAAGAGAAGGATTCGCATAAAACATATTCATATGTATGATTGTATTTTCAGCTTCTTTTTTTTCAAAACAGACCGACAATCTGTAGTGATTTTGTGATGCAGCCATAGCGGTTCCATTAAAAAGTCTAATGTTAAAGACATGTATTCGATTCTTTGGATTTACAGAAATCGAATTATTGCGATCGAAGCGTGGCGGCGACGGATCGTCGGCTTTTAGCAGCGCCAGCAGTTCGGCCAGCGCCAGCTCATTCGGCGGTGGTAGCAGCTTCTCCAAATCTGATGCTAAAGCTATTGGCAGTGGCTTGGCAGGTGCCCAATCTTCGGCAATATCGAGTGCGAACGCTGGTGGATATGGAGGTGGTCCCGGTGGTTTCGGAGGCGGTGGTCCAGGAGGTGGCGGTGGTCACGGTGGTTTTGGAGGCGGCAGCGGCGGCGGTGGTCACGGTGGTTTTGGAGGCGGCAGCGGCGGCGGTGGTCACGGTGGTTTTGGAGGCGGCAGCGGCAGCAGTGGTTTTGGAGGCGGCGGCGGCGGCAGCAGCGGTGGTTTTGGAGGCGGCAGTGGTCACGGTGGTTTTGGAGGCGGCAGCAGCGGCGGCGGCGGTAGTCACGGTGGTTTTGAAGGCGGCAGCAGCGGCGGCGGCGGTGGTCACGGTGGTTTTGGAGGCGGCAGCAGCGGCGGCGGCGGTGGTCATGGCGGTTTTGAAGACGGCAGCAGCGGCGGCGGTGGTGGTCACGGTGGTTTTGGAGGCGGCAGTGGCAGCGGTGGTTTTGGAGGCGGCAGCGGCAGTGGTGGTTTTGGAAGCGGCAGCAGCGGCGGCGGTGGTCACGGTTTTGAAAGCGGCAGTGGAGGTGCCAGTAGCGGTGGATTCGGTGGTGGTCACGGAGGTGGTCTCGGCGGTGGTGGACACGGTGGTTTTGGAGACGGTGGATATAAAGGTTCTGGAAGTCACGGTGGCGGCGGCAGCGGTGGATACGGTAATTTCCTTTTCATCGATTTTGATCCTTTGCTCTTGGAAAGTTTGTTCAATCAATTCTGTTGTTGTAAATTGTCTTCATCATTTGCGATGATTTGTCGTCTTCTCAGTATTTCGTTGATAAAAAATGTGGGATGATTATATTATTATATTACTAATTTTTCTATCAAGTTTGAATCATAATTGAATAATTGAACATAAGATATCTCCTGCTTACGCTTCTCTCAATACTTAAAATGTCAAGTTTCTGTATCCTGTTCGTCTAATTAATGTAAGGTTTCATTGTATATAATATCGTGAAAACTTTTTTAGGAGGCAGTGGAAGCTACGGAGGTGGTGGCGGTAAGTTGAAGATAGAGTTGGCATTCTACTTGTAGAAATTTATGCATGTATGTATATGTGTGTATATAGAGAATAGATAAAATATTAATATTAATAACTGAAAATTATTATTGTTAACAGTAATTTAGATTTATATGATCTAATATAATATTCTTTGTATTCTAATAAGATTTAAATTTCCGTTCAATAACGAGACTCAACTGACGACTTCGCGAACTTTTTTAAATATTTTAAAACAAATGCTTCCTCTTGTGCAAAGCTTTTGTAATAACTTTCTATAATTTGTTCTATAATTCTTTACATCTTCATTTCACGTTAACACTTAACATCATCAATAATCCATACAATTCTAGGTAGTGACGGTGGAAGCGATGTTAATAAAGTAAGTGGTAATTATGGTGGAGGTGGCGGTTATGGTGGTTCTGGCGCTGGAGGATACGCAGGAGCCGGTAGTTCCGGTGCCGGTAGTTTCGGCGGCAGTGGTATCGGCAGCGACCTTGGAAGATATGATACCGGAAGTAGTGGTAGTTACATTGGAACTGGCTCTGGAGTAGGAGGTGGTTATGGTGCTGGAGACGGCTTTGGAAGTGCCGGAGGTAGTGGTGGTTATGGTGGAGCTGGTTCTAATATGGGAAATGGTCATAGTGCTGGTGGCGGTGGCTATTCAAGTGGTGGTCACGGAGGTGAATGTAAGTGAATGTCAGAAATATATGTACGTTGTAAATACATGTATAAACATGATGATGATGGCACAGTTGGTGGAGGACACGAAGGAGGCGGTGGTGGATTTGGGGGAGGCGGCCATGGCGGAGCAGGAGGTTTAGGAGGTGGTCATGGCGGAGGAGGAGGCTTAGGAGGTGGTCATGGCGGAGGAGGAGGCTTAGGAGGTGGTCATGGCGGAGGAGGAGGCTTAGGAGGTGGTCATGGCTTAGGAGGAGGAGGCTTAGGAGGTGGTCATAGCGGAGGAGGAGGCTTAGGAGGTGGTCATAGCGGAGGAGGAGGTTTAGGAGGTGGGTATGGTGGAGCAGAAGGATTGGGCGGCACTCATAAAGGTGAAGGTTTCGGCGGCAGTAAGCGAAATTACGGATTTAAGAACAGCTTGGACAATGATAGCCGCGAAGATGAACTTTGTCACATTGTATTGAACATTCTAGGTGGATGTGCTGGAGGATGCGGAGGTGGCAGTGGAGCCAATGCTAATGCTCAAGCTAGCGCGAGCGCGAATGCAAACGCTGGCGCCGGAGGTAGTCACGGAGGTCACGGAGGTTACGGAGGTCACGGAGGTGGCCATACACCAGAGTACGTATTATTTCATTACTGAATATAAACGTATTCAAAGACAATGTACTTCAATCGCATCTGCAGTTTCAAGCGTTTTCGGAGAATTCACATGCATCAACGTCTTCATAAGAAAAGACGAAACGTATTTAAAATAATATTTCAATTTGTCAGGAAACCTGTCATGAAGAATAATGAAGCGAAGAATGGGATGTTCATATCCCACAAAGACTATTTATGATGTTTCGGTATTGTATAATGACATCGGAATTAATTTTATCAAATTAATTCGCATTGAATTTTCTCGACAATGAGGTAGTCAAGGTGAACCGGTTTCTCGATTCCAAGACAGAACGTTCCTGTATTTGAATCTCGATGACACGGATACTGTGTTTGATTATGCAGATCAGCAAAAACTGATAATTTACTAAATAAATATCTCGATAAGACATAAGACAGTCTAAAAATCTTAAACAGTCGCTAGTAGCGCAGTTTTTCAAGCATTTAAGATGCCAATTTTCGCATCTAACCAATGCATTATGCACGACTTATATTATAATCATTGAACGTCTTCTTTTATTTTGTTCTTCTAATTTGTTCGCAGTTTATTTTCCCGTATCGCCGAAGACGACGTAAGCCACAGTGGCACCATAAATGGAGCCAAGGGCGTTTACAGCAGCAGCGCGGCGAACATAGATAGTAGCGGTAAAGGTACCTACTCTGTAAAAGCGGGCAAAATCGCGTAAAATCGCATTTACGCGAATAAGTGCGAAAACGCACGCGGGATCAACGAATACTCAAGTTTTCACAATTAGAATTAGAAGATGCTCAAAAATACTCTCGAACGACCGACGGGCGCAGCTGTGATCGATTACAATCGTACATATCGACGCAATTGTAGCACAATGCAATAAAGTCTACGCTTTATTTATTTTGTAATCACCTGAAATGATGTGTGACATCTAAAATAAATTTATCAAATTGTATATAATTTTCTGAGTTTTTTACCTTATATTTGTTGACCACCCATAAAAAAATACAATAACGCTGTTACGTCGACAGTTATCGCTGCAGCGATATTTGTTTTCCAAGGACTTGTCCAATCTTCCGTAAAAAATAAAATTATCAATGCTAATCATCTCAGAAGTTACGACAATCAGCACCTAATGATATCCGGCTATTTAACAACGTCCACGTAGTTATCTGTGGCATCTCGTTTGAAAGATATGCATAATAGCAACTGAACGTTTCATTATACATCTCACCAACAATTGCAACTTTCAATCGTGGAATTTACATTGATTACATCTTTTCTCCTATTAAGTAAATATTTTTCAATCTTAATCCGATCTTATTTTCTGAGAAATTATAAATGATATTCACCGATATTTATTACAGAAAAATATATTAATATAAATGTGTGTACGAAAATTAATAATAATTGTATAATCAATAATTATTGATAGGAGAAAAAAATAGTGAATTATAATTCACTAGCTCATTGCACATGTTAATCAGGCAAACTGGTTTTTAATTTTCACTGCTAACAAATATTCCCTGTTTCGATGTAATTTAACATTACTAATCGTTGCGTAACCGGTAATTATATAAGTCTGAATTTTTAATTGACATTTGTTTATTTGTCGGAATTACAAATCCGGTTTTATATCTACTATTTTGCCACTATTGACCATCATGGACCTTGCAAAATAAAATGCATTCTCGGAAGAAAATTAAAAAAATCGACATAAGCACATCTTTTGTAGAATTATTAGCATGCGGTTATAAAGAAAATTTTTGAAGGAAAAAATTAACATTATGTATACGATATATTTCTTCAATTCGTTCGCTTTTCTTATCTTTTATTTTTTTTCTTTTTTTAAAGAAAGAAGCGCATTGGACAAGTGCTTCTATAATTTATAGCTGTGTCAGCAAAACCAATTGTAAAAGGAATTGGAATGTTAATGGAGCTGTAGATGACGGAATATTTAACATCGGAGTCTCAAACGTATCCTGTCATGCTCATCCATCGTGAATAATTCATAGCGGTTTATATATAGCTTGTGGTTTTGTTCGAAGTATACCGATGACATAAACGGTATTCCCGAAGGTATATTTTATCTACATTACGTGTGTGTCATTACCTAACAATATATTTTTTATATCTGTCAGGAAATCTTTAATATATTCAAAGATCGAATGTTATAAATATTAAAAATATTAAAGAGTGATAATTATTAAAGTTTTTGTTAAATGTATAAAATAAACTATTATGGAGATTATCATATATTAAATTAATAATTAAATATTGTAAATTAGAATATATTTATATATTATTTATATATTTCTATTATTTATATATTTATATATTCTAATTTATATATTTATAAATTAGAATATATTTATAATCATTTTATATACTTTCAAATTATGTGAATGAATTGTCTATAGAAACAGTGCACATGTGAATGAAAAAGGGATGAAATTTCACCTCCAGAAACTTTATTTTGAAGGTCATTGATAATATATCCTCTAAACTAAATAATTATCAAATATTTTTATATACACATGTAGAAACAATCTCTAAAATTAAAAAAGGGTATATTCATTGAATATTTCAGCATACCTTCCTTTTTTTTACCATGTCCTCATTATAATTTTTTTCTCCTACAGAGACTTCTTAACTTAACTTCTAAATATTGTATATTCTCCTGGATTCTTTCATCAACCTCTATCTCGGTTCTAAAGATATCCTACACGTCCTTAATTTATTACAATTAGTTTCTTAAAGATGAATGTCTGTATTTGTACCATATATAGACCTATGACTTTGAGATGTTTATATCACTTTTTTAGAGTAGTCTTTAATACATTTATGATTTTTCTCTGAAGCTGTTGAGCAATTGTAAATAATCATATTTTATTATATTTATCATATTTTATCATATTTAAATAATTGTATATCATAGTTTGACTATGAAAGATGTAAAAATATTCATCAAATATCCAGACAAATAGTCTTTGATCTAAAATAGTCAAAAACCATTTTTATCTGCATCAATGTCTATTTTACTGACTCAGAGCTATTGGTGTCTGGTTCTTGTACTAGCATCTCTAGTAGATGTCTATGCATGTTTACTTGGCATTTTATCCACTATTATTAAAATTCTAATATATGTTTAAATATTGCATATTTTTATGAAGAATCTACTTTATTGCAATGTCCTCTATTCCTATTATTATGTAAAGTGTTTGTTTAGGAAATATTTTCAAACTTAGTGGTAGATTCTGCATTTCTTATTCTACTTAAAGTTATTACCATACACAAGAAGATTATCACACGATCTGAAGATTCGGAGGTTGTTACTTGGTCCAAAATAGTTTGCATGGTCACAATCTTTCTATTGGTAACAAATCTAGGATCCAGAAAATTGCAGTTGTAATTATACATATGATGTTTTGTGATAGTTGAACAAAGTTCAAATGATTTGAGCAAGTACCAAATAGAAGGTATCAATCGATTGGAGTAATCAGATCTGCCTGTTTATTATCTCGATCAGAAATACTTGACGATTTGTCATTTTTTTTCTAAGTTGATCCTTCTTTGCTGGTCGAAATTCTTTCTTCTTGTTAAATTGTTTGAATCTCAGTTCAATGGCGCTTCTTGGTACGACATTGATAAGGCAATACCAGAGAGAACCTAAAGGCTCGTAACAATAGCTGTAAGAGTAAGGCTGTAAGGCTGCAACGTAAGCTGTCAGCGAATGAAAATATTTCATTTCGTGTCTTGCAACCTTACAGCCTTACTCTTAAGGCTCGTCTACAATAGCTATAAGAGTAAGGCTGTAAGGCTGTAACGTAAGCTGTCAGCGAATGAAAATATTTCATTTCGTGTCTTGCAACCTTACAGCCTTACTCTTACAGCTAATGTAGACGAGCCTTTACAGCTAATGTAGACGAGCCTTAAAGGCCATTGCACGTACAAAGTTTTAGTCGTACCCGTAAGTCCGTAAGCAAATTGACCAATCACAATTCGTATATTTCGAGATGCTGGATTGCGATTGGTCAATTTGCTTACGGTCATAGATAATAAGTTAGAACAGCACAGACACGAATCATGTCTTCCAGTTTAAAAAGATCTTCGAAAAAGAACAGATTAGATTTCATTGTCATCAAGGTGTTTTACCGATTAACTTTTTGTGAACTTTCAGAGTTACATTCGGTAGCACTCGTCGGGATGAAGAAAATGACAGTGGTGGTACTACGTAATTTTATAGACATAGAAAGGCGTAAGCAAGGAAAAGAAAATAGATAAGACAGGAAAGTTGATGCTTATAATAATTTGTACTACCTAATAGCTTTTTTATGACAGATCGGGAATCTTCGGTTATAGAAGATTGTGTAAAGCCAGCGGCACACGGTGCTTGTTTTCGTGCTAGATTGCTTGCTGGATGAACATACTGCGTTCTGATTGGTACATTTCCGAAGATGGATGGAAATGCACCAATCAGAACGCAGTATTTTCATCCAGCAAGCAATCCAGCACGAAAACAAGCATCGTGTGCCGCTGGCTTTATACTTGCTCTGTTCTTTGTAGCTGCACTGTTGAACTGGTGCAATAAGCTAGAGTGAGAAAACCTATATTTGTCTCACTTTAACTTATTGCACCAGTTCAACAGTGCAGCTACAAAGAACAGACCAACTATCTTTAATGTTTTAGCTAAAAACGTTCGGCAACGGATAAAATAGTATAGTGATTTTTATGAAATTACTAAATATTATTATTATTATTTACCTGCACAAAGTGTACAAGACTGCGTTCCGATATTCATTGCCAGTACTGAAAATACATAGTTTGTGTCACGTATACTATAAATTTTCAGTACTAGCAGTAAATATCGGAACGCAACCAAGGTGCGGATGCAAGCAGTCGATGATAGATCGATCAGAGAGAAACCTGTGGTGTGATTCTGTAACTCGTTATTGGAGTTAACGACATTTTCGTTATCGTTGCGCAGCTTTTATATACCGTAGAAAAGCTGCGCAACGATAACGAAAGTGTTAACTTCAATAACGAGTTACAGAATCCAGTTGCTGAATCAATTTAATTCGGAAGAGTCTTTTATTCGCATCCGTGGCGGTTGGATGTGGTTCCTGTAACTATGCATATTTTTGATCTTGGGGACTGCGTACACGTTGTCCCTATTTTTCTTTTACCTCCATGCTACTGGAAAATAACCTTACAGAATTTCATCTTTCTACACCGTGAGGGTGGCGTTGGAGCAGTACCCTATCTTGCCCAGAGCCATTTATTGATTTGAATTGAATTGCTTTAATTCGGAGCTACACGTAGTGTAATAAGACAGTACAATTTGGTAATATAACCGGACCGCTTCATTGCACCCTATTACACCCGACTGTATTGTAAAAAAAAATATTTTTTTTTTATATCTACAGATAGTAGATATCGGCTGCGTTCCGATATATATTCATTGCCAGCACTGAAATTCTATAGTATACATGACACAAACTATGTATTTTCAGTACTGGCAGTGAATTTTACGTAACAAAATCTTCCAACATGGAAAACCGACCATAAGAGAGAAGATAACCTTAGGCCATACATTAGAAGAAAAAGAAGGAGAAAGACCGTATTATTGTAAAAGCGGCAGTAGACTTTTAGCAACACGATTATTGTCCTAAATGCGTATTTAGATATATGATGTATATACAATTAAATCTATAATTTTCAAGAATTCGTAAAAAATTTGGGTTGAGTATATTGATATTTACATAAAAAGGAGAAAACAACTGGAAATAACTAATAAAATCCAAGTAAACATAGCGGTCAAATAAAGGTTAATAAGATCAGAAGAAACTAAAATCCAGAAAATGCCAGCGATACTAGCTGGAACGTCTGAACGTAACGAACAAATGTGGCAAGCGTTAAAAACTCATATTATGCGAGAACGACAACGGAAAAAGCAAGGTAAAATAATGGTTGAAACAAGAAAATTGGTATGTTTTGATACATATAACCTATATAACGTTTAAAATTTCTTTTCTAATTGCATTTTTTTCTTAATGTCTCCTTTTTCCGCTAAAAAAAAGAGAGAGAGGGAGAAAAAATGTGTGTATTTTGTCTTAAAAGAAAAAAAGAAATATGACACAACTGAAAAGATTATATAAGATTTGTTTTATTTCAGAACAAGAAGCAGATGAAGAGGAAGAACGTTTACGTAAAGAAAGAGAACGTCAACAGAAACAAGATGTAATGACATTGGGTGAAACACGAGAACAGATTTCTAACCTACAGAATGAGGTCTCACAGTTGCAAAAAGAAAAGCACGATTTGTTTATAGAATTAAAAAGAGTTCTTGAGGAAGAAAATAGAAAACGACAGCAAGTAAAGGAAAGCAGGTTTGTTTATTACATTATTTGCAATGTTTAATATAAAGTTTGATAGTTGTAAAAGTTTGATAAAGTCCAACATAACCTTGATTTCTTAGTATCTGCCCTGAAGTGTTGACGGTAGGAACATATTCAGCAATGAATACTAAAGTAACACATCCTCAACTATTTTTACCGATAACACGAAGTACTAGCCCTATGTATGAATCCAGTTTTACTGGACCACAACTATTAGCAACTGTAAGTAATTTATTGATAGATTCAAATTTTTTGTTCTGAATGAACATATCTTAATTTTTTGTTGTTCTAGGGATCTTCCAAGAGAACATTTAGTCCACCGCCAATACCTGCCACACATTCATATCATATATCATATTATAAACCACCGCCATGTATTTCAAATTATAATCTTCCACCACCTCCCAGTAAGTATGTGACATTGTGTACTATATGCATTATAGGTTGAATATTTAACTTTAAAAAGCAGCATTAATCATGGGTTTTGTTATATTTATGCCTATATAGAGTCTGAGGAAATTGGTAGGAGGTCCAGTGACTCCAGAGCTGTTCTTTGGAATAGTGAGTGAAGAGATTTGATCTCTAATTTCTATTAATTACTTTTTTATTTTGAAGTACTGATTCTTTGCCATCATATTAATTGATAGTGTCAAAAGCAAAAAAACTCAAAATTTTTTGAAAGAAGATGATATTTGTGATTAATTGTAAAATATTTATAAAATATAGATAATAGGTAAGTTACATGATCAGTAGTTAAAAGATAGATTACATGAAAAGACAAATAATGTAGATCATATTGGTTTAATTTTATGGGTATTTATTGATTATTATATATTTTATATAATAATAAAATAGCATATATTTTGCTGCTTCTGACGTCATTAATCTAGATGATTGACAGAGGGATAAAATAAAATTAAAGAAAATTTAATACTTTCTGTAATATATTCGAAAGCATTGAAAATGTTAAAATGACTTCTTGAAATTTTAATGAAAAGACTGATTTATCCTTTTTTTCTGCAAATTTACAGAGAATAATCAGTACTCTTATTATTCAACGACTCCGAACGCCTATGGTTATCCCTCAATTACACCACAGCCATCTAGAGAGGCCCCAGAACCACCTAAACCAACTTATCCTACAGGAAGTAGAGTGTCATTAACAACGCATCAACCTGGTAATTTTACTTATTCTGTAACTGAAAGATCGTAAATACCACAATTCCATGTTATCTTATTTCATAAAAATTACATTTTGTAGCGTATGTGACCAACATACACCCGATGGAACATAAAGGCACATATGGCGATGAGAAACACTATCCACGATCAAATCAGCTTACTGTTCACGGCATTCCTATTCAACAATCACCTCAGGTATTTTTCTTTCTTTGGTTTCTTTGTCGCTTCTGACGTCATTAATGACAACAGTAATGAAACAGAAGCTTTAAATGCTATCAATCGGACGTATTTTTTATTTTTTCTATCACTTATCACGGAATAAGTGTTTCAGTTTTTAGAGCATTCTTAAGTTCATTAAGGGCTGCAAAATCCACTGACATTTTACAAAAACCAAAATATCTTTATAAAATAATTGTATCATTTTAATGCAATATATGCGTTTACACAAGCGCATTTGGTATACAAACGCGTTAGGTGACGGGTATGATGACAATTTATGTGCTCTCTCTCTCTCCCCCCTTTCTCTCTTTCCCCCTTCCCTCCCGCCCTCCCCTCTCTCTTTTTTAATATTTTTAATAAGAAATTCTCATATACTTTTTATCTTTATTATGTATTCATGAAGGGTGCGAAGACAGGTGGAATTACCACTGGTTTTCCTGTACGAGCACCTCCCGTAATTCCATACCAACAGCCACCACACACGTCTGCTGTATCATATGCTGGTACGTCCAATGTCGGCACACCTGGCAGGGTACTGTATACACATGGTGCTCGGTATCTACGAGACATGTAGGATGACTGATACTTATCGAAGAAAATTTTTCACGTACAATTATACGTTATTATTTTGTTGTAAAATTGATAAAATAAAATTAATATAGTGATAGATTAAGAATATTATACTATACGTGTTTATTAAAAATTTTATAATATTCGTGATGGTATATATAATGGTATATATTATCTGGTTATATTGCTATTTAATATATAAAAAAGTGCAATATAAAACTACATGAATGCGTTAGCGACGTATGCATATACATACATATACAGAATTGGAAGTTTCTTTTTTTTTAATAATGCGCTATATCTTTATTCAGACAATAATTAGTTGTTACAATTTTCGTTACCTTTTTTTATGATTGATTCATGATGACTATCGAGGAACTTATTCTACATATACGGAGTAGTGATTAGTTAAAAAAAAAAACTTATAACGGTAATAATGTTATAAATAATGCGTTATTTCGCAATTCTGTATATATATGCACATGCGTATATATTAATAAATTATATGAATATAAACATTATAAAGATTTGTTTTTTTATATGTGCAACAGATTAATGTATAAGATTAATATACACGCTCAAAAAAAATGTTATAAAATAAAAGCAAAAAGAAATATATAAATTTTCTATTTCTTTTACAGTAATTATGAATCAAAATTACAGCAATTTGATTGTTTTTCTAATTTTTACCAAAGACGGAACACAGAAAGGGGATAACAACCACATCGTAGTCATTAAAGAAAAAGAGGGAGAGAAATTGCACGAGTCGATTATTTCCTATAAAATTGCTTTCGCGTGTAAATATTTTGTTTATTTCTTTCCAAAATTATGATTATGATGTGGAGATTTGACCCACAGTGGCATTGATGATGCACGGTGGCGTGAAACGCACGTAACGTATAGTGTTCAAGACGTTGACGTACGTTGACGACATCGTAATCACGATACCGATTGCTACAATGAAATAACCGAAGCAGTTAACCATCTTCTCGATATCGCGCGATCTCCCTTCGCTCTTTTTCGGTATTGTTTCCCCTGTATTTCCTTCTCGTAGATTATCTGTGAGCTTGACAGTCCGATCTCTGCTCGGTTCAGCGGCATCGACGAGGAGTGGCCGATGTTCCGAATGCGCGCTGGTCAGAGGGATCTGAGTGTCTTCTTTGCTAGAATCGTCTTCGTGATGATCGATAAATTCGTTGGATCGTGAATCCATCTCATCGTCCATCAAATCATTATAGTAGAAATACGTATATCTGCCAAAAATTCACAACATTAAACTATGCTCATCAGACTCACGGATATTTTCATCTTTTGCGAACATGAAGAGATCCGTTCCGTGAAACCGTACAGTTAAGCATTATAAACACTATTGAAACGTTACAGAGAAATTTGATCGTGAAGTTTTGATATGATATCTGAATATTCGTCATCTATTACTTCTTGATAAAAATAAACATTTTTTTAAGACAGTGAAGTTATCAATACGTTTCAACGAATCGTTGTTCCTAAGCTCCTAAAAAAATGCGTTTACTACCTGCGAGGATTATTCGTCGCACTGAGGAAACCATAGTAGATCGAACGCGAATGAGCTTCAGAGTCCATTGAGCATTGCTCTTCGCCACTGAATCTTCTACGTGAACTAGAATGAATTTCTTCGGTGAACGCTGCCTGGGTCGATTTTTGTTTCAAAGCTAACGCTCGGCTATATATCAAAGGTGGTAACACGAATACCAATGAGCCGGTCAACGATCCACCAATCAAGGTCATAACGATGTCGAATCGTGATACTGATTCGCCCACAGCTACGCTGAGGAGAACCACCGCCGATCTCATGGCGCATCGTTTCCATCCAAACGCTATTGTGACAATAACGTTACAGTGATAGATTTCATTTTTCATATCATCTGTCCAAGTTTGTCATAATTTAGACTCGTGTATACAAGTATAAAAAGCTTTAGAATACATAGATTTCTCTTTACGTGTATTTTTAGATTCCACGTTCTACAAAAATGACAATCTGTAAGTTTGGACACTTGTAGAACCCTTTTTTTGTATGTGGACAATTTGGTGTTTTAAAGAAGTTCTTTCCGCATGTCAGATTGCAGTGTATATAAAAATAATTTCTGTACTTACTTCTCTGCACACTCCACTGATCCTCCAAATGTTGGAAAAGTGCAGAGTAACCGATCACGCTGGAGAAACACAGCTGAAGAGCGGCCAACAGCACAGCGATATTTGCAATCAATCCTGATGGCACAACTTCAAGAATGTTAGCAGTCGTGCTGTCGCCGTACTTCCACACGGCCAGGCCAACGGTAACGGCAAACAACGATCCGCTCGCTGCGCAAAAACATATACGTATTAATGTGGAAAACGTCTTAAATATATTTCCAAGACTTTAACGATTCCTTACTTAGAAAAGAGAAGAGGACGGCTTTGTCGATATCTTGAGGTTGACGCATATCGACCTGTATTGTCATTAAGGTTGGATGCACATCGAACTGAAAGGCCAGCATGCCGTAACTGAAAATTTATTCGTACATCCGTTAATTACTTCTAGTAAAAGGACGAACTGGTGAGATAGATGTAATTGATGTATTAATCTACTACTAGATTAATAATCTACTATATAACTATATATCGAGAAAGATTTCTACGAAAAGATTTATATCTCGTTATATAAGACAGTTTGTATACCCGGATATAAATTTGTCCCACGTCGGGGAAGTGGTTATTGGCGTGGCGTTAGACATTCGATCATCAGTTATAATACTCCACCACACTAATATCGCTGTCAAACCAACAGCTATACTAGAGGACGTCGCCACCCATCTACAACGATTATATTTCCTGGATATCTAATTAAATTATATTAGATATTATCATTAGCTTACTTCATATCTCGCGGACTGCCCAGCCACATTAATGGGCAAAGTAAAACGCCGACTATCAGTAGCCAATAACAAAAAGAGAGATCAAAATGCTGGCCTGATATTTTGAATCCAAATAGATGTAGGTTCTGCGAAGCTAGAAAGCAATTTTTTAACATAGCGAACAATAAGGCACACCAATTATTTTTATTTAGGAGAATTCGAAACACCCACGAAGTTTAGAAATGAAAATAAGATATCTTTCTTCACTCACCGACCAGCAGATTCGGAATACCGCAACCGAAGACTGTCAAATTCAAAAGTACAGTGACGATAGATCGTGCGCGAGAGCCCATCGTTAACTCCGTCACAGCGGCAAGAGGGTAGCTGTAATTTTAGTCATTAAAATGTAGATATCTATAATTTTTTATTTCTGTTTCTCTCGAATAACACGTGGACCCAAACAATACGAACGATTAAGAGAATTGAGAGAGAGAGAGAGAGAGAGAGAGAGAGAGAGAGAGAGAGAAAGAGAGAGAAAGAGAGAGGGAGAGATGATTAACAAAGAGAAACACAAAATCGATTATTTTTTTACAAGTTACTAAAAAACGATTTGGAACGAAAATCTTTCGGAATCTCGAAGAGGCTTGTAAAATTTTACGGCGCTCTAAATAAATATTTCGAATGGAACCTTTGTCTTTACACTTATCCAGTTCTTTGCTCTTTGTCGCGTTATCTATACTATCGTGAACAAGAAATCGCGACAGTACCGATTCTTCCGCAATATCTGTGGATCCAGAATATTGGCGATGATCCATGATTTTCCCAACAAAGTAGCCGTGTAAATTTGCAAACCGAAGACAATCAGCACCATTGGGATCCCATATAATCCTGATGACATATATGTACACTTTTTAAATTTCATTACATATAGAACTATAATTTAAAGAGAAACAAGTAAGCAATATTAAGCAAGTAATATCTTTAGCGTTAAAAACTATCTGTTTATATCATATTGATATTATATTATGTAAACACCTCTCTCTACGTTATAATTTCTCTAATACAAATGCGGTCAATGACCTCAACGGTTGACGTTAAAGAAGCAAAACAACAACATATCTTTCTTCAACAACATTCTACAATCTGTAAGAATGAATTAAAGTTCGGCGACAAACTGACAATCATTGTCGGAAACCGTAAATTTACTAAATATTACATATACATAAATAAATTTTCTTTCCTTTGTAAATGAAAATTACATACAATATATCATTCCTGTAATTGACGCGTGACAAGTTCTTTAACAAACACGAGGTTGATTTTTCCATCTTAAAAATATGACGATTATATAAGGACGTGATCAAGAGTTTCTTGCAAGACTATCCAAAGAATTGTGAATAAATAAAATCGTAGAACGAAGTTTTCTCGTTCAATCTTTTACGGTCGCTTGAGAATAATTCCTCCATCGCAATGGAATCTCGTTGATCACAATTTCGCGGGATTACAAAATGAAACTCACCACATTGGGCAATCGCACGCGGCAAAGCGATGATCGGGAACACGCCGAATACATCGACGATACATAAGGTCGCGAAGAATAGCGACAATCCCGAATTTGCGTCCCTCCAGAGCAATGGGATACTTTCGCGATTCATGTCACGGCTTTCACGATTCGCGCTGAAATATCACCGCGGCATCCGGCATAGGGAGTGCAGACCGGTTCCCTCGACGGCCGCACACCGCATCGCAAGGGTAACTCGATACTCTATCGAGCACGAATGACGTACTCCGTCGGCTAGCTGAAGGGCACCGAGGAAGACCTACAATGCTACAATGTATGAATTTCACGTTTAGTAAGTATACTATAAGCGTCAATATAAAATAATGTAACGTAAGCAAGACATGGCTAATAAAAACAACGAGGATACGTCCCGAAGAATCATGCGAGAATTTGGAAGAGACGAAATTGGATGAGGTGGTATAAAGTTCGAAAGTTTGCGAGATATTGCATAACAGCTTTTTAAAACGTTATAAATAATATATATTATTAGAAACAGTTTTACATATATAAAACACACATTATATTTGATTCTTCTGCAACGTTTATTTTTTGTATTTGCGTTGCTGAAATACAACACTTTTGTAAATCGATGGTAAAGTTAGTGTGATTCAAATATGAGCGGGAGTTGACACAACTGTCAAACCAACCAGAACTTTGTAGCCAGATTTTTATTGGACAGTTTCTAGCCAATCATATCGATAGACGCTTCAATCATTTATCGAATAGAGAATCGACTGTATAACGATAATATTAACTTTGCGATTTACAATCGCGATCAGTCTCTATATATCACATCATTCGTGCAAAATGGCAATGTCGCGATCGCCGTTTTGAGGAGAAGCGGGATTTTTCGGCGAGTGTTGTTTTCAGAATTGTTCGACGTAACAAGTGCAAACAGATTGACCGTTTTGCTGACATCATCGATATCGTGTTATTTGGTGAGTTTATTAGTCACATCTGTCAGTGATATCGCACGAACGGGAGCATCATGTCGGACGAAAAAAAGGTAACGCTTTTCAATCTAACCTATCATGATATATCGAAGTATTATTTACGATGTAGCGCGGGCCGGAACCGGATCGACTGTATCATTACGATCATATTTTGTTCGTAACAGGAGACGAAAACGGAATCGGAGCACATAAACCTGAAAGTTTTGGGTCAGGACAATGCAGTAGTACAGTTTAAAATTAAGAAACACACACCACTACGCAAATTGATGAACGCATACTGCGATCGTGTAGTAAGTATCATTATGTGTGATCTTTAAAACGTATTTTCGTCGAGCATTATGCTAAATAGTTCCATTGCATGCATCCAGTACTAAACTCTCCACGCTTATTGAGCTTTTAAAACTTTTGAGTATTCAATAAGCAGTTGTAACACTCAATGCACAATAGGTTTGGTCTTTTTCAAAAATTTTCTAAACTAGTGCATAATGATGCACTAAGTTAGAGTAAGACAAGTATATTCTTGTTTTGCAATTCTAATTTATTGCATCAATGCATCAGTCCGAGAAATTTTTTGAAAAAGAATAATTGGCTTCATTGGCAGCAAATATAAAGGTTAAGTGATTGGATTTTGAAAGATTAATATAACTAGTAAATTTTAAAATATATCATAGATTATTTTTACTTAGTAGTTATGCAAATATTGTATATTCTGAATACAATTATTGTATAGACATTGAAGTGAAATAACAATGAAATGACTTTCTTGTTAATATTTACTTCAGTCTTTAGAAATAGTAAATAAGTTATCATTGTATAATTGGGTTTAGGCTAATTATGAAGTAGACAATATTGTTATAATTGATATTATATCATAGGGTCTAGCGATAGCAGCAGTCAGATTTAGATTTGATGGACAACCCATTAATGAATTAGACACACCAACAACATTAGAGATGGAAGAAGGAGATACAATAGAGGTATATCAACAACAAACTGGAGGTTCGTGTTGAGATCCAATAAAAGTGGACAATGGACAAAATAAAAGTTATCGTTCCAGTGTTTACATATAACTCAAAAAATATGATTTATTTTTTGTTTATTTCTACTAAGACTCCAGAAAATCGAAGACTTTGGTCTTTTTTGTAATGTGTGTGACATGCTTGTTTGCTGTGTTATCGAAGTATAATTTTATCATCTTTTCAGTGTTTATTAAAATTATCAAATTATAATTTAATAATAATTTCTTCCTATATTTAAAAGTTTATATTCCATCATTCAAAGTCTTCGATTGTCACAATTGTTTAAGTATGAATAAATTTCTATTAACGTGACACATCTAAATACAATCGTTCGCAAATCGTAAGAGAAGAGTTTGTTTCTGCTAAAAATATATGGAGCGGAAAGTACCATAAGTTACATAAGAAAATATTCACCACTTTGTCATCAAGAATCTCGAAATTTCTTACACATTTTCACACAAATTAGCAATGTAATCTTTCAGATGTCATAATAAATTCTCATTTTTAGATATGCTCTTTTTATATTTGTAAACTGTACAAACAACGGCATATATTAACATTAATACTCAGATTTGTGTGCACAAATTGAGCCATTTACGAATTTCCCATTTTTACCTATATGCTTTTGAGATGGTATTTTATATCAGACACTATTGTTATTCATAATTTTACACGCGGCCCATGTTACTTTGTACAGCGAACGAGAATAAATCATGTGTTATCTTTTCTAGAAAAAACCTTCCATCTTAGCATTTATAATATCAAGTTCTTGATAAAGACTCGCTGCATAACATATTTAGCGAGGGATAAACGTTAATATGAGATGATTTATATTTTCTTTATGGGATGTATGCAGTATATTTTTGTCGAGATTTAAGTATTATACGAAATGTAAAATGTGTGTATCCTGAATATAATGCATTAATTGTATTTACTGAATGTAAATTTTATATAAATGTAAAGTACACACATTTTTAAAGTATCTGCGAAAAAATACAATTTTATTATGCATTACTTATTATAATATTGATTAATTATTAAAGTAGAAAGTTCAATAAAGTTTGAAATGTGTCTTAGAACATAAAATGTCTTAGTTTCCAGTTGCATTGTTATACTTTTTGTATTTAAACATATTTAAATATATATATTTGAAATTTCTTGGATAAAGAAGAAAAAATTGTGCAGAGGAGTGTTAGCAAGTACTGGCAAAAACAATAAAGTTCGTTACTTTTCTTAAGCTTTCTGCACTTTGCTGAGATGCTCTTTTCTGCTGCTTGTTTCATTTTAGGTACATGAGGTTTGCACTATGGTGCGGCTAAAAAGAACAAACCTTTGACTATGGCTGCATTCCGATATTCACTGCCAGCACTGAAAATTTATAGTATATGTGACACAAACTATGTATTTTCAGTATTGGCAGTGAATATCGGAACGCAGCCTATATAACTATGAACTGCCAGTTGATTAAACCCATATTCTTGGGTTGAATATGCACAGGTGAGCTTTGTGATTGATTAGTACATTTTTATGACATCATTAATCGACTCCAGTGGTACGATTCTGTAACTCGTTATCAAGAGGCACGGTAGTGCCTCGCGCCAAGTTCAAGCGCAACTTCGTTGCGCCCGAACGGTTGGAGTTAATGACAGTTTCGTTATCGTTGCGCAGCTTTTCTATGGTATACAAAAGCTGCGCAACGATAACGAAAATGTCGTTAACTCCAATAACGAGTTACAGAATCGCACTACTGATGAGTTAAACCTATGCCACTTAAATGCATTATAACAGTGCCTCGCTATCAACATTTCGAGCACTACCATAAGTTAAATGGCAGAAAATCGACACACAACATTAGATTTCAATGGTAAAATAGAGAAGAAAACAAAGATAGAATATGATTTACGTCACACTGTTTTATCACGTTTAGCAGAGTTTAGAAAGTTTTCAGAACCATTTGTAATTTTGACATTCTGTAACAAGAATATAATTTTCAAAAAATGTCAAACCTTTTGCATTCACCTAATAAAACTTAATATACAATAGTGAAATAAAGACAACAATTGTATTAACAATTATATATTTATTCTTATTATAAATGTTACATTATCGCCCGCTAAAAATAATGGCTTTTATTATAGCATCGACGAGACAGTAGGGAGTTTTTGCAATACCGTCTTTCAAATACGGTAAACACAAATTGTGAGCGTTATTGGGGAGTTTTTGCAATACCGTTAATAAGATACTGTAAACGTAAATCGTGAATGCTATTGGTCGCGTATATTGTGACGTTTTTCTGAGCGAATAATATTCACGATTTATGTTTATCGTACCTGAGAGACGGTATTGCAAAAACTCCCTATTCGCTCGGAAATAACGTTGCAATGTACGCAACCAATAGCATTTGCGATCAACGTTTGCCGTATCTGGAGAGACAGTATTGCAAAAACTCCCTATTAATAGACTTCTCTCTGCTCAAAGAAACAGACCTGCAATGTATCGTCGGTAATGTAGCATTCACGCATCCGACATGTGTCGATGATTGCCGAACGTTTACAATCTCGTCTGCTGCTGCCCGCACGCGCCCGAATCGTGATTTTGACAGCGGTTTGACATATTTTGATGTTTTACCCATGAATTAGGAATTGTTCATAATTAAGTGGCACGCAAGATGATGTCCGAGAGGGATTACGCGCCTCTCAGCGCAGCGTGCGTGCGTTCTCTCAATGACAAATTGTACGAGAAACGGAAGCCAGCCGCCGTTGAAATTGAAAAGTGAGGTTATCTCACTACTATTTACTCTTGACAATTGGTTCCTTACATTTTACGAATTGGACAGAGAGACTATTTTGTTTTTGCAGGATGGTGAAGGAATTCGCTGCTCACAACAACACTGTGCAGATTAAGAGATTGCTGAAAGTACTTGGACAAGACTTTGCAACCTCGCAGAATCCGCATACACGCAAAGGTGGTTTGATAGGTCTGGCAGCAATTGCCGTCGGCCTCGGGAAGGACACTGGCCAATACATAGAAGACCTTATCCATCCGATTCTGACATGTTTTTGCGACCCTGATTTAAGAGTCCGCTATTATGCCTGTGAAAGTTTATACAATGTCGTTAAAGTAGCCAGAGGTGCGGTATTACCCCAATTTACGGATATTTTCGCCGCCCTAAGTAAACTCGCCTGCGACTCTGAGCAAAATATAAAGAACGCTACTGAATTGCTTGACAGGCTGATGAAGGTAGTTGTATATTTTCATCTATCGTTAGATGTCAATGTTTCTTATATCTTGTGTTTTGTGTCATTTCAGGACATTGTGACAGAGAGTGGTCTCTTCGATTTAGTTGGATTTATGCCTCTGTTACGCGAACGCATCTACACGAAGAATCCTTTTGGTCGGCAGTTTGTGATAGCATGGGTATCTGTATTGGCAGCGGTACCCAATATGGATTTCATTTTATTCTTGCCAGAGATACTTGATGGATTGTTCAGGATATTGGAGGATCCGACACCGGAGATCAAGAAGATCACGGATACGGTGCTTGGTGAATTTCTACGTAGCATAAAGTCAAATCCAGCGAGAGTAGACTTCCAGGCCATGATAAATATACTGATCATGCACGCTCAGAGTACGGACGAGTTACTTCAGTTGACGGCAATTACGTGGATAAAGGAATTTGTGCAACTGTCTGGGTCTCTCATGCTCCCGTATATGTCTGGCATTCTCGTGGCTGTTTTGCCATGTTTAGCCTACGACGGTGACACACGAAAGAACATCAAAGAAACAGCGACACAAGTAAACACAAATCTAATGAAATTGATAATTATGGAAAATACTGAAATAATAAAGGACTGCAAAAAGGAGATCAATAATGTAGATTCTACAAATGATAAGGAAGGTAAATGGTCATATTACTTACATTTTTAATAAAAACTTAAATCTCTAAGTTACTTTTCTAAAATTCTTGAGATTTCAATAGATTCGAGAAATTTGGAACATTTGTTATAAATTTTGTAAAAACCTAGTGATAATTCATAATATTTGAAATAAATATTTATTTATGTTAATAATGTAATTTTTATCATTGCACGTTTTCAATACCTTTAATTACTTAAGTTTTCTATGATTCTTGAAAATTTTAAAACGTTTAAATATCTATTAAGTCTTTTAAGGATTAAATTTTGAAGGATTAAAATTTCGAATAACACAAAGTGATACAAAATTCAGGATCGAATAATTAAAAAATTCATAATAGAGAAATAATTGAAGGTGCTTTATTTATATAATTGAAGGCTATTCATGCTCAGAAAATTTTACATTGCATATTTACAGTATATAATAATAAAAGTCCACATTGTATATGATATATATAAAAATTCTTTATTTTCAGATGTGAGCTGTCCTCTGGCTGAAAGCTTGAATCTTGCCAGTGTTGTAGAAGTACTTACAAAACATTTGTTGTATATATCTGTCCAGACCAAAGTCGCGGTTTTGAAATGGATACATCATTTGTTTATAAACATTCCACACAAGATGTTCCATCATATAGAAGACTTGTTTCCAATATTAATGAAATCTTTAAGCGATGCCTCTGACGAGGTAGTACAACAGACTCTAGTGGTAATGGCCGAAATTATCAGTTCCAAGTCTCCGGAGGCTGCGACGACCGAACCCAACGCGAAGATGCAAAACAAATATTTTACAAAGTTTATAGTTAATTTGTTGAGGCTCTTCTCAACCGACAGGCATTTACTGGAAGAACGAGGTGCTTTTATCATAAGGGAATTATGTATACTCTTAAGCGCGGAAGACATATACAGGACTTTGGCGAAAATATTGCTAGAAGAGCAGAATTTGAGTTTCGCGTGTACGATGATACAAACGCTGAACGTGATTCTATTAACCAGTTCAGAGCTTTTCGATTTACGTAACAAACTCAAACATTTGGACTCTCCAGTAAGTTGGTTACATCATTTCGTCAATCCTTTTCGTAAAATTCTATTAAATCGTTAACTAAAATTTATGTTTTTAGGACAGTTGCGCATTATTTGAATGTTTATACGTATCTTGGTGCCATAATCCAGTTGCGACAGTGGCACTGTGTCTCTTGTCTCAGCATTATCAGCACGCGTGCAACATCATTCGCTCTTTGTATCCTTTGTTCCATTTATTCCCATTCTATGCACTTTTACTGTATCGATAAATATATTTTAAAAATGAAGAAAACCTTAACATGATATTTTTATGGGATATCAGTGAGAACATCGAGGTCACAGTGGAATTTCTCACGGAAATAGACAAATTAGTGCAATTAATAGAATCGCCAATATTTACATGTAAGCATATTTATGGCATCAATCAATGCTGAAACAAGACAATATGTCGATAGTTACTTTGTGATTTAACGATAATAATTGCTATTTTATCAATGAAAGATACTAATTATAATGTTTATGAAACATTCAACGATGTTTTTACAATATGTAACTATTTAATATTGCTTTTTCACTTATGGAAAATCATTAACTGCATGATATTCTTTTTCCGAGACCTGAGACTACAACTTTTGGAATGGGAGGAGAACGACGCCCTGATATATGCACTATATGGCTTGCTAATGATATTGCCGCAAAGTGAAGCTTATGCAACTCTGCAACGTCGTTTAGCAGCAATACCGCCAGCCACGAAACCACCAAAAACATTCAAGAGCGAACAATCCCAACAGAAAGCAACAGATATTCGTTGCAAGTTCGATTTCGGCAAATTGTTAAAACATTTCCATATGGTTCAAGAACAGCACAAAGAACAGAAACGCAAACAAAGGTTAAATGCCTTAGTCGAGAGAAACATTCATATAGACGCGTGATTCGCACATAGCGATTTTACACGTGAAGTACGTAAAAGATATATCTAATTTGCTAGTTTTATACCGTGAGCTCACGTATAATCACATGAGACAACTGTATACATCTACTTTGCGTTTAGCTTCGTTATGTTATAGCTTTGCTATAATTGTATTATTTATTACGATGCAATCGTGAGGACAATTGCATCGAAAATAAATGATCATAAGTTAACAAGCTTGTAGTTTACTTAGTCAGATAACTATAAGATACGTTTTAATTTTTACATTATTATTAGATCTATACATTAACGAATATGTACATCGTACCTCTAAATCTATACTCTAATTTTCAGTCTTCATCATTTAAGTACCATTGGGATTGATGGAGAAATGACAAGATTGCTCGCATTAGAGTTCATATTCCGAATCCCCTATATTTTCCAATCTATCAATCGCCGACAAATGGTCAAGCTGATCTATGAGCCGACCGTTTTCATAAAGTATTACCGTAATTTGTTCTTGCGTGTCGCAGATATTGCGCCATTTCTTCGTGCTCTCTTGAGCCGGTACGCTCGTCTTTTCGGTCGTTTTCAACTTGCTCGGCAACCGATCCAACGAATGCAAAAGGCTTTCGTTGCGTTCCTTGCTCTCTTGCGATAAACGATACGAGAACGATTCCAATGCATGCTCGTAACTGTCTATGTCCTTATCCAATATTTGTGTCTGCAGATATACCGTTTGCGCCATTTTATACCAATCGGCGACACACTCAGATCGCTGAGTTATAGCTGGGATACATTCCGTCTCGAGGAGCGCTTTCAATCTGCGTCCAGTTTCTGTCACCTGTTTGCCGAACGAGATAACTGCGTTTTAATTAATTATATAGTGTCTATTATTTTTAAGATTTCTCCGCTGACTCGTTACTATTATACAATATAACGTATATTGTAATTTTATCTTATGCATCTAAAAAATCTAAAAAAATTTCTCGAAGACATCTTAATTCCTTGCTATACAATTTAGTTTTGGCATCGTGCGAGCTCTAATGAAGGACAAAATTACTTGCGAGTTGGAACAAAAAGACGTCTTACGGTCGCTTTTTCATACTTGACCCATAATCCATACCACGAGTCTGACTCGCCATTATATATATATGCGCACCTTAATACGCTCAAGAACATGAAACTGTTCGTCGTTGTAAGTAAGACTGCGAGTGGCACGGTCCCTCAGCAAATGTTGCCAGCCGTCCCTCAAGCGATCCACCAATGTCGCTGCCCGTTGGCTCGCCTTTGTGGCCCATGGGCACCATAGATCGCGAGTACTGTTGTCCCATTCTCCACGTAAACTACCTTCTTTCACGTACCTACGATCGTATTTATTAATATTAATTATATGTCTATCATTAGTCAAGATCGTCGAGAGCATGCGACTCACCTTTGATGAAGCTGCACTATCGCCGGCGTCAGTTCGGACGTGAGTTCCTTGCTCTTCGCATCGAGCTCTTTCCGCCAGCTCTTCATCTCCACTGTGCTCTGGCTGCCGAACTTGCAAAAGACTTGTTTGGCAAAATTCTCGCTCCTCTCGATCGCCAGCATAGTATCCTCGACGGCTTTTGTGAATTCCCTGGAGTGTTGATATTTTCCTAATACCCGGGTAAGCTCTATGGACAAAAGTCCGCTGAATGCTTCTATCGCGTCGCGCGAGAGTTTACTGCACAATGCTAGCTTATCAATTCTTCGTTTACAGACGTGTCCGACGGAACATGCAACTTTGGCTTGGCTGGCGTCGTTCTCTACGGAGACAAGATTAGCGAAGACGGGAAACTTGGGTAGTTCGCTTTCCGCTGGCAACAGCACGTTATTATTCTCCCGCGAGAACAGCATCAGCGGTTTGTCGTTGTTAGTGTTAGGATAACCCTTGCCTGGTGTGGATTCCTCGACGAGATTTGTAAGCGGAACCTCGCCAAGAAGCAATATTTGCGCGTGAGGCACAATTTCGGTTTGGTCTTGAATGTGTATCTGTAGAGCAACTAGCTTCTCTTCCGGATGTAAAAAGACTTTGATAAGGCTGGCCTTGTGCACATTGAATATATGAATAGGTTTCCTGCACAGTGTGTCAGTGACCTCGCTGAAGAATCGCTCGAAGCTCCAGATCCTCTGCGGATCCACCTCCAGTAAGCCAGCTAATAATGGTGTTACTATCTTTTTCAGGCCTATGCTCAATTGACAGTTCTGTGGCAATTCTCTACTCCACTCGATTGGCCCATTCTCCGAGGTTTGTAGTCCGGATATCATGCCCGACATTTTCTTCGTGGTGATATAAAACATGGTCTCTTTGTTCCTTCGTCCACCAAATGGTCGGAATGGCAGATTCCCCGTGGCGACGTGATAGAGAGTCACTCCTATGGACCACAAATCAACAGTTGCGCCGAATGTTTTACTGACAGGCTTCCTTAAGACTGCACGCTCATACATGTCCGGATGCAGGTATTCCTCAGTACCATACAGAGAAACAAATTGCTGATCCTCCTGTAATTCCCGAGCAGCCCCGAAATCAGTAAGCTTGTATATTGTGCTACCATCATCAGCAATGAATTTCATTATATTACCTGCAAAATCAAAAAAGATCATGATAAATATCTTACAATATGATGACAATAGATGCTTGTCTATATATCCTTCTTGACATTAAGATAAAAATATATTAAACCTAATTGTTTCTTATTATTATTTCTATATTAAATTAGGAATATTAGTCAATATATTGGAATTTTATTAGGACAAAATTATAAGGCTTGGAAATATCTGAGATAAAATAGATGAATCAAACTGACAAAAGTTTCTTTATAAAATTGAATTTCTTTATAAAATTTAGAAGAGAACTCTCTAGAGAAGAGGAGAAGAAAAGTTAAAACACAAATGTAAATAAACAAAGATCTATATCGAAAACCATTTAACTTTATAAATATCAAATGTATTAATCCATAATTTCCAGATTTATCAAAGTAGATCTATATCAAATGTATCTATCTGCTTCAAAGAGGATGTGTAAGTTTACTTCTTTCACAGAATTGTACTGCGAGATCAAGGAAGATATGAAGAAATTTCAGGAATATCCAATAATAATTACATGTCTCTTGTTTATCTCTCACCTGGCTTCAAATCCCGGTGAACCAGATTGTTGTCACGTAGATGTTTCATACCAGCTGACAGGTGTTCCAGTACCAACAGGAACTCACTTTCTACCAAGCCGTACGTGTTTTCAGGATCATCAAGGATGTTGAAGAGGCTACCGCCAGTGCAGAGTTCCATGACAATTACCTTGCCCCGACCATCCTGTTCTTCTTCAATCGCCAACAGTTTCACGATGTTCTCGTGTTTGACCTTTTTCAGTACCTCGAACTCTCGCATTTGTACGTCGTGCGGTCGCATGTGGCTTAGCTGATTGAACGTTTTTACTGCTACGGGCTCGCCGTTGTTTTTATTAACACCTTGGAACACCGCACCGGTTGCACCTTTGCCAAGTACACTGGTAGTGCACCAGACATAATTCGCAGAGCCGCGAAGGAAAGACATTTTATTCGACTGAGTTTTTGACTTAATATCGACGACAAGAACACTCAGATTTCTTCGCTTTCACCAAAGTCCTTCAGTACTTTTCAACACTTTCCACTACAAGTAACCAGAAACACACACGAAGCATCAAGCATATTGAATAATGGGAGATTCACAAGCTGCTTGATGTCATCGATGTGTACGACGCCCAATGTCGAATAGAAAAGTTTGTTTTTTAGAGATAAACAAGTTTCTTTGACTAGGCATCTAAAATTTGAGTTCTCTCATATCGGATAATCAGGCGACAAGCGCGGCACAAAACTTTCGCAATTTTGGAGTACGTCTTACGATGTCATGGAAATACCGACATAGAAACATTCGAGTCGAACAAATCGGTCACGATACGAACGACAGCAGGTAAAGTAGATTGATTCAACTGAATCGATGAATTTGGAACCGTGATTATTTTTGCGAGAGCGGTTCAAAGACGTGCTCGTCATAACATTTCCCGGTAAAATTATTGCTTTGGATTTTCACATACGTAGGTAAAATGCTAATTCCGTAATTATCATATCCCGCGAGATACTGAATGTATAAATATGTAAGTATTCGTAAGATACAAAAAAGTAATTAAAGGTTAGTTCAACTGGTCGCGCATGTTTATCCTTGTTATACATGCATATTACGCTGTGCGTTTACAACTTCTTAATGACTTCGATTTTTGTATCATAAATGCATATGTATTGGAAATTAATTTCGTCGACAGATTTCGCGACTCATTTGCGGTGAATGTTTCAGCTTGAACGCGATGCGAGACATCCCATATGAGCACCGTAGATTTCCCACCCCTACTAACTTCCGCCTTTACTTCTCTCGATAAAGTGGCATGACGAGAAGCGAGAAAGCGAGATCATACACAAATACGCGGGCGATAACCCTCGACACGCGATTCGACGATGACACTGAGGGTCATCGGAGTTACGAGAGCTGTTGAATCATTGGAAAATCTAGAGTTAGCGAAATGACGCTGATGGGAAAGGTACGGCGGTTTTACACGATGACGACGGCAATCTTACGATCATTATCCCCACTGCTAAGTGTGGCAGATAATAATCTTAAGAATATATCCGGTGTACTCATCTTTAAGCAGATGTCCGCGGCTTGTTTAATGTATAATTAGAATAATAAGTGGGATAGGTCTGAAAGGTCTCAATTATCTCTTCACTAAATATTCATAAGAGATTATAATGCAATTTCTCCAGAATATCGTTCGAATTTTTCTGAAATTCTAAGAACTAGCAACAACTGTACTTCGCTAAGACCATTTCTCTCATATTATTATGAGCTATATGCTAGTAGAGATAAGATTTTATTGCAGAATTGACCCAAGAGATATACGTCGACATCGTGGACGCACAAAAAGTAACATTTGCTTCGTTTAGCATATAGGAAACTTATTTATAACTTTTGCTTATATTAGATGCGTCACGATGCTTTGGAATGAAGTCTATCTACTTCTTCAAAGGAAATTTAAGAGAACATTTATATTAGAGGAAAACGTCAGAAGCCTCGGGAAACGTCGGACGTTAACATCAGGCGCGTCAGAGCGTCGCGTGGAAAATATACGTAATATATTTGCCGATAATTACAAGCGTCTGTCGTCAATAAGTGATTCCAGGAAGCCAATTCGATTCGACAACGTAGAAAAGGATACTAAGCGTCGGCACGGCCGGTTCTCGCGATTTGATCCAGTCCCGCGTAACCCTCTCCTCCTTACTCGCGGATTCAAGGGGTTAATAATAAGAGTGCCGGGTACGAATATCGCGCTTTCAGTCAGCCCGCAGCCTCTCTATCGGCCGTGTTGGTTCTCTATATCTCGCGCGGCAACCCGAGCACTTCTTTTCGCAAAGAAGCGACGCGAGGCGGCAGAACGTATGTCGGGTTAATAATGCTTGTGACGATCGGCTGAGGTTTTCTCGGACGAACGAAGTACGCGAGTGCGTCGACCGCCGCGATCAGTGAGTCGAGGGACTCGACTCGAGAGACAATGGATAAACTGATCGTATCCTGCGTACTTCTTGTCTGTCTGCACGCGTTCCTTCTGCCCTGTGAAGGACTCAGCAGTACGAGTGCTAATCGGTAAAGAGTGTCGGAATCATCCTCGTCTCCATTGGTCTTTGTTCCGCGAAATAATAGCGAGCGGCACTTCCGATTGAACGACACGCACGCTCGAACACAGATGCTCGCTCATAAATTTTAAATTTGATATTTAATTGGAAAAAACTGTGCTTGAACGCACACATATATACGTTTATTTTTCTTTAAGACATTTTCCTTTGAGATGAACTCTAAAGGGTGTACATGTTATTAAGGGTCTAGTCGTATAACGCGAAAATTTGAAACATTTAAAACTTCATTAATGCAGCGTCTCTAACTGTTTTTGAAATCATGAAGTCGTTATCAATGTTCAATATTTGATATCATAAAATACCAAATTTCTATCTGAATTTGTAAATTCAGCGGCAGTAAATCAGTAAAGTGCCATTCTCTCTTTTTACACACAGTTTGGAAAATATTTAAAAATTTTGAAGAGTCTTTTAGTGAATTTATCTTTCATGGTGAAACCTTGGACATTACTGGCTAACTTTAGATGTACCATTTTTTTTTTTATAATTGATTACGGTTTCTGAGGCGACTTATAACGTGATTTCTATCTTTGAACCAAAAAGTTACTCCTCAAATCCCAAAGCTTCGCCAATCATAAGTCATTCCCGGACGTTTCCGTCTTGTCGAATCTATAATATTTCTTTTGTGCAGAGGATACGTGTTCACCGCGCCGAGGAGGTTCTTGGCCGGTGAGACCGAGAGCGGCTGCTTGTCCCTACACAATCTAGAACCGCCGGCACATGTTGTCCTGGAATTGCTATCTCCGTCAATTACGAAGGACGAGGTATTGGCCAGTACGAGCAATGTCATCAAAACAGGCAAGCGCGTTTTTTTCCTTCCTCATCGGATCTTCCTCGAGCCGTCAATGCAATATCGTCATTTAAGGATGTGCGGTTATTCGAGGCTTTGAACGCTCGATGGTTTATCTCATTTTGGGGACGGTTTCTTTTACATAGACTGTCCATATAAAGTAGCACATGCTACTCAAAGTAGTATATGTCAGCTCACGCTACAAAAAACGGCCCATTAAACTAATGTTCTTCCGCTCCTCGAACGCGGAGTTTCACGCTCGCGGTCTTACGGCCGAGGATAATCAAGCGCTCGGGGCAAAGCCGACTGGGCACGTTATCGCGCACGCGACACGATAACGCAACCGTTGAAAATACTCTGCAAGATCGCGCGGGTGACTCCAGGAGCGTAGGACAATGGGCTCGCGACGCGAGAGATACTGCGTGAGTTCCGAGCAAGGGGGAAGCCCTTGAGGGATCAATAGAGAGTGAATGATTTGTGACGTCTACATCGCAGCGTCCACCATCGGAGACCTCGCTTCCGGGCCCGAAAATTCTAGCGACGTCCCTGGATCAGGCCCTGTCCCTCCTTCTTCCTTCGCCGCCACGAGTCGGACGCTTTAAACAAATCGTAAATTGAAATTGTCGTCGCTTCCTGCGGGGGAGCTAAATCAGCCGAGTCGCTCTCTGGAGGGGAAATAACTAATCGCTCGGATCACATGGGAAACTTATCTGCATTGTTACTACGCACGGGGTGAACAACAAGTACGGCTCTCGATCAAGGTCCGACTTTATCGTAGATATATGTGACGCTGCGTTGACGGCCACGCATATATATTGATGAGAATCGAAAACGGATGGCGAATCGCGGCGAAATAAATGACTAAACTAAGCTCGGCTCGAGATAATCGAGTGTACTATTATTTCAACATGTATTTTAAAAACAATAATTGATTAATTATTGGTTTTCCTTCAATTCCTATTTTTTTAACTTCTCATCGCATTTTTTACTGTCTTGAGGAAAGAAGGAAAATGAAAATGGTTTCTATCATTTCAGTGAACGTTATATTTTTATAAATGTATTAACGTATATTTTGAATATTATATGTTTTATATATTTCTTATTTTTATGTTTTACATTTCAAATATTTATAGAAATGTATTAGCGAATATTTTACAAGTGTTAATGTATTGATAAATATATATTTAAAGTAGTTATTCTCGTTATATACAAGTACACTTCGTGAAACATTTTATTTTTTGCCTCTAATGATGTCCGGTCGTTTGCAGGGATAGAAACGTGTCTGGAATTAGTAGTACCACGGACGGACAACTTCAAAGCACGATTGCGATTGAAGATCACGTTTGATAAGTATCCCGATTATGTCGTGGAGACGGAGAAGGAAGTTTACATCGAGCACGATTCATTAATCTCGTTCGTAGAGACAGATAAGCCGGTCTACAAGCCAGGTCAAGATGTAAACATCAGGATTCTCATGCTGAAGCATGATTTGAAACCTTGGAAGAAAATGGTTGGTCATCCGCTATCTGTAGCGAACACGAAACAAGCATATTGATTGTAATAAAATAAGAATAATAATAAAATTGGAAGGAAGAATATATATAATTAAAATAAAAGCTTTAATCACAATTTAAAAATCGTATAAATTTCTAAGTTTTAATTAAGAATAGAAATGTAAAAAGAAAGAAAAGGAGAGAGAAAGATCTAATTCTCTTTTAGGTCTTCACAAAATTTTTCATTTGGTGATACTGAATTTTCTTCTCTGTTTCTAGATACCGAAAGTATGGATCGAGAATCCATCCGAGATACGAGTAGCACAGTGGACCAACGTTAGTACCGAAAATGGAATGGTGCAATTGAAGTTCCCTCTATCACCGGAACCGAGTCCGGTAAAGTTGAACATTTTTCTTTGACTCGATAGTTGACTTTATTATTCTTACTTACAAATTCGGCAAAGCTAAATTATTGAATATGTTACGAAATGCCCAATATATCTCATTTATGTATAGTAGCATTAGAGAATTAAACAAACGTGAAAATATCAGTGAGAAGATTGATAGAAATGCTGAAGATGCTTTTCATGTTACAGGGTACTTGGAAAGTCAAGGTGGAAAAGAAAAAGTCGCAGCCTCAATTGGTTCATACGACCATGTTCGAAGTAAAGAAATATGTACTCCCGAGATTTCAAGTAACCATAACTTCACCGGGATATATTCTCGCGGATGCGGAGAATGTTACTTGGAATATATGCGCCAAGTAAATGCGTACCTTAACGCTATGCTATTAAACTGCATTCGCTGTATTTGTTAGTATATTTTATACATATAATATTATTATAGATACAGTTACGGTAAACCGGTAAAAGGTACTTTACTTTTAAAATCCACACCTCAAACACCAATGTGGAGACGAAAGTCGAATCTCCCAGAAATACATTACGAAACAGAGGTCAGTAATTTTTTTTACATAATTGCTTAATTTTTATATCTTCTCCATATAACGAAATATGATTTTCGTTATATGGTACTAACGATAATAATTAAGAAATCATTACAGCTGGATTCGCCGGACGGTTGTACAGAATTTGTACTATCAGGCGCGGTGCTCGGACTAGCTCATTGGAAAGTCGCACCGAATAATATTGTTCTCATAGCAAATTTCACCGAAGCCGGTACCGGTATAGTAGAAACGACAACTAGTCGAACCGTTGTTGTGCATCAGGCTCTAAAACTAGAGTTTCTGCCGTATACACCCAAGTACTTCAAATTAGGTCTACCATATCATGGAAAGGTAAAAAAAGGAATTTACATTACTTATTTCAATTTTTAACTATACAAAAGTGTTTTTCAATTTATATAAAAAGTTTCTTTAGAATGTAATATATATTTATAATGGAGTACACATATCTATTACAGTTACGAGTCTCACGACACGATGATACCCCAGCAGCGCACGAAAAGATTCAGCTTTGCCTACGAGTGCGCGGCAAAGATGAGTGGCTTCGCGTAGTAGTAGAATGCCGTAATTTCACATCCTCATCCGACGGCTTTGTTGACTTCATTGTACCATTGTCGCATCGGAATATCGTTTTGTTGAGTTTTGTTGCGACGGGTGTCGACTATCCCACAAAGTATTATTCACCGGACACGCGTTGGCGAGTACGTCAATTATCAATTATTTATGATATTTCGAGAAAAGGATTATATATTTTATAGTTCCTGAAAAATTATTCATTTCCTTAAATTGTATTTTGATTAGTATAAAAATTTTACTTTTAAAATGACGTAACAATATAACTTACATTTTTTCTCCTTTAATTTACTTACTTTAATTTATGTGGAATTTATGATACGTTTCTTTTTCCAACTTGGAGAAACAATGTACTTATATCTTAAAAGTCTAAAATCTTTCTCGGAAATATTCGGTATACGCATGAATCTAACATTAATTCCAAAATGTAGGTTTTTATGGATCAACCATCGGCGCACATTGACGTGAGTCCTTGGTATTCGCCATCAGACAGTTACCTGACGGTAGCTCGAGGTTATCAACCGATTGTCTGCGGGGAGAAATATTCCTTCAACGTTATGTATACGGTGCCGGCGAAGAGTAAGACCAATGAATCCATTTCTTTTCATTACTCAATCAATTCCAAGGGAGACCTGTTAATATATGGCCACGTGAAACACCGACCGACTAGAGACACGGTCCTGAATTATTCGGAATTCCGGAACTTATTAGGCGCTGTCGAGACGCCAGGAAACAAGACCAGTCAGGATACCATTGTTCACAGGTATCTAATATCCTAACACTTATTATTATTGTTGATGTCATTAACATTAATAACTGCTAATGTTAATTATCATTAATATTAATTATATCTACTAAATGTATCTTAGAAATATTGGATTTATATCATAAACATATCACCATCGAAACATCTTCCATAATTCCTCATTGTGATTTCTTTCGTTTAGATTCCCCCTGAGCGTCAAAATCACACCGTCTATGGCACCCATCTCAGAATTGTTGCTTTACTACGTTCGTCCGGATGGCGAGATCGTCGCTACTACATACTCAATCAAAGTGGGACATTGTTTCGAGAATAAAGTGAAATCCGCCTGGCACACCGACGTTCAGACTCCGGGAACGGCTACCTTGTATCATGTGGAAGCCGCCCCGTGGTCTCTCTGCGGAATCTCGGCAGTCGATAAGTCCACCCGTTTCTTGGGAGGATCTAAATCAAATCTACTTGACGCGGATCAGAGCTTCGAGCAATTAAAGAGATTCCATATCGAGCCAGAGACACGTCCTATTTGGACATGGACTCATTGCAAAAGTATGCAAGATGTTTAACGATTCTCTCAAAATGAACAAATATTATTCAAATATTATGCAGTAGTAATTTCTTAGATAAGAATTGACGTACATTTATTATCATTAACATATATTTATTATCCAATGAATTATTAATTTTAACTTAAATTTATTTATCACGATTTTTGTATAATATTTTGAATCAACTTATATGACCTAACGTGTAAAATTCTTTGCAGCGACAACACAGCATGAAAGTAATACTGAGGAGATCGATCATCTACCGATTCCTGCTTTGAGAGCGTTACCTGTTTGGTCACGCATAAGAAGCAGAAGAACCGCGATGCTTCACGGGGACGTGAATTACGTGGATGCCGTACAAGCATTCGATGTAAGACTCTTCGCGAAAACTTAAATAACTTAAAAAATTGAAGGATATAATTACATTTTCATTATCTTTTATAGGATTTCGGAGCTGTTGTGATGAGCGATTTGATACTTGAGACACGACCTTGCCCTCAATTTTTCACTGGCTTTGCGCAGGCAAGAGATTTTTTGGGTGTCCGTAATATGGTTCTTCGTGCTGGCATAGAGCAAGAACCTGGTGCGTGTTTATGGGACAAAATCATTTTCGAATTACAAAACTTTAAGTATAAAGCGCAATTTATATCGATATTTATTATGAATTTTGTTTGAACTAATCATTTGAATACTACATAGATTTTTCTTTCATTCTTTAATTTTCTACTGCAAACCTGGTATAACTTTACGTTTTTATAAATGCGGTTCTAAGAACCTCTTGGCTGATGTAAGAACAACATACTTAATCTCTTCATATAGTTCTTGCTAAAATGGAAATAAGAAACATAATGCTGGTTGAAGGATTAATTAAATTAGAATTTACATCTGTAATTAAAAATTAAATTGGCCGTTTAGCATACCAATATATATGACATACCGTTATTTTAACAGCAATAGTTAACAAGGCAATGAGAACATTGCCCATGGCAGTTCCATTACTCAACTTGAGCCCCGAACACAGTTACGTGGATTCGGTGCCTGATCAATCTGTGACTCTCAGATCCTATTTTCCTGAAACCTGGCTTTGGGAATTAGTTCCAACTGGGTATGTATACTTGAATTCATCAAATACACTAATTAAAAAATGATCTTGATACTTAAATATGAATCGATTTTGAGTTGTTTTCTTTCACTATCCGCCTTATCAGCATTTTACCTTTTAATTTAATATTTGATTATATACAATATCTGTCAGTGGTCATCGATTAATGATACACGCTATTCTTTCTTACAGGAAAGAAGGTAAAGTGACCATAGAGCGGACTCTGCCTGATACCATCACTGATTGGATTGGATACACCACGTGTATTTCACCTACACACGGCCTCGGGATAGCTCCACCGACAACTATCACGGGCTTCCAACCGTTCTTCCTCGATTACAATCTACCATACAGTGTGAAACGCGGGGAATTGTTGCGTATGAAAGTCTCTCTGTTCAATTATATGCAGCACAGCCTACCAGTGAGTCCTATTCATTAGTAGACCATTATACTTTGCGTTATTCGTACTTAGGAAATTAAATCAGTAACGATTAAAGACAACATTGATATGTTACGACAATCGGATAACCATGGACGATTGACGGGCTTATAGGTGAAAATCAAGCTGGAGGACGCGACGGGGCTTGACTTGCATTTGTCGCACGCGGTCGCTTCGTTTTGTGTGAAACCTCGTGACAGTGTAGTGCACGAATACATTCTCAGACCGCGAGTTCTCGGTGATGTTAATATCACAGTTTCTGCTTCGATTGACTCGGATTACGCTGAGCCGTGTGGCCCGGAAACGCTTCTGTATACACGGTAATATGCTCTATTTTTTAACTTACTAATTATTTAACGAATTGATAGGCAGAAGAGAGTGATACTGCTTAACTTACAGCTTTCAATATGTTATTCGAGAAAAATTTATATAAATTTTGATGTGTGGTGTTAATTTATTATCCTGTGTGAGAGCTAGAATTTAAATTTGAATTAATAAAAACGGATATTGATAATTGTCAACGATGATATTTAGTTATTTGTATATTTCAGAGATGTGATTGTGAAGCCGATACTCGTGCTACCGGAAGGCTTCCCCGTAGAAACGACTAAGTCGGCGTTTATTTGCCCGAAGGATTTTAGCGACGACTCCACCATCACTTGGGATCTCGATTTACCTGAAGACCTAGTGCCCGAGAGTGCGAGAGCGTATGTATCCTTGATAGGAGATATTTTAGGGCCCGCTCTCGAGAATCTAGACAGTCTCGTTCGTTTGCCACTTGGTTGTGGCGAGCAAAATATGATTCTCTTCGTCCCTAACATTCATGTGATTGGTTATTTGGACGCAACTGGTGTGGAAAATTCGGAACTACGAGCGAAAGCGGTGAAGAATATGGAAAAAGGTACGTTTTAGATTTCTATATGATTTCGATTTCAAATGAGAATCACGTCATCATCAAAATAATTGTTATGTGAAAATTAATGCGACGTCTCTATTACGTTTATGTCTATAGAACTTAACTTCTTTACGTTACTTCTTTGTAAACGCTTTTCACATTCGAACACTATACATTTTTTTATGTTTCTATTCTAAAGAAACATCAAAATTGACTTCAAGATGATCAGAGAATTTATTTTTGCTGACCTTGAATATCTTACATATTCCAATATATTACAATAAAATCTTCGACAATGTTAATTCTATATAACTAATTATATCATTTTCGTCTTTTGTACAGGATACCAACGTGAATTGATATACAGACATCCAGATGGTTCATATTCTGCGTTTGGTCCAGAAAGTTCAGAGAGCTCGATCTGGCTGACCGCATTTGTAATAAAATCTTTCGCCCAAGCAAGAAGTATAATTCATATCGATGAACGGGATTTGAAGATTTCTGTGAAGTGGATGATGAAAAAACAATTGGAGAATGGATGTTTCCCAGTGATAGGCAGAGTATTCCACAAGGACATGAAGGTACGACGAATTTCCATTCAATTGTAGATCATGATTGATATAATTTCAATCAGATCTATTTTCATCTATTCATTGTCATGTTAAAATTCAAAATCTAGTGAAACGCCATAGACTTAAAACGTAGAGTCGAGCAATTAACGTAAACCAACCGTAATTCAAACACTGATAATCTCATGCAAAGTTTTATACGCGTTCTCAGGGCGGTTTGCAAGACGATGACAGTTCTTCCACGGCGTTGACAGCATATATATTAATTTCTCTCTTACAATCGGGCGTACCATTGACACCATCGCTCGTAAACAACGCTCTACACTGTCTGGAGAAAGGAATGGCAAACGGCGGCGATACAACGTACACAGCGGCTCTATCTACGTACGCTCTCGCGTTGTTGGAACACCCGAGAGCGAACAACAGTTTAAAATTACTTATGGATCGTGCAACGCGGAATCATGTACGTGATAGAGACGAAGATAACGATTTATTTTCTGAATGAATCGTCTCATAATCTCCTTTCGCTCGTAGGATCTCCTCTGGTGGGAAGACAAGTACAAACCCTCGCTGGGGCTCAGCATCGAAATGACAGCATACGCCGTATTGTCATTTGTAAAGCTAGGCGGAGAAGCAAACATGGTCGAGGCGTTGAAGGCAGTCCGCTGGATGTCGAAGCAACGAAACGCGGAAGGTGGCTTCACGTCCACGCAAGACACTGTTCTTGGCTTGGAGGCGCTTACCAAATACGCCGCCGCAATGTCGAGCAACAGTACGGACTTGTCAGTGCTCGTGACGGCCGGCGATGTCGACCAGGTGTACAGGATGCACAACGACAACCGCATGGTTCTCACACAAATACGTTTGCCCATACTACCTACGACAGTCGAGATCTTCGCTGAGGGCGAGGGCTGCGTCTTAGTACAGGTAGATCGAAAAACTCATCGCGTATAAGTTTCAAATAATTTCCTATTCAAGATTAAGCGCATCCGTCATCGTGCGATTCTGTATATTAAGAAATTGATATTAACTTAATTTTGTTAAGTACTTATTTGGTTAAGTAATTATTTTAGTTTAGTGATATTTTAATGATATATATACACACATACTTTTATGGTATATTTTGTTAAATTTTTATTTCTTATAATCTACCAAATAGCCTTAAATATAATTATGTTAATTAAAAATATTAGATAAATTATAGGTAAATAGTGCCAATTATGTTAAATTTATATTTATACGTTTTATCACGTACAACATGTTCAACGGAAACTTTCTTCTCTCAGAGTAACATAAAATATAATGTCGCACATGCGACCGGCTCTGAAGCCTTCGATCTGTCGGTCGGTGCTACTTCAGTGCTAGCATCCGTGGATGAATGCTCGATGCAGAAGATTACAATCTGCACGCGATATAAAATGGCAGATGGGGAGAGTAACATGGCACTGCTGGAAATTGGTATGATAAGCGGATATGTTCCAGACCGTGCGAGTCTTCATTCTCTGTTAGAAGATCCGGCTACAAGTAAGTATATTATAGCGGAGTTATTCAGGAAGGAAGAATTATTTTAAAGTTCATACATTCTTATATTATATTTAAAATTTATTGTTTAGCAAAGCGATTTTATATAGAATGTGATTTATTCTAAGATCGTATAACATTGCAGAAGTAAAGCGTTTCGAAGAAGATCGCGACGTCGTTAGTATTTATTTCGACAAGTTAATCAGCCAGAAGACTTGCATATCGCTCATCGTGACTAGAGAAAATATCGTCGACAGACTCGAGCCGGCGAATGTGAAACTTTATGATTACTATCAGCAAGAATTAACGATATCCAGTGTAAGTTTATGAACATATTGCTTTGTACCGATCAAATGTATATAACATATGTTATAAGATGGTAGGCATCGGTAAAGAAATAGAAATTCGGGGTGTTGGAATAGAAAAACAAGCTTAATCAGTATTTAATTAGACGACCGATTAATAATTAATGGTTTGGTATGTAAACATTTGTTATCTTTTTAAATCTCATGTTTTTTTTCAGAGCTACAGCTTTGCTCCGACTTGTAGTAGTGCCAATCCGAGTGAAGAAGCAGAGATTCCCAATCCAGTGCCTGTGGAAGTGGAGCAACCGAGGAAAGACAACACAAAGAACATAGGCAAAGATGAAATAATTGAGAAAGCAGCTAAGAGTGGCATGGGCAAGGAAATTCCGAATCCGAAGAACGGAATTATAGAGGAAGCAAGTAATGCCAGTCATAAACCAGCACCTCAAGAAGACCTGGTCGAACAACTCCGCGATAAGGTGACAGTAGCAAAACCGACACTGATAACTGGTATACAATCAAAGTACGAAAACGTCCCTCTGGTAGAGAATTCCAATCTCAAGATAAATACGGATGATATTGCTAGCATAGCAAATGTTCGCATAGGCAACAACAACGGCATTGCGTCTGGTAACGCGGATGGTTAGTGTAAAAATTTTATATGATACTGTTACAAAATTAAAAAATGATTAAAATAATTTACATATTGAAATCTTTTATCAAAATTATATATTATTAAATGTACAATTTAGCATTAATAGTAAATTATTTAATATATGGTTCCTAAATGAATTATTCTCATTATTATTGTAAAATACAAATCTTGCACTTTTAGCGCAATCTTTACTTTACAATTTTTCGAATTCGCTTTTCAACAGTTCCACAGACAGAAATTGGGAGCGGTCAAACGCCGGATGAACCGGATATCAACCTGAATCCTATTTTCGACAGACTTGAGCCTCCTAGTGTAAGTCTCGAGGATATAGAGGGATCATCAGTTTTCAACAAGCAGGATCAAGATGCCAATTTTGATGGGAATCCGAATTTCGTCGTAGTTGATCACGAATTAGCAACGCCCGACGGAATCGAAGGACCCACGCCAGTCTACATCAAGCCAGACACGACGAATATCGACAGCGAAACACCGTTGGATACGATCAATCTCACCGTTTCGGCAGAAAACGTGGATCCAAGTGAAGTTCCTTCACAATCATCGCGTACGTAGTTAGAAATTAATCGAGAAGTTACGAACGTTGTTAGATCAAATCTCTTGATCTTATATTTGTCTGTATTCTTTGGTATATTGATATATAACTCAGAAGATTTCTTTAACCAAATATTCTTTTGATTTCAGCATCAGCATTAGCTTCTAACAAATCTTGTCCTGTATGCGGTGACGAATTACCGTCGGACATCAATGAGTTTTATTGCTCCGCCAACAGTGTTGTAAAAGCAGCAATCAGACGACTACGAAAGGCGAGACTTCTGTTGGATATATCACCGTCACAGCCAGTTAAACGTCTTCGTTCGACAATCGCGTTTGTTTTGGATCCAAATTGTTCTTGCCCACCTTTAGATAAACGTAAGTACAATTAAAAACAATTGCAGTGTGTATTACTTTCCTTTACGCGCTATTACTTTCCTTTTTACTATTGTTATTATTAAATATTATTACGTAATTATGTTACTCTCTGAGATTGAATATCTCAGAATAATATATAATCCAGAGAAAAATTAAAATATTTTAACTGTATTATAGCTGGTGATTTGGCGTTAATGATGCATCATGCGGACAATGAGTTCGGCAAGCGTTCGCACAGCCAGTATGTCTTGGATGAATGGGTCTCTATATACGGATTGCAACCTGTTGGTGGTGTTCCGCAAGAGATAATAGATGCTCGATTAACGTGTACAAAATAAGATGGACCTGATCCTTCTACGATTGACTGATTTTCGGCGTTGTGCCGTTTTGTTATGTATACTGTCCTCGCTGAGGCTCGGTTCGCGAAAAGCTATCGAGTTACGTCAAGAAGAGATCAATTGCGAAAATTTACCGAGTTAAAAGCCATTATAATTCGATTGTTACGAGACATCCGTGATAAATCGACGGCAAATTTCATGCAAGATATTTTAATTAATTTTTGAATAATAAATTAAAATTTACGTTGCAAGTATTTCTGATTTACTCTAAAATTTCGTTTTAATACAACACAAGTCTCTACATTGCGAATTCCATATTATTGAAAGACGCGATATCCAAGGGAATAGGATATCATTTTCACAATGAAAGATACAATACGTTATCGTAATTCGTAATTGTGAATAGAGCGAATAACTAATGAATTAAATAAACTGTAAATAAAGAACAGTAATTTACGACATGATAATTCTGGTTAGTTTAATAGATCCATAAAATGAAATCCTAAACCTAAGAAACATTCAATGAGAAATTCAATTTCAAGCACGCTTTTTAAATCGTCATTGGGTGTAACGAGAAAAAAACGAAAAGAAGAACAGCAAGAAACAAAGGCCTGAGTTTCAGACAAGTTTGTTGTATCTTTATTTGTTGTCCACGTTTGATCGCACTGTAATAGTTATTACAAATTAACAATCACCTGTCGAGTTCTTGCTACATTAAATAGTATTTTATTACAGTGTATGTACGATTATTTATTGAATATGACTTCAATTCACGATATTATATTGTCCATTTGATATTTAATGTTGATTGTGGATCGGATATGCTTCTGGCGAGAAGATACCTCTAAGTTTAATGAATACTCATTCGTCGCCATCACATCTCGTCATTCTCGATCTACACTCCTAGAAAGACGATTTACTATTAAATATCAAATGGAGATTCTCTGGAAGTATCGTTATTTATTCACGCTTGTATACAGATAAATGCTTGAAATAAATAAACGTATATACTATAGAGCTCATTATACACTATTCGTCGCGCCGTTTCGCAGCAAAAATACAATTAAAACTTAACTGTACGTTAAGGAATGAAAGGAACGGATGAATGTGCAATTGGCAGTAATAATCGATCGATTCGCCGTCATTCGTCTCTTGTGATATATATAGGAGTTACACATGACCCCAAATACACGTCCAAGACAAGATAGGCAGTGATAGTACACTGACAATGAACAGTATGTACTGGCAATAACACGGCTCTAAACGCAAAGAACGCGTATAAAAAGATACATGGTATATATGCATATTATAGATATATATATATATATATGTATAAAAAAAGTGATATAAAAAAGATTCTGAAACAACGTGACACGTGACGTCTAATACTCGACAATTAACATTCTCATCTCTTTCGTCGTTCGCTCTCGAGGTTCCTTCTTGCCGAGACATGATGAATGTAAAACTCGCAAGCAATGACGATCGCAGTAGAAATACATCACCTTAACGAAGGTGCGATACATTACGTTCAATTAACATTTAAACATTTTCGACATTGAGAGAAATGTCGCGAGTACAACTCTATTTATTAATATATGTATCATCTTTTTTTTTCTTTTCTTTTTTCGAATCGTAACTCGACAGTAACTTTCTCTCCTTCTCTTTATCTATCTCTTTCTTTCTCTCTTTTTCTGGAGAATATACTACTGGAGAACGGTAGCCACTTCGAGGTTAAACGCGTGCGCGTGCAATCACGTGGAATCATTAAGAAAACAAAGGGGAGAAAACAAGCGGGAACTAGCAAAACTAGCAAGTTCGCGCTTCCCCGGCGTGAAGAATAAAAAGAAAAAAAAAAGCAAACGAAAAAACAGAAACACATATAATAATGTGAGATACTTGCAACGAATAACGTAGTTTTATCGAATCGTATCTCGAGAATACACAAGTTCGATATTAAATTTGTGTACGACTTTCGGTAGAAATCGCAGATCCATCTCGTTAGCCATTAGATTACAAACTAAGCGCGCAATAGCGGTGCGATAACAATAGATCAATGAGATTCGTTTGCAGCAAGCGTTCTGCGTTTAAGCGAGAAAAAAAAAATAGAGAACTATAGACGCAAGTTGTACTGAAGTATTGTCGTTGTATCGATATGCGGATCTTACTTGACAATTTCCTAATAAAAAAATCAGTTTCCTTTATAAATATTAATACATTATAAAAATCTTCCTATGCTGCCTGAATACATTATGCTACATCGTAAATCGTACATATATAACGCCATTTTAATCTACACAAAGTTACTCTCTTAATTGATTTTCAGTCCCGATCGCATGTTCGTACGCGATGTTTCGGCTTACTCATGTGTACGCGCGTTATTATCGTACGATAAATCATATATTGATTTAATATGGAGCCTGTGTGTTATCATCGGAATATCACTCGGACTTTAACAGCAGTAATAGCAACGACGGCGCGGCAATGAAAAATGCAACAGCGGCCTCTCACGATACGCGTTCTCGCTTCTCGGCGTAATTTGAAACTCATACAGCGCAGGATACACAGAGCAGTTTCGCAGATGATATATCGAGGCAGAGAATCGGAAATTACCGCACGAACGGGCGATCGTGTTTACATGCTTTCTTACAAATGCCAGGAAAATCGACGATGACATTGTCGTGATATTCGCGTATAACAAGCGATGACGACGCGCCGCTTGTCGCCGCGAACACGTACCGCAGAAATCAGAGCTTGGTGGAGCTCTCAGTAGATCTTGGGCGCAGAACGATCGTTGATCGGACCGCTGGTTTTTCGCAATGAGGTGCCTCGTCTGATTTGATCCATGAGGGAGTCGCGGACCTGCAATGGATCCATGATGGGCACGCGATTGCCCATGATGCGTCTGACGCTAGCGGATCTGCTCGCGCCGCCGTTGCCTCCTTGGAGCGCCTGTTGCTGCTGTGCCAATTTGGCATTCAGCGTCTCGAGGAAGCCGGACGCTGCGGTCTTGGTGTTCTTCTGGTTGGCTTGTTGCTGTGTCTCAACCAACGACTGCTTCCTCAACGACTTCGGGCTGCCACTAGCGTTCGCACCACCTGAAACGTTGTTACTCGCCGCGGTACCAATGAGCTTAGCATTCAGCACTGCCATGAAGCCTTGACCGACACCGCCCGGTCCTTGGCTACTTTGAGCGCCGGTTGCTTGTTGACTGACCGTGGCTGCACCGCCGACTGCAGCTACCACTTGCGCGCCGGTCGCTCCACGTTCTTGCGATATCGAGCGAACAGTAGAGCAGGAGCGTTCTACTGACGACCGAGTGATTTGCAGCATGGTATTATGTTGGATCGGATTGTTGTGCGCCTGCTGTTGCCCGGTAGCCTTCCGCAGGAGCGACGGACTAGCCGGGGTATGACGGAGTTCAGTCAGAGTCCTTACCGTCTCCGAAACAGAGATAGATCTATGAGAAAAAGGAATCGTCGAAATGTTTAATCTTAACATCCATTTTTTTCAAACCTCTAGATAAAAATCACTTTAACTTTCTGACTGTAAATCAATCTTGTTCTAACTTATGTATTAACTATAATTCTTTTTTTATTCATAAGATCGTTTTATAAGATCGACTTATAAGACCGTACCTTTGTGGAGTAGGACTGGCTGTAGGTGAGGAGCCTTCCAAAAGGAACGCAGGTGGTGGAGGAAGATTCTCCACTTCGTCGCAAACGTTCTCGCCACGGTCTTCATTGACAGACGACGGAGGCGCGGTAATGACAGTGGATGTGCGTCTCGTCGGTGGTGGTGGTCTAGTCACCTGTTGCATAGACCCTCTACGTACCATCAGCATGGCCGCGGCGCCAGGTACATTCCAAGTGTTCTCATTTTGATTGTGAAGCGAATGAGAATGTGGCAGAGTATTTTGGCTGCCGTATCCGCTACTGGACTCCAAACTAGATTCGGACGTTTGACTGCCGGCATCTCTCTCTGGATTTTCGGCCTGCATCAGAATGGCAAGTTACATAAGTGGATGTGAAGTGAATTCTTTTGGCGATAGATAGAAGATAGAAACACATATTCATTTTTCTAATAGAAAAATTAAAACGTGAGATTAAAGCATCTTCTATATTTTCTATATGATTGCATTTTTGTTTCTATTATATATCTCTCTCTGCTTCATATATCTCTCATATTTATATTTTATTGCTTTTGTAGTACTTTATCAGTTCCTGGTGCCGTTAACGATGCAGGAGGAGGCGGCAGAGGAAGCTGCATTTCTTGAGCGCGACTAGCTGCTAAGTTCGCCAATTCGTGCATATTCACGTACATTGGTTGCTGGAGCTGATGAGTTGCCAGTTCTGCGTTACACATCGTCACATTAAGACGATCTTCGCGTCGATTTAATCGTTAAACGTTAAAAACACACAAATCGTTGTACAAACCTTTCGCCAAGTGAGCCGGCAAAGGTAACTTGGGTTTCCCGCGAGGGCTACCAGGTGCGTCGCTCTTCACCGGGATCGTCGGTCGCTCCAGACTAGAACATCGGCTCGGTATGGGCGGACGTGTGCCGCCGTTATTCCTACGTAATTGTACCCTAGATAGCTGCTGATTCGAGGAAGAACATGACGAGGAAGAGGAGACCGGAGAAGCTGGCTGACTGTGACAACAGCCGCTACCGTCACGATCTGGGGCTTGGAATGTATAAACGCTGAGCGCCGGTCTCTGATGTCCTTTTTCGTACGCTACAAAAACACATTGAGAAAGTGTGATTAATTCATTGCAGCGAAAAGTACTTGCCTGAGCGAATTCTCACTCCAGTAATTTACAGTGACACATGGAAAATAATGCTCACGGCTTACCGGAAGAAATAGTATGCGGCCGTTCGTTCACCGCGCCCGGATTTTGCCGGTCGTATTGAACGGATGTTTCCTGCAAATCAGGCCAAGTTGAAGTCGACACAGGTCTTGTTACAGTGCAACCAGTAGTTTGATTACTTAGAGAAGACACATTCGATACCTAGAAACATAAGCCGCTTCTTTTAAATGTACTTTGTTAATAAAAGAATACGATATACGAATGCATCATTCTCGAAGTCAAGCTAAAGAATCCGTCGACTGAAACCGCTGTAAAGGGGTACATAAGCAAGTCGAGCAGCAAACTAATCACTAGATGGACGAAGAAGTCGGCGAGATTTCACGTCGAGTCCTCCCAGTCACGCGATCCGAGTGAGTTAAAGCGCATTTGTGCGCAATTGCACTTAATTACGCGATTTCGCACGCGCTTCGCACGCTAAAGAGACCACCCGTGCCCGTTCCTCCCGGATTCCTTCTCTGCTCTCTGAGAAGACTCTCCGCGTGGATTTTCGCGCCACTAACTAATCACTAGCTAAAATCTTACCTGGTGTTCGGAGATCGGCTGATTGTACAGCGTGTCCTGAGACGTGAAGCCGGAATCACGGGAACTGCCACTGGTCAAGTGACGCAGCGTCACGATGCCGCTGATACTGGCAGGCCTGACACGACCGTCGACCGGCTACGACAACGAGTACAACATCGACTACCACATACACTAAGCTGCCGCTCAGCGAGCAAATAGATGCGCGTTTCATGCTGTAAAGTGCCTAAATGCGACGCTACAAGTGCAATAGCGGCTGTGATACATTAACAGTGGTTATCACTGCATGCAACGTACGTTAAAAAGAAAAAGAAAAAAAAAGGAATAAGAGTAACGAGAAGAAAAAAAATCTAGATCTCACAGTAGAGTAACACGAAGTAAAAAGAGAAAACAAAAGTGGAAAATCCATCGATGCGTTAATTACCTGTGAGAGCGATCGGTGCCACGGATGTCCGGACGGGCTCGGATGGCTTTTGCATGATCCACTACTGCTACTAGTTAGAGAACTGATCGAACACATAGAACTCTTCCTCGATCCGAGAGACAGCGACGGACTCGACGGCGGCGTAGCCAACGACCATTGAGTAACGTCGCAACCTTTTATGTCCGTTATTACCTGCTCGGATGCAGGCGGTAAGTGATGCGGTGATGCAGCATGTCGTTGCAACTGGTCGGAGACTTCTTGAAGATGCGTCAATTCCATTAGCATCGCTATCTCTTCGTCCTAAACGTTTGGATCATGTATCACATGAGATATGATGCAGATTTCGTTTAAGTGATCGAGTAATTCTATATCATCGAACATATATGTATGTAGATATTATACGCTTACGCTTAGTAATAAAACTATAAAAATATCTGTGAAATATACTAACAAGAACTGGTTTTAGGAATCGTGCAAGAAGACAAAATCTGCCTCTCTCCTCGAGAAGGGCCGCGCGGACGGCTTTTCGTTCTGTTTCTTCTAAGCTCAGTCTTTTCTCTTGAACAACTGCCGCTGATGATTCCAGCATCCTATTGAGTTCTACATCGCCAGAACATGTTCCGTGGCCTTGTGGTTGTCCCTGAACATGTAAATGAACTTGACCTTTTCGTGCTTTCTTCTTTTGCAGTCGCAAAGTATCGGTAGAGCGTTTCTTCAATTCGGCCCTTGCCTTTTTGAATTCTGGAAAGTAACAAAAGAAGTTGTAAAATAAATTTCTGGAAAACATTTATAATGGTAATGACATAATGAATTGTTTATATACCTTTGGCATGTTCTTTATCTAAATTAATCAAAGACTTTTTCCAATCTTCCAATTTTTCTTGCAAAGGTAACACCAGGCAGTCCATAATAGCGCTAAGGAGAAACAGTACAAATGAATATAAAAAAATAATTAGGATCCAATTAGGTGTTAAAGAAATATCTACAAGCGTGATACAATATTACCATATTTTAACATACCTAGTGAATGACTTCATACGAGTTTCTACTGCTTTATGTCTCAGGCATATCCGTGTCAATGCTGTCCCAATTTCCTTGGTTGCACCTTAATTATACATAAGTGATGTTATTTTATTCAATTAGATTCCATATATGTGTATGAAATATGCAGAAATTTTCCATTATATTCTAACAAATCAATTTAAAATTACCTCTAGCATTTGTTGCAGCATCTGCTATCTTCTGAAAGGCCTCAAGATATGCAGAGATAGCCAAGATAGCAGCTCTGAAATAATATGTGTCATGTTATAACCAAAGTTCCAATATATAGCACATTATAATATAATTAAAAATATATTGTATCACAACATAGAGTAAATACAATCTTTAATATGCATTAAAGAGAGCATAGATATATTTTATAACAGTAAAATAAAATGTATTACTGTATAACATTTGAAAGACAAATGAAGATTCCTTATATATTTGAAATTGGATAAATTTTTTCACCTCAAACATGTGTGCAACTTTGTAGCTTTTGAAATCAAATCTTCCCAAAGTGGTGCTCCATTCTATAAAAAAGGAAAACAAAAATCATTACAACATATCTAGAATCTAAAATTTCAATAATCCAAATAGTATTAGTCAAACAGGAATCTAGACTGACATTTGTGTGATAGATAATACAATCATATACGCCCACATATCTTGTTTTTTTCATCAAGTATATAATTCTATTATATAGAAGATATTTCTTACTTAATATAACATTATGACAGAATAAATCATATGAATTAAAAACCTTTTTGTTCATAAAAATTAATATTTGTAAAGATATAAAAATATTAAGATAATTTATACTTAAAAGTTGTTTATATTTAAAATATATTTTTAATATATACTAAATATATAAATATATACTAAAGTATTATATCATTAACCATTATACCATTATAAATATATACTAAAGTATATAGTTGTTTATACTTAAAGATAAAGCTTCATACTTAAATATGAAGATAAAAATTTTATAATATTGAGAAACACGATCTTTCATATTTGTAATTTAAAATGGAAACTTTTCTTTTTCTTAATAAATATGGTTTTATTTTTATTTATATCTAACATATGTATATATGTATATATATATTTCAGAAATCATATTTTTTATTTTTATTAAGTCATTTCAATATATTTCCAATGAAAGTACTAATATATTAATCTAAATCGTGTCTTTGATTATATTCTTTTTACATTATCAATATCTCAATATATTATCATACAGTTCTTATCAGCTTTACTATATGATAAAATTATAATTCTTCATAAGGTATAAAGTGTATATGTGTGTGTATATGCATGTGTGTGTGTTATGTATGAATAAGAAATTAAATTTATAACCTTATATCATTACATGCAAATTCATGCAAAATGCTGAAAACATTTAAACTAATATACTAGAAGATTAAAGGCAAACAACTTAAGAGATATCAGGAGATTAATGTAGATTAAAAGGACTAGACTTGATATCAATATTGTGGTAGATAGGATACGGGATGTCAAGTATAACGAGCCTATAGAGCCTAAAAGTACTGCGAATATGTCTTTTACCTTCATGTCAGTGACGATCTGCTGGAACAAACCGCCCAACGCGCTACATTCTCTCTCGATCGTCGCATCCATCTTTTCGTCGTCTGGCCTAAATCCTGGATCGACGAAAGACGCTCCACGGATCCGTTCGCGCACGGCGAACGCGCCGAATTCGCGCGACGATAACGACGAGTTCACTTTGTCTCATCGACGCAACGAACGTCCGCGAAAACGATGCACTGCCACGAGCTGAGACAATCGGCGTGGCTCGTCATTTTCGACCACACGCGAGCGAGAGAGAAAGAAAGAAAAGGGGAGAGAAAGAAAAGAGACGAGGTACAAAGAGGGGAAAGAACTCTTTGAGTGAAATGAGGACGGCTACAGTGACGAGGTAAACGTGGACGCGTCCACGCGCAAAATGATGTGACTCGTCAAAGAGCGAAGAAGAGGGAAAGAATAGACTCTACCCGATGGCGATATGTAGAATGGAAGCTCCACTGTATAGAGCAACGTCACTTTTCTCCGTTTAAATCACTCTTTTTTCTTCCTCTCTCTCTCTCTCTCTCTCTCTCTCTCTCTCTCTCTCTCTCTCTCTCTGTTTCCTCAACTTTTGACGCTGTCTTTACGACTCACGTAAACACAACACGGGACTTCAGATCGACAGAGACGATGTGCGCGCAATGGTGTACAATACAATCGAAACCATCGAAACGTATTCGCTCACTCGCTCTCGTTCGTTTCGCGACCACGTCGCGTCCGCGAGCGAATCTGTTTTCTTTCCTTCGCGCGGACGCTGGCTGTTGGATCGTTGCCCCCGCGTCACCCCCTGTGCGGTGACCCCGTTCCAGAAATCGGGATCGATGATATTCGGTATGCACCTAATCGTTACCCCGAGGGAAGTAGAGCGACGGAGAGGGACGAGGAAAAGGAAAAATAAAGGAAGGAGGAGGGAGAGGAGAGCGTGAGAGAGAGACAAGCTTCCGGATAGCATAAAGTATAGAGTTATGAGATTGGCTGACGCTGTTTTCATGTGCCGTTGCGTAAAAACACTCATTGGTGCAAAATATTATATTAGATTTGTTTATTGTAATTATGCTTTCTACACATTTTTCTCTTACTCGCTCGTAACATAAAAATATATTTTTTTCATTTTAAGTATAGAAATCAGAGAAAATAAACAAATTTAATGTTTACCCGTGACATTTTCTAGAGAATAAGATATTGCCAATTACAGTCTCTAGGAAGGAACTTCTAAGGGCCGATTGTTCCAACTTCTTGGTAAGTTAACTGATAGTTAAATCATATGTTTGTCTTCGTTTTTCCTTCAACTTAGACAAAAACAGAGATATGATTAAACTATCAGTTAACTTACCACGAAGTTGGAACAATTAGCCCTAATAGATATCGGCACCGACGAAATAATATAAAAACTGACAGGCCTGGGTAAATTTTCGTATCAGCTAAAGGGACTCGAAGAAGTCCGGAGGTAATTGAAGAGCAATGATAATACCGATTGCTTTAGCTACGCTCATGATAATACAGCTAGCAACTATTGCCGGTGCGAAGTGAGGGGAAAGACAACACGCCGCTATCACCGATAACGAGGACAACGACGACGACGACGACTTTGATACTTTCTTTGATACTTTTGATGTTTTCCGATATCTTTTTCCCATTATTCCATATCTGTTACCATCCATACTTATTTCGAGATATGTTTCATATTCCGGCCACGATATTCCTAAGAGGACGCTAATGCGCAGCGAAATTTCTCTGGTACGCTAAATCCCGTAAAGCCCCTTGCACAATGCCAGGCAACAGGCAATAAGAATAAAAATTGGCCAATCACAATAGATTATTCTTGTAATGGTTGATTGTGATTGGTCTATTTTTATTCTTATTGCTTATTGCCTGGCATTGTGCAAGGGGCCTAAGACCAACAGTCTTTATAGTATCTCGTCGGTGATATCGAGAATGTTGTATATTTGTACGGGAAACATCATTTGGGAACATATAGTGCCGATCTCTTATCGAGAGTAATCTTGATTGATTCCATCTGATTCTCCTGTCCGATCGACACGAGATTACGTCAAGCATGGACACGTTGCGTCGAAGCCGGCAAACATTTAGGATACTTGTAAATATTACTGTTTGTCGATTTAACGCAGTTACATATTACAGAACATATTGTGCCTCGACGAAGACACGAGCGAAAGTACAACCGGTGGAGAACAAGTTTGACAACAATAATAAGCAATCAACAGAAATCAGAAGACCTGTAACCATCGACGAAGCGACGATTAGAAGGCTCGAGAAGCTTGCATTAGTCGGCTTCGAATATAAACAGAGCAAACGAGTGCTGGAGGAAGCGGTCGCGTTCGCAGAGCGGCTGCGACGAGTACATATCGACGAAACTGTGCGTCCTATGTACAGTACGCTGGAGAACGAGCATATTTACCTGCGAGACGACATAGCGTTACCATACGATATTAATCGCCGATGTGACATTCTGAAAAACGCAGCGCTGCTGGAGGAAGAGTACTTTGTGGCGCCTTTAACAACAGGTAAACATAGAATCAAATTTATTTCGTATATTGATATATACACAGTGTATATAGTTACTTACACATAGATTAAAAATTGAAGTACTTTTGAAAATAATATTCAGAATGTAATTAAAACTATTTGTGTTGAAATCTAAATATTGTGATTCTATCAGATTTGAGATTACATCATGAATATATTTTGAAATATATATAGTCTCTCAAATATATATTGATAATGTTAAATGTAATACAAAAGATACTTATAAAAGATTCTAGTATATTTCATGAAGTTATAGATTGAAATTACAGAAGATATCTAATATAATTTTGTGCGCATTTGATTCTACATACAATTATAGCTCTGTATTTTTAATTGTATGCCGGTTTTCACAAATATGTAAAATAAGTTTGTGAATTAGTATTGCTTACAATTTCAAAGAGATTATATCTAACAATGAAATCTACTGATATACATGATTACATATTAAGTTTGGTTCTGTATTTAGTAAAAAGCAAGTCTAGTTCGAAAGAATGAGTCTGGAGGCTTTGCTGAAGATTATAAATCCATGTTTTCTCACACTGTCGGAACGTGGTTTTATATATGGACCTCAAGGTAGATTATTGCTAAGAAACCTTGAGGAGTATTGGTTTATGCACTGTGTCACAATTCCACCCTACAATGTATTTCCAAGTGATACCTCAATCAGTGATACGTTACAACAACTGCAGAGCTCCTCGATGGACAAAGATATGCCATTTGCACTCTCTACACTTGCAATGATAAAAAATTTAACATGGAACGAATCCTTATTGAATGACACCAGCTATCGAGTAACATTGCACAGAACCGCCAAAATCAACGTGATCATCGACGCGCTGGATTCAAAAAATTTGTTGCACAATAAACAAAGAGAGCGCAAGGTATGGTGGCGTAAATTCGCTCAGTGCCCTTCGAGATTCATCCTCGCTGAAGCAAAACGGGTGAAAAGTCTTGATGTGACGGAAATACAAGCGCAGTTTCCTTTTGGCAATATCACTGTAGAGACGATCACTCACTACCCTGTTACACGCAAATTATATCCTCAGGTATGATAAGACAGAGTATTTTACACAGTTAAGACAGTATTTTTCCTTAACGAGATATCAATGACATTGTAGTTAAAGTAGAAAGATAAAGAAATTATTATTTAAACGGAATATTTATTTACAGAATGAAGGTAGTAAAGATAATGTCGCGGACGTGCATATGATCGAGCATGTCGCTTCTTTAGATTGGGGCTGCTTGGCTCTACTCTGCGACAGTCACATGTCAAATAAATCAACTAGAGCATATATTCATCCTAAGTTATCGCCGTACAAAACTACATTTCACATAGAAAAACAGGAGAACGAAACTGCATCGGATTTAGAAGACTTAAGTCGTTTTGTGCTATACTTAAACAATATGCTTAGAACGAACGGCATCCATACCATATTGACAAGTACAGAACAAGTCGTAGAAACGTGCCTAATACCATTCGTCGTGTCTGTGAATAGGACTAGTCTCAAGAATGGCATTGTACACGTAGAAAATCCTTCGATAGCTCTAAAGGAACCAGTCCAAGTTACTGATTTGGTAGAATATATTACTACATGCTGTTCTTGAATGGCACAAATCGACACCGGATCTTCCAATCAATGCATCAGTTTATAAGATATTGGTACCATTATCACTATATTTACTTACTGAAAATTACAACAATATAAACTGTAAATATAAATGAAAATCCTCTGTTTCTATACATAATTTTTTTGTCTTAACCCCATTAATGTCATCTAAAATTTTATGAATTTATAAGTTAAACTGTACTGACATGTAGAAGGCATGCACTGACAGATATCCTGTTCATGTCTCACAGTAATGTATACGATACAAATGAAGTACGAAACAGTAGACGCAACTTAAAACAATGTCCTGCGACACGTGGAAAGAAAACGCAGCATCATCTGGTGAATGGATATATGGGGTAGAGAAGGAAGTATTACGGAAGGAGGAAAGATGCTGCGAGACACTTCATACTTAGCAAAAGATATACACTTGCAAGTGTGTACTCTTGGAGCCTCCAGGTTCGCCAGATTTGACCTTGGATTATCGGCGACACCAATAGAAAAACGCAATCGAATGTTACTTCGATACAAGAGGATAATACTCTGAACTGAAGCTAAGCAGGTAATTGTAGCTTCTTGCCTTTCAGTACTTTGGTAATATAGAGGTAGAAGAAGTCACAATATAGAACCGTCTGTACCAATCCAGCAACTATGGCAATCAGGTCATAATGATCTTCAGCATAGTAGCGGTAAACCCAATTGAACAGATACAGGCCTCTATATGATCCTAGTGCAAATAGATAATGACTGGTGATGCTCTCTGCTTCTCCTGTTTTTGACACCAGGAATAATTGTGGCAATATTGCCACTGATTCAAGGTAAATGCTGAATGTCCATAATACCTCCACAAAGGACAGTTCGTGATTGATCAGTAGCGCCAATACAAATGCAGGTAAAATCAGGAATTCGATCCTATGACAATTCAATCATCACTACACGTCAAAAGCAAGAGTTAATCAAGCATATTTAAAATATGATACTCACCTGAACGTGTCGTGATTATGATCGTACGTAGCTTTGAATCTGACATACATCAAGAATACCGTAGTGAGCGATGTTGCAATAAATACGATCTTCATAAACGTATTATATGCTGAGATGAACGTAGTTACCAAATCGAGATAACGACTGATATAAACAATCGCGAAGAGTATCTGTGATTTGCCGCTGATACCTACGAATGAATCAAACATTGGTGACTGCCACTGGACGATCGACGTGTCAATGGTCATTCGATTGTATATCGGCGCATTCGTCCACTGCAATCGTGCAGCGAAGACGCGTTGTGCCTGCCGTGCAAAAACGACACGAACGGTAAGCAGCACTCACCGGCGCAGCTCCGTGTCTTCCATATCTTCAAGAGAAGTATAATAATGGCTAGGAGATGCGACAGGTCGCCTAGGAGCCGAAATATATTCATATTTGCAGTCGCGGGAACGTAATTCTATGTAAAAAACGCGTAAGCGACGGTTCGCGCAACACGGCTCTCTAGCAGCACACAAATATGACGTGGCTTCGGCTGCGGCTAAAGGAGATGGCTGTCTCCCTAACCACAGTCCGATTACACTACGCTAGTGGTGCGCCAGTGGAAGTTTGATGTTTCGGATGCTCTTCGGTGAGAAATGCGGCGATCGTTTGATTGGCTGTACATCATCTAAGGAACATCTTCATTAAGCACTTATTAAGGGAGAAAATCTATGTAAATGAGGCAATATTTTATGAATTTTTTAAAATAGAAAGATCAAGCACCCACTTTTGAAACTTTCAGAAGACTTTATTGATAATTTAAACAAGTGAAAAAAATTATTTGCGTGAAAAAATAATTTCAATATAGTGAATTTTAAAGACAGTATTGTAGTAATGTTGGTACTGGAGGTCTCAAACGGCCCACACTTTGGCGTCTGCTGTATTCATCTGAAACCAAAATATCAAATTTTTTCTAACTCTTGATGAAATTGCACTATCGGTGAATCTAAAACTAAAGAGAAAATTTGAATTTAAAACAATGGCATGAAAAAAAGAAGTTTCAAATTTTACAACAAATTTTTGTCTTATTTAAAGAACAAAAAATTGTTTAATTTTATTATTTTGTAAAAATTATAGGTTCATCTAGAAGAGAATATTTTTATTTAGATGTGTGCAACGTGATTGAGTGCGGAGTGATTGATTAAGTAGTTTTTGAGTAGTTTTGTTTTTAAGTCCACTTTCAGATATATCGTACTCCACGAAAATAGAAACGTGTCCACAGGAAATCCATGTGGTTTTGTGGATTCCACGTAAATGAAAACATGCGTTCCATATAGATTCGACGTACGTTTTTATAGAGTAATTAATGAAATAATTTCACAGCATCTGAAGATTAACTTAAGACAATCTTAAATATAAGATCCGACTATGAATACCGGTCTTAGAAATCGTGTAATTTTATGAAATACAGAATATATGGTATTTTTAATATGAAACTTCACTTTCAACATTTCCTAGGAAAAAGTTATATGAGCATCACCCTCAACTGCGTTTCAATATTGGCCGCGTTCAGTAGAACAAAGTGATCAGAGAGCGTTTAGTGATTATTGTCTGTGATTGGAGCATTCTTTAAGATTCTTCATAGACTCAGTGGAGATGGACTCACTGAGATTCAGTGGAAAATCTAGTAATGTTGTCCAACTGTTGAGTCTGCTGAATGCAGCCATTCATTGCCAACATTGAAAAGCTATAATTCATGTCACGTATACTATAGATTTTCAGCACTCTGTAATTTTGGAATACAGCCCTACTAGTTCCTCATTGAAGAGCATTCTTGCGTTGAATGGATCGGAATTCAATGTTGATTAGTCATTTTCTGAACTTCTTTAGTTAACAGTTAATCGGCATGTTTAGTAAGCGGACGTCATCAGACATTAGCTAATAATATTGCCTACAAATAGGATGGTGGGGCAGTATCGAACGTAGAGGTACGTTGGGAAGTTATAACTTACGACGTAGAAGGCGGTAGAAGGCAGAAGGTTCTGACGGAAGGTAACTGAGCGGCGTTGCTTGTAGTAACGTTACAGTAAAAAATGGCTACTTCGGATTCGAAGGCGCCGTTGCGTACGGTGAAGCGGGTACAATTTGGTATTCTCTCGCCAGATGAAATCGTGAGTATTTTATAAATATTGCCAAATTTTCGAATAAATGTAGTTTTCGCGAGGCGTAAATTATTCCAACGTAATCCTGCGCAAATCTTTTTGTCCGAGGCATGTCTCACCAACAGGAAATTTTTCTCACGTATGCAAACATTGCAATGTTATTCGTATGATAGAGTTATATTTGTGCTCGAAATATTCTAATTATTAACTCCGAATGAATTTTTTGAAGGTTATATTGTATATTGTGAATATACGATTAAAACATAAAAATTGAAATTATCGCTGAAAAAAGATAACAGATAAGGATAAATCTTTAAGAATAGAACTTCGCATGCTTGCAAAATTTATATTATATGTCGCGATATTTATTATTGAAGCATGAAAGTTAGAATTGATGCTATAGAAAGGACAATTCTTAAAAGTTGTGTGAAGTTGACATTTATTATGCAAATTTAATTATAATCAGATGTATAATTAATATCATGTTCTGAATTTTCGGTAAAGTTCCTGTTTAGGGGAGGACATTGCAATCACACTGATTTTAACATATATTATCAAGGACATCATTCTTATGCAAATGGCAATATGCAAAAGGTTTTAACTGTCGTTAAAAAGTTGTACAAATTTCAAATTTTATATAATAAATAAACATTAAAAAATTTAATTGCCAAATTTCGTGTAGAGGCCTTGGATTATATATATGTTATTGTATGCTATTGGTAGGTATACTTGCATAGAGGCCTTTGCTAATCTTTTCAGAATCTGTTATTTTAGTATATTTAGTAGACTCATTAATTTAGTAAGATAAAAGATGTAATTGCCAAAACTTGCATAGGGGCCTTGAACTATATATATATATATATATATCATTGTATGTTGTCATTGTATATAATATAAATAAACAACAAACAAATATTTGATTTATTTATAAATAGTACATGTTTTCACAAATGTGAAGCCTCTTTTCTACTCATATATGTGTAAAGTTTACTGTACCTAAATGTATACAATGTTGAAAAATTATGCTCAATTAATGAAACTTCTTTTATTAATAACTTTTTAACAAACAATGAGCAATGGTTTAAACCTTTTGCATGTTGCTTAGAATGATGACCTTCACAACATATGTCAAGGTCAGTGTCATTGCAGTATCCTTTCCTAAACAGGAATTTTATTTTATTTATTGAATTTTCATACATGCTTAAGTTTTTTTATATAATGATTTTTTATCCTGTACAGCGTCGCATGTCCGTCACAGATGGCGGAATACGCTTTCCAGAAACTATGGAAGGTGGGCGTCCAAAACTGGGTGGTCTTATGGATCCAAGACAGGGTGTTATTGATAGAAATTCCAGATGTCAAACATGTGCTGGCAATATGACAGAATGTCCTGGCCACTTTGGTCACATAGATCTTGCAAAACCAGTATTTCATGTAGGATTCTTAACAAAGACTATAAAAATACTAAGATGTGTATGCTTCTATTGTTCCAAGTTGCTTGTCAGTCCTGTAAGTAACTAGTATGCAATCTGTCTTTAACAAGCAAATTAATTGGTACGTTCATGACATTCAACAGTTGTGCAACTGTGAGTGTCAACTTGAGTGATTTCACCCTGAATGCTACTGAGCAATATGTTCACTTGCACAACATGTTGAGTAAGGGATTGCCATTTTTTTTTTTTTCCATCAAATATTTCATTGCTACCTTTACTGATTAGGCTCTGATCCAAACAAGGCACAACTTATGAATGAAGAAAATAATGAAGAAAATAGTCATACAAATAAAAAAAATATATATATATAAATATGTCAAAGATGGTGTAGAATACATTATGATAGATACATATGAATTATATTTATATAAATACACATATGATTTATATTTATAAAAATACTTAATAATTACAAGACACATAAGTGTATGTAGACGGGCCATAATATTCAATATGTTTATCTGACACTTCTTCTATGCAACAAAATCGCGCAGAACTGATCAGTTGTGTTCAATGTATACCTCTACTGCTCACTAATCATTCATTCATCGGATGCTTAACTGCAACTGTTGAATTTCATGAACGCATCCAATATGTTAAAGATTACATATTGTAGTCATGTTGATATTATAGCTTAAATTAAAACAGTAATTCTTAATCCAATATATATTTTAAAAAGTAGTATTAAGTAATAAATAAAATAAACTTTATAAGGAATAATTTCTTTAAATATTATAACCATCATCACTACCAATATTAAATATTAATTTATATTAATATTAAATATTAATTAATTTTAAGTAATATTAAATATTAATTTATATTAGTATTGTAGTAGTAAGTTAATTTTAAATAGTATTAAATATTAATTTATATTAGTATTTAATATTAATAGTAAAATACTTAATACTATTTATGATTTGCAGCACAATCCAAAAATAAAAGAAGTGATAATGAAAACAAAGGGACAACCACGAAAAAGACTCACACACATTTATGATCTGTGCAAAAGCAAGAATATTTGCGAAGGTGGAGATGAAATGGATATTAATAAGGAGAATTCAGAGAACCAGCCACCAGTGGAAAGAAAACCTGGTCACGGTGGCTGCGGCAGATACCAGCCTAATCTTAGGAGATCTGGTTTGGATGTAACCGCAGAGTGGAAACATGTGAATGAAGATTCGCAGGAAAAGAAAATAGTGCTTACGGCCGAGAGAGCCTGGGAAATCTTGAAGCACATTAAAGACGAAGAATCCTTTATTCTGGGCATGGACCCAAAGTTTGCCCGACCTGATTGGATGATAGTCACTGTGTTACCAGTACCACCATTGTCAGTGAGACCAGCAGTGATTATGTATGGCTCCGCCAAAAATCAAGACGATTTGACTCACAAACTGGCAGACATAATAAAATCAAACAACGAGCTATTACGCAACGAACAGTCCGGTGCAGCTGCGCACGTGATATCGGAGAATATCAAAATGTTACAATTCCATGCAGCAACATTGGTCGACAATGATATGCCCGGCATGCCCAGAGCGATGCAGAAGTCTGGTAAACCGTTGAAAGCTATCAAGGCTAGATTGAAAGGGAAAGAAGGTAGAATAAGAGGTAATCTGATGGGGAAGCGTGTGGACTTCTCCGCGCGTACCGTCATCACGCCAGATCCCAACTTGCGGATCGATCAAGTGGGCGTGCCGCGCAGTATAGCACAGAACTTGACATTCCCAGAGATTGTAACACCTTTTAATATCGACAAGATGCAGGTACTGGTTAGACGCGGCAATTCGCAATATCCCGGCGCGAAATACATAGTTCGCGACAACGGTGAGAGGATCGACTTGCGTTTTCATCCGAAATCGTCTGACTTGCATCTACAGTGTGGCTACAGAGTGGAACGACACATCCGAGATGGTGATCTGGTGATTTTCAATCGCCAACCGACTCTGCACAAAATGAGTATGATGGGTCATCGCGTAAAGGTGTTACCGTGGAGTACATTCCGTATGAATCTGAGTTGCACATCGCCCTACAACGCGGACTTCGACGGCGACGAGATGAATCTGCATGTACCGCAGTCGATGGAGACACGCGCGGAGGTGGAGAACATCCACGTGACTCCCCGGCAAATTATCACACCGCAAGCGAACAAACCCGTCATGGGAATCGTGCAGGATACCTTGACGGCTGTGAGAAAGATGACAAAGCGCGACGTCTTCATCGAGAAGGAGCAGATGATGAATTTGCTTATGTTTCTACCCAGCTGGGACGGCAAGATGCCACAGCCGTGTATCCTGAAGCCAAAACCGATGTGGACCGGTAAACAACTGTTCTCGCTCATCATTCCGGGAAATGTGAATATGATACGAACGCACAGCACACATCCGGATGAAGAAGATGACGGCCCATACAAGTGGATCTCTCCGGGTGACACCAAAGTCATGGTGGAGCATGGCGAACTCGTGATGGGTATTCTTTGCAAAAAGACGTTGGGTACATCTGCTGGGTCTCTTCTTCATATCTGTATGTTGGAGCTGGGTCACGAGGTCTGCGGACGTTTCTACGGTAACATCCAAACCGTAATTAATAACTGGTTGTTGCTCGAGGGCCACTCAATCGGTATTGGTGACACCATTGCCGATCCGCAAACCTATTTGGAGATCCAAAAAGCGATCAAGAAAGCGAAAGAAGACGTGATAGAGGTGATCCAAAAGGCGCATAATATGGAGCTGGAGCCCACCCCCGGCAACACATTACGTCAGACTTTCGAGAATCAAGTGAACAGAATACTTAACGACGCTCGTGATAAGACCGGGGGTTCCGCCAAGAAGTCTCTAACTGAATACAATAACCTGAAAGCCATGGTAGTATCAGGCTCGAAAGGTTCCAACATTAACATTTCTCAGGTTATTGCTTGCGTGGGTCAACAGAATGTTGAGGGTAAGCGTATACCATTCGGCTTCCGCAAGCGAACGCTGCCGCACTTCATTAAGGACGATTACGGTCCCGAGTCACGTGGTTTCGTCGAGAATTCGTACCTCGCCGGTCTCACTCCGTCAGAATTTTACTTCCACGCGATGGGCGGTCGCGAAGGACTTATCGATACAGCTGTGAAGACGGCCGAAACAGGTTACATCCAACGTCGTCTAATAAAAGCTATGGAATCAGTCATGGTGCATTACGACGGCACCGTAAGGAACTCCGTTGGTCAGCTAATTCAGCTGCGTTATGGCGAGGATGGACTCTGCGGCGAGACCGTCGAGTTCCAGAACTTGCCCACCATCAAAGTGAGCAACAAAGCATTCGAGAAGAAATTCAAATTTGACCCGACCAACGAGCGGTATTTGCGTCGTATATTCAACGAGGAAATTGTCCGAGAGATGATGGGCTCCGGCGAAGTAATCTCCGAACTGGAGAGAGAGTGGGAGCAATTGAACAGGGACCGCACTGTGCTCCGTGAGATCTTCCCGAGCGGAGAATCCAAGGTGGTGCTGCCCTGCAATCTACAAAGGATGATTTGGAATGTGCAAAAGATATTCCATATTAATAAGAGAGCGCCGACTGATCTCAGTCCTATGAGAGTGATTCAAGGTTTGTAATCTGTTTGTTTAAAAAAATATATTTAATTTACAAAATTTTACGAAAATATTGCGAGTTCAACTATATCTTGAATTTGATAATTTTTTACATTATCTATACAAACGGGCAGATTTTTTTCGTTATAATCATTTGTAATCACATAGTTCGCACGTAACACATATATATTGCATATAGCAATAGATTGTCCATTAACGTTCGCATGATACAACATGATGTGATTTGCATCTATTGTTTTATTTCTAGGCGTAAAGGATCTTTTAGATAAATGTATTATTGTCGCTGGCGATGATAGACTCAGCAAACAGGCGAATGAGAACGCAACATTGCTGTTCCGATGTCTCGTGAGATCAACTCTGTGTACAAAATGCGTTTCCGAAGAATTTAGACTGTCCAGCGAGGCATTCGAATGGTTGATCGGTGAAATCGAAACGCGATTCCAACAAGCTCAGGTGCATAGTTTATAATTGTACACGATCCTCTTATTTCATTTAGCGCTTCAGCGCTCATAGCTTGAAAAGAATTCCATTAATTAGAATAGATTACAGCAGCTACATCTTTCCTAATTGATATATGTTTAAATAATCATATACTAGTTAGTACATATTATATAATTCTTTAATTATATTGATTAGTATATTTTATAATGTACATTACTATAATATACTTATATATTAATTTTTTGGTCATTTAATGCATGAGTTGATTCAGTATAATTTTCATAAGATCGATATTGTTATTACATGCATATTGTTTAACAAAACTTTTCCTCAATAGCATGAAGCAACTTGAAGTTATTTATCTAACAAAAGAAAAATATAAATTCTAGGTGTCACCCGGTGAAATGGTCGGTGCCTTGGCGGCACAGTCACTTGGCGAGCCTGCCACACAAATGACCCTGAACACTTTCCACTTTGCTGGTGTATCATCGAAGAACGTAACCCTCGGCGTACCGAGATTGAAGGAGATCATTAACATCAGTAAGAAGCCGAAAGCGCCGTCGCTGACGGTTTTCTTGACGGGCGCGGCGGCGCGCGATGCCGAGAAGGCAAAGAACGTTCTCTGCCGGCTAGAGCACACGACCCTGAAAAAGGTGACGGCTAACACCGCGATCTACTATGACCCGGATCCGCAGAACACAGTGATCGCCGAAGATCAGGAGTTTGTTAACGTATACTACGAGATGCCGGACTTTGACCCCACGAAGATATCGCCGTGGCTGTTGCGTATTGAGCTAGATAGGAAACGTATGACCGACAAGAAATTAACCATGGAACAAATCGCCGAAAAGATCAATGCTGGATTCGGCGACGATCTCAATTGCATATTCAACGATGATAACGCTGAGAAACTTGTCCTGCGTATTAGAATAATGAATAGCGATGACAACAAGTTCCAGGAGACGGATGAAGAACCAATGGACAAAATGGAGGACGATATGTTCTTGCGATGTATCGAGGCAAACATGCTCAGTGACATGACTTTGCAGGTACAAACTGTGTTAAGACCAGTAATACGCCAAGTTCGCACGATCTCATCTTTTACATTTTCTATATAATTTCTAATATTTTTCTATCTTTCTATTTTCCAGTTTTATTTTTTACTCGTTTAAAATACTTCACAGGGAATTCACAGATATTATAAGTTAAACTAAAATTAAACTATTTTATTAATTAAATTGTTTTATTAAATATTTCAGGGTATCGAAGCAATTGGAAAAGTATACATGCATTTACCACAAACAGACGCTAAAAAGCGCATCGTCATCACAGAGACTGGCGAGTTTAAGGCAATTGCGGAATGGCTTTTAGAAACGGACGGGACGAGCTTAATGAAAGTTCTAAGCGAACGTGACGTTGATCCTGTCCGAACGTTCAGTAACGATATCTGCGAGATATTCCAAGTACTCGGCATCGAGGCCGTGCGTAAATCAGTAGAAAAGGAGATGAATGCTGTATTGCAGTTCTACGGTCTCTACGTGAATTATCGTCATCTCGCTTTACTTTGCGACGTCATGACAGCAAAGGGTCATCTTATGGCCATCACTCGTCACGGAATCAATAGGCAAGATACAGGTGCTCTTATGAGGTCAGTAAATGAATTTTGTCTTTCAGGATTTTTGAATCTTTAAATTTGTCAAATTAGTATTGTTTCATTCATATAAATCACTTTCTCTACTCTTCAGAATCTTCATAAAAATCTTTAATCTTTAGAATTTTTAATTAGAATTAAAAAAATTGAAATGAGTTTTCTCTCTATTAAAAGAGAATAAATATTTTCCAAATTGTAATTGAATGTCACAAGTTACAATTGGAAATTTATAAGATTTATTTATAAATTTTATACATTTTTTACTTCACAAATATACATACACACATATTTATGCAAATTTTGATGCTGTTTAGTTCTTATTTGATAAAACTATTGTTTCAGATGTTCCTTCGAAGAAACAGTTGACGTGTTATTGGATGCGGCTTCTCACGCGGAAGTTGACCCAATGCGAGGAGTATCTGAGAACATTATAATGGGCCAGCTTCCACGCATTGGAACGGGTAACGTATACATTATGTCTTTTCATGTTTTGTGAAATATTCGTTCAAACACAAATATAACTTACATGCTGGTTTTAATTCGTAAATATTTCATATTAAAAAGATTTTATATACATTCAAAGCCAGGTAACGCGCAGGAAATATAATCCGTTATGCTTACAATTATAATATAAAATTTAAGATAATATCTAACCACAGTAGTGATATTACTAATATAACATTATTTTTCTGTTTGCATTTAGGTTGTTTTGATCTACTGCTGGACGCCGAGAAGTGCAAGGCCGGTATTGAAATTCCTATAGCAGTCGGTGCGGGTGTGATGGGATCTGCTGGCATGTTCTTCGGTAGCGTTCCTGGCATGTCCAGTATGAGTCCTCAGATGACACCGTGGATGGGAGCTACTCCCGGTTATGGTGCGTCGAGCATGTCACCAGGTAAGTTATATATTGTCAATTTCTTATTTTATACAAAGATTTCTAACAATAGATCCGTATATAACATACAAATATTCTATATTGGTCTTTTTAACGATAACATAGAGCAACACACAAAGATGTTAAGTAATTTTCTTCTATTTTACAGCAATGAGCAGCGGCATGACGCCTGGAGGTGCATGTTTCTCGCCCTCGGGCGCTTCAGATGCATCGGGCATGTCTCCAGCGTACTCAGCTTACTCGCCACAACCGGGAAGTCCTGGTAGTCCAGGTCCGAGCATGAGTCCATTCCCGATGTCGCCGGCAGGTGCCGCTTCGCCAAGTTATTCACCTACTTCGCCTGCGTACCTGCCCACGTCACCCAGTATGACACCATCGAGTCCGAACTACTCTCCCACAAGCCCAACTTATTCACCAACAAGTCCGAACTATTCACCGACGTCTCCGAGTTACTCGCCGACGTCTCCAAGTTATTCACCTACATCGCCTAGCTATTCACCTACGTCGCCGAGTTACTCACCTACGTCGCCCAGTTATTCACCAACGTCACCCAGTTATTCACCGACTTCACCGAGTTACTCGCCCACTAGCCCGAGTTACTCGCCTACATCACCTAGTTACTCGCCAACGTCACCTAGTTACTCGCCTACATCGCCGAGTTATTCACCCACGTCACCGAGTTATTCACCCACCAGTCCAAGTTATTCACCGACGTCGCCGAGTTACTCGCCGACGTCACCCAGTTATTCACCAACATCACCAAGCTATTCACCTAGCTCGCCGAACTACACGCCCGCTTCGCCGAGTTATTCGCCGACCTCGCCGAGCTACTCGCCTAGCTCGCCGCAATATTCCCCGGCCAGTCCCAGCTATTCCCCCAGCAGTCCAAAGTACTCGCCTACTTCCCCAAGTTATTCACCAACTTCACCGTCCTTCGCTGGCACATCACCACAATATACACCTGCGAGTCCTACGTATTCGCCTACCAGTCCGACATATTCGCCAACCAGTCCGTCGTACTCGCCTAGCTCGCCGCAACACACAGCCTCTGGTAGCACCAGGTACTCGCCAAGCAGTCCGAACTATTCGCCGACGAGTCCAACCTATTCGCCTACAAGTCCGCAATATTCACCATCGAGTACCAAGTATTCACCCACGTCCCCTACTTATACACCGACAAGTCCAAGTTACTCACCTACAAGTCCGACTTATTCGCCGCCAGTACCGGGGTACTCGCCCACGAGTCCTACGTATTCGCCAGCATCGCCCGCGTATGAAGCGGACGATTAACGCTGATTATGTTTATTAAAAATTGTTTATTGCTACTACATGCTGTATATAGTGATCAGTATTGGGCATGTACATTTGTTTAGAAATGAGCTACTGATATATTTGGTTTTGATAATGTCTGTGTTTCTTTTCATTGCCTACCATACATCCACCGTGTGTATAGTGCGTGGCACATCGGAGAGTGCGTTCCGTTTCACGCATTTGCGCGCATTTATCTTTAGGGCAAGAGCATAGGCTTTTGCATAACACAATACATAACGCATAAGAGAATAAACCAATTAGTTTTCTTCATTTCCCTCCTCAAGATAGAGATGAAGAACTCTGATTGGTTGATTCTTTTATGCGTTGTGTATTATGCGTTATGCAGAAGTCTGTGCTCTAGCCCTTAGTTTGTCACTATACAAAAATATGTATACTATAAAAAATGCGCGCATATGCGTGAAACGGAACGCACTCCTACAGTTGAACACCTGATGTCATAATCACAAAATGTTCATCCCTCTAGCGTCTATTTCCATCCATCTTCGGAAATGTACCAATCACAACGCAATATTTTCATCCAGCAAGCAATCCAGCACGAAAACAAGCACCGTATGCCGCTGGCTTTAAGTAGCTTTCTGCCGAACGTGGCCAATGATTGAAATAACCATCATTATGGAGGATTCATACTGCGTCCGATGTCCGACGTACGACATCCGATATCCAATAGAAGACGCTTTCCAATGGAAAATTGAATTCTTCATTAGAAAGCTGTTCTCCTATTGGATGTCGGACGTCGTACGTCGGACATCGAACGCAGTGTGAATCTGCCATTACAATCTATAAAGCGTGTCTTTAGTCGTTTCATGTTCAATGCATCAAGTCAGTGTGGTTTTGCGTGTGTTTCTTCTCGCAGCCATTGTTAGTTGATTTCTGTTCGTTTTTCAGGTAGTTTGTCATCATATATTTACGTAAACGAAATATCGGGCCGGTATTCTTTGTGATATCGGGATTAGTTGATAAGAATTAAGCTTGATATTTTTCTCGCCAATTGTAATAATTGTATGCCTACATACAATGAAAATAATATATTACGTTGATTTTTAATTGAGTTACTAAGTTAGAACTACTGTACACCTGGTAAAACAACATGTGTTTTACATTGTAGAGTGAACTGATCATTGATTTTGATAAAGTTAATCTCGATAAGAGACAAAAAAGATGGGAGATTCTGAAGAAGAAAATGAGAAAGATTTGGCATCTGGCCTTAACATTACCGGCTTCCTCTTCGGTAATATCGATGATAATGGTCAGCTGGAGGATGATATTTTGGATCCTGAAGCCAAACAACAATTGGCTTCACTTAGTCGCCTTGGATTAAGTTCTTTCATTAGCGAAATGATACAAAATGAATCAGCCACTGAGGACAAAAAAGATAATGGAACTGAATATGAAAACGAGAATCAAATCAAAGTTGGAAATGATAAGGATATGGATTGTGTTGTAAAGTTACCTACTGCTGAAGATTTTTCTGATATAAACGAGTTGGCAGATGATATAAATGATGAAGCTCGTTAGTATATTAATAGTGTCAAATTATATATTTGTTGCATGTGTGTGTGTTAGTTATACAAATTTGAGATATTGGTTATTCTAGAAATAATTGTGCATTTATGATTTATATATAAATGAAAACCAAAGAAATTTAAATTTAAAGCATATTCAGTATTTGAATATATAGTGTTTTGTTATTTTACAAGTAATTTTTCAGTTTTATTTCTATAAAACATTAAAGACTAAAAAGTTTTGTCACTGAATATATGCAAAATTATTTATGAGATAAATAAGATATATATATTTCTTTTATGATTCTTTTTTTAGTTAAGAATATTGATTTTGACAAAAAAGATAAAGAAAATGCTGATTATGATGCTGACGATGAAGAAGTTGTCAGTAAATTAGATAAACAATTGATGCCTCCTCCACCTGTACCTGAAGAAAAGGAAATTTTAACTGAGGAAGAGGCAGAAGCAGTACGTCAACGTAAACTGGAGACACCCCTTGCAGCTATGTTGCCTTCTAAATATGCTAATACTGATGTTACTGAATTATTTCCGGATTTCCGTACCAACAAAGTTCTCAGATTCTCTAGATTGTTCGGTCCAGGAAAACCAAGTAGCCTGCCACAGATTTGGAGAGGTGTAAGAAAACGACGTAAGAAGAGAAAACATCATGATATCAGAGACTCTGATTCTGGTTCTGATCAGGAGGACAGGAGGACTAAATTTAAAGTGAGCGCAAAATATTTATTATAAATTTACTGTAAATTTTATATAATATATGAGATAAAAAAACTCATTGGGAATATTGCTCATTGATAATATTTTACCATAATATTTTAGGGTTGGATTATGAATTATGGTCCTGAACCAAGTATAGATATGTGCCGTTCAGATGATGAGGCCAAGCTGCTTTTACCTGTGGAAGACAAGGAGCAAACTGGTAAGACAGGTGATACTGGAGAAAATGGCGATATGGGTCCTAAAGTAGCTGACTGGAGATTTGGGCCTGCACAACTTTGGTATGATATGCTGGAAGTTCCAGAGACTGGAGATGGTTTCAACTATGGCTTTAAGTTGGTTGAAAAAGTATGTCTCTATTTTTTTTATATGAATTAGGGATATCTTATAGATTCTAATATTTCTAATTATATTTTTAATTTTTATTAGGAGCAATCAGAAGAGCAAGAAAATGACAAATCTAAAAACAAGTTTAAGAATGAGGAAAATATTAAAGACGAGGAATTCGCAGACGATGCATTTTTAATGGTATCACAGTTGCATTGGGAAGATGATGTTGTCTGGAACGGAGACGATATAAAGCATAAAGTAATTTTAGGCCAAACGATTATTTTATTATTACTGGCATCAGATATGAATAAAGAAAATAAACTTTTTTCTTTGTTTCACACAGGTAATGCAAAAGTTGAATAGCAAAAACAATGCGGCTGGTTGGGTACCTTCAAGTGGCAATAGAACTGCACAAGCTTTCAGCCAACCAGGAAAAGGTGCTCCTGTCACTGTGGTACCCAACGTCAGGCTAGCCACTTCACAAATCACAACGCCACTTCATATGCAGTCACAAAAGAATAAAATGTATGTGAACTTCATATTTCTCATTGAACACTGGGTGAATTTAAAATTTACTTTTAACCGATCGATATCAATCGTAAGATAATGATTGTTGATATTTTCAGTAATAATATGATATTTTCTCGTGATACAGGAATATGGGCAAAGGTAGTCAACAGCAACAGCGTGAGGAGAATTACGACGACACCTGGTACTCTATATTTCCAGTGGAGAACGAGGAACTTGTGTACGGCTTATGGGAGGAAGAAGTAATATGGGATCCAGAGAACATGAAGAAGTTCCCCAAGCCGAAGATACTCACATTGGACCCTAACGACGAAAATATCGTATTGGGCATACCAGACGACATAGACCCGGCTCTTCTTCATAAGGATAACGGGCCACAGCCCAAAGTGAAGATTCCGCATCCACACGTCAAGAAAAGCAAGCTATTGTTGGGCAAAGCGGGTGTCATTAACGTTCTAGAGGAGGATACACCTCCTCCACCGCCTAAGTCGCCCGATAGGGATCCGTTTAACATATCAAATGATACGTGAGTCTCATTTCTCTGTTTTTTTCTTTCTTTTTTTTATGTATTCCAATTGCATGATAAGTCAGTTGCTTATAAGATTCTTTCAGTATCGATTTTAATTGCTTTCTTTTTTTGCTTTATTTAGATACTACATGCCCAGATCATCGGAAACTACGTTAAGACTAAAAGTCGGCGGCGGCAATTTAATACAGCACAGCACTCCAGTGGTGGAGTTACGTGTTCCTTTCGTACAAACACACATGGGTCCAATGCGATTGAGGAACTTCCACAGACCGCCATTACGAAGGTTCAGCCATGGTCCATTGGCTCATCCAGGACCACATTCTGTTTTGCCTTTATTGAAAAACATTAAAAAGAAAGCTAAGGTATTTCTGACAAGGATGTTTGTTATGAAACATGTTAAGAATGATCGTGGGTTTAGAATAAATAACTTTTGTGTGCTTTAGCAACGAGAACAAGAAAGAATTTCTTCCGGCGGAGGCGACGTATTTTTCATGAGAACACCCGAGGATTTGACGGGTCGGGATGGCGAGTTGGTGCTTATCGAGTTCTCCGAAGAGCATCCTCCGCTCATGAATCAGGTCGGCATGTGTTCGAAAGTGAAGAACTATTACAAGAGACGAGCCGGCAAAGATCAAGGTCCGCAGACGTACAAATACGGGGAAACAGCCTACGCTCACACTAGCCCTTTCCTTGGCATACTCACTCCTGGCCAAAGTATACAAGCGGTTGAGAATAATATGTACAGAGCGCCCATCTACGAGCACAAAATCCCCGAAACCGATTTCTTGGTTATAAGAACGAGGTATGTGCGATCAAATATAATTATGACTCTTATAAAATTAAAAGTGGAATATAATTTTGTTTTTGCATTTTTTATTTTATATTGTTAAAAAATTTTTTAATTATATCTTAATTATTATATTTTACATTTTATTTAGTTATTGCATGTTTCTTTTTATTTTTATTATATCTTATATTTAGTTTTATAACTTTAATACCGGCTTTAATATCGTTACAGGCAACAATATTATATCAGAGAGGTGGATGCATTATTTGTCGCCGGACAAGAATGTCCCTTGTATGAAGTTCCAGGACCCAACTCAAAAAGAGCGAACAACTTCGTCCGCGACTTCCTACAAGTGTTCATTTACAGACTATTTTGGAAATCACGCGACACTCCTCGACGGATTAAGATGGACGACATAAAGAAAGCCTTTCCATCCCACAGCGAGAGTAGCATTAGGAAAAGGTTAAAACTATGCGCAGACTTTAAAAGAACTGGTAAATGCCTCTGAATTATCTGTCAATTTTCTTTTATGATAAAATATTCTTTTATTTACAACAAAGTATGTTGTTTGTCTGTAAAAATTGACGTCGCTAATCTTGTGAGTTTTCTGTGTGGAACAGGAATGGATTCTAACTGGTGGGTGATAAAACCAGACTTTAGATTACCAACGGAAGAAGAGATACGCGCTATGGTGTCGCCGGAGCAGTGTTGTGCTTATTTTAGCATGATCGCGGCAGAACAACGGTTGAAAGACGCTGGATATGGCGAGAAGTTTCTTTTCACGCCGCAGGACGACGACGATGAAGAGATGCAGCTCAAAATGGACGATGAAGTAAAAGTAGCACCGTGGAATACGACGCGTGCCTACATTCAGGCCATGAAAGGAAAGTGCCTGCTTCAACTGGCAGGTCCAGCTGATCCAACTGGTTGCGGTGAAGGCTTCTCTTACGTCAGAGTGCCGAATAAGCCCACTATCAGCAAGGTTTGATTAATTTAACTAAAATTTTAAAAAAATTTGTCACGTTTTTATATGAGAAAAAGATATTTCTATAAAAATAAAAACCGATATATCTCATCTTTTTAAATCATAATTTATCGTTAATTGTTTAGTCAATAGATGAAATTTAGAACATTTTTAAACTAGTATTTTCTGTCAGTAATTTATATCCAAAAGAATCGCACACACTATACGATCTAATTAGACTAAATTATCATCCTAAATTATCATTATTCTAAACAGGAGGAACAAGAAGCTCAACCGAAGAGAACCGTAACTGGTACAGACGCGGACTTGAGAAGACTGTCTTTGAACAACGCGAAAGCGTTGCTGCGTAAATTTGGTGTACCTGAAGACGAGATTAAGAAGCTATCGCGTTGGGAGGTAATCGATGTGGTGCGAACTTTGTCGACGGAGAAAGCAAAGGCTGGTGAAGAAGGCATGACCAAGTTCTCGCGTGGTAATCGTTTTTCTATCGCCGAACATCAGGAACGGTACAAGGAAGAATGTCAGCGTATATTTGACCTGCAGAATCGTGTGTTATCATCGAACGAAGTTCTAAGTACAGACGAAGGTGAGAGCTCCGAGGAAGATAGCTCGGACATCGAAGAGATGGGCAAAAATATCGAAAATATGTTATCGAACAAAAAGACCAGCACGCAGCTGTCGTTGGAGAGAGAAGAACAGCAACGGCATGAGCTGCGTAAGATGTTAATGGGCGAAGCACAAGAACAGGAGAAAAAAGGTAAAGAGAGCAAGAAGAAAGACGACGAGGAAGACAGTCCGGTTAACAATTTCAACGCGCAACAAGGCCGCGTACTAAAAATCTACCGCACTTTCCGCAATCCGGAGGGCAAAGAATTCACGCGAGTCGAGCTAGTAAGAAAGCCCGCTGTGATTGACACGTACATCAAGATCCGTAACTCGAAGGACGAGACGTTCATCAAGCAATTCGCCACGTTGGACGATGCTCAAAAGGAGGAGATGAAACGAGAGAAGCGCCGTATACAGGAACAATTGCGTCGGATTAAGCGAAATCAAGAGAGAGAACGTATGTTGGGTGGACCGATTGTGATGAGCGGCAGTGGTGTTAGCGGCGGTGGTGCTGCCAGTGGCAGCAGTTCGAGCAGTGCCTTCGACCGCAACAGTTCCAATATTCCGTCCATTCCCACATCTACGACCAGTATCCTTCCGTTCTGTAATTTCCAATCTTCCAACTCCACATCCTCTAAACATCCTAAACAGGAGGTATCCCCTCCCAAACGTAAAAAACCTAAACTCAAACCAGATCTTAAGCTTAAATGTGGCGCCTGCGGCAACGTCGGCCACATGCGTACGAATAAAGCTTGTCCTCTTTATCAGAACAGCATTACCAATACTGCACCGGTGAATGTTGCCATGACCGAGGAACAGGAAGAGGAAATCGAGAAGCAGTTGAACACCGATGATCAGGATCTGGTTAATGTCGATGGTACCAAGGTGAAATTATCATCGAAGCTGATTAAGGTAAGCGTGTAGATTTAATTCTAAAAGCATACAAATCGATCCTTAATAAGGACAATATAAATAACAATCCGAAGGAATATTTTGAAAATTGCGAATGTTCGACTCGTTTTAGCACGCTGAAGAAATGAAGAGACGTACGTTGCTGCTCAAAGTACCCAAGGAGGCAGTGAATTCGAAGAAACGTAGAAAACCGCCTACCGACGATCATTGTGATTATTTGAAACGCCATCAGAGGCCGGTTAATAGACGCAGAACGGACCCTGTGGTCGTAATGTCGACGATACTGGAAAGTATCGTAAACGAAATGAGGGACATGCCGGACGTGCAGCCATTCCTGTTTCCTGTGAATGCTAAGGTAAATGTTACTTCAATTTACTTGTGCGTTAGTTTAATTACTTGAGAAAGAGGATCTTTGATATGATGATATAGTCTGTAGAATTGTATATAAATATATATATATATATATTATAAATATATATATATTTATATAAATATATATATAAATATATATATATATATTATAATATATATATATAACTATAGAATTAAAAAAATATATATTTTTTTAATTTATAACATGATATAATTTTTTGTAATCTGTCACTAGGCCGTACCCGATTACTACAAGATCATACAAAGACCTATGGACCTGCAGACTATACGAGAGAATTTACGGATGAAGAAATATCAAAGTAGAGAAGATTTCCTAGCGGACGTTAATCAAATTGTGGAGAATTCGAAACTTTACAACGGAACAAAGAGTTCATTGACTGTAGCAGCTACGAGAATGTTAGAGATGTGCGGCGCGAGACTCTTCGAGAGGGATGACCGTCTAATGAGATTAGAGAAGGCTATTAATCCTCTTTTAGACGACAACGATCAAGTTGCCTTTACTTTCATCTTGGACACTGTAGTCAACAACAAACTGAAATCCATGTCGGAAATATGGCCGTTCGCGAAACCCGTCAATAAAAAGATGGTGAAAGATTATTATAATATAGTCAAGAGACCGATGGACTTAGAAACAATATCTAAAAAAGTTTCTGGTAAGGAATTTATATACATTTTTTTTTTAAATACATAACATAGATTTACAATGTAAGAATTATATGTCTGTAACTTATTTTTTTTAAATTAATGTATTTGAAACATCTTTCCAGCACATAAATATCACAACCGTCATGATTTTCTCAAAGATATCGAGCAGATCTTGGAGAATTGCATACTTTACAACGGAAAAGATTCTTCGTTCACGAATAAAGCGGAATTGTTGGTTAAAGTGTGCAAAGAAACACTAGAAGAGGTACAAATATTTTCTTATCGATTTGGTATACAAGAATCATAAAGAATAAATAATAAAATTGAGATCAGAAATTATCCAAAGCAAGAAGTTGCAAGAAGTGATAGATTTATTTCGTTTCAGTACGATGAACATTTAACGCATCTGGAAAATAATATACTACTTGTGCAAAAGCGAGCAATGGAGCAAGCAGATATAGATCCTTCGTGGCTTGGCCCAGACGATGAAGTTGTAGGAGAATCCAGAGACGTAATGATCATACTTATCTTTTATATTTATCTTTGTATTATATACATTTTGTCTTTATAACTTTCATATCTAATTTGCTATTGAAATCTGTTTTCAGAGTCTGACCAGTTCAAATCTATTCGACAAATCGCACATGGACGAATTCGATTTCGTAGACGTAGATGGTGACATGGAGACGGAAGTTGATAGAATTTCGAAGAAGAAAGACATGCTTGAGGAAGGTAAAGTAATATAATCTTGACTTGACTTGATTTTGTATCCGCTGCGCATTATTTAACATTTTTCTCATTCATCGCAGATTTACAATTCTCCAGTGAGGATGAGTTCGATGAGGTACCGTTCGGCGCAGAGGAACATTCCGAACATACCGAAATGGAGACACTGGAGTTAAGCGAGGTCAGGGAAGAAGGAGTTGTGCTAGCAGACGACGATAGTCAACAAGCTGCCGAAGCAATGGTTCAATTAGGTAATGTTGGTTTTTACGTGGGCGAACAACAATTACTTCAGCAAGGTAAATACAGAAGAAACATTATATTTATTGTAATAATTAGAATTTCAAACAATTAATATCGCTGGTTTTTTATGTTTTTTTAGGATTTTGATTGGTTTCAATAGAAATTTGACTCGACAATTTGAAAAATTGGAGAAATTAGAAGCATTGCTTTTAAATGCCTTAAATACGAATTTACCCTTCATATAAATTCAAATGCAAATCGATACAAAAACTTTTTAATTTGTCGTTTTAAATCGTATTTGCAATTTAACATCGATTTTTTACCGCAAGTAATATTTTATTCATTGCTTTTTTTCTTTTTTTTATTTGCAGATGAAAGTATGGATGTTGATCCCAATTACGACCCGTCGGACTTTCTGTTGGCCGGTTTGCCAGCTAGAGAAGATAAGAGCGAGAATAAGATTCAAGACGATCTGGCTGTTTCCGAGAGCGATGACGACGCTGAGAGCAGTAACAATTTACAATCTAAGCAAGAAACTCAGCAGAACCAACAGCAGCAACAATTATCACAACCAGATGAAGATGTTGCCGGCGATTTGTGGTTTTAAGCACATTTAATTGTGTTATTAAAGCAACATAGAGACATTCACTCTTAACATCAAGTACGTGATTAAAGGAAGCACAGGTCAATAAGGTATTCTACAAAGTATCGATGAAGGACTATAATTCTTTGTACATTGTGTACATATGATATACACACATACAGTGATATGTAAATATAGAATAAAATATATTGTATCTTTTTAGCTCAGCGGCAATTTTGCACAACCACGTAGTGTGCATGCATATGTTATTGCAATATGTTTATACGTAAAATAATTACATTTACTATAAACGACATATCGCATACCGTACACATATGCTTACAAATGGGTTATTTAACGCGTTAGTACGTTAAAGTTAATCGTTGAGTTAAAATAATGTTATTTATGAAGGTGATAGAACAGCTGATAGAATCAAACATGAATATTTTAACGCAATGAAGGTTACAATTTCATGTCTCTACTGTGATCTAACATTAAAGAAAAAAAATTGAAAGTTAATAACCTGCAGAAAGACATCTCTGTAACATTTTACTTTATCATTATTCCGCATATTTTTTTCATATCACTCCCTTTACTCGTTGCATCTCTCGTTTACGCAGCGGTGCTCTCATAAATATTTTCATTTGTAACTCGTTTCATTTTCTAGGATCTCCAACTTTTATAAGATTAAATCTCAAACTTTCTTAGAACTTTGTATTTCATAAAATCGTCATCAATGATGACTCATGAGGAACTCGAGCGAAGAATTTCTGAGATTTCCGAGAGCCTTTTGTCCATTCTTTCGCCAACAACTATGCAGCAGGATAAGATTTTGGATAAGATCACGAAGATCGTCCGAAATGCGACAAAAGAACAACTTTTGTCACATGATCCGCGTGTGCTCGTAATATGCATGTTAAGGATTATGTTGCGTTACGAGGATCTGCTACGCGAGGACCGGCTATGTGAGTGGAAGCGTCGACGAAGATTCAGAATCGCACGAGACTGTTACCACGGTCTTTTGAAAACTTATCTGCCAGAGAAGTCACGAGAGGTGGTGGAGGCGGTCGTAGAAACCGTCTATAAAGATCGTCTCTGGGAATTTGAGACCTTTTGTCACGAGGTAATATACAGTTTGCTGGACATCAGTGCGGCTAACGGCGGTCTGATTACCCACGCGATCTGGGACAAATTATTGGAGACACCAAAGGAAGATACACTCGATGTTGAAGATGCTCGTGGTATTATTCGGGTGCTACAAGAGCTGTTGGATGTGCATGAGTGGCCAGCGACAGACGACACGCTGAATACGGTAGATAGAATACTCGACCTCTTCTACGCTAGCATAGTTAACACACAATCCACGACGATAATCTCCGGCAAGCTGTCTTCAGCATCGTTTCTCGCAAACCTCAAGAAGAATTTGGAGGTCTGCCTGAGAAATACGATCAAGCACTTGCCGAATGAGCATCTATTGCTGCTCGTGCAGCGTATGTGCTCATGGACAGTAGCCGCCATTGCAAACGACGAAATTGTGTTGGAGTTCGGCAGCACCCTGGAATATGCCGCCTACACGCATCGAACGGGTCTTTACGAGCAGACCCTCACGCCGGCAATTTTTCCATTATTAATGCAAATGGTGGGCTCAAGTAGTCAGCTGACCAGTCTGCTAGGTAATCGGGTGCTGCAGTATTTGTTAGATCGCAAAGACAACCGAATGCTCTTCGATACACCCAGGCTGTTCTTCGAACATACCCATATTGATCTGCGTATCGGTATGTGTCATAAAGAAGACCGAGTATTCCTCAAGTTGCATCGCGAGTCACTACACGACAATCTGCTGAGAAGTTTGCTGAACCACTCGAGCTCGCGGATGAACTTGGAGACTACTTATTGCACGTTATGCCTGATAGCTATTGAAATCCCTTGTGGCTTCACCGCCGCCACCTTGGTCTGCCTTGCCATGAATCTGCAGGAGATTACCTTACAGCAACGGAAGTCTTACGCGGATGTGATGACCTTCCACATACACGCCACGATTATCTCCATTATGTCTCTGCTATGTTGGATACACCAAGCCAAAGTGTTTTACAGCTATGTAAACAGGATCATGATGGAACGGGCGCAATGGGCGCCACACCTGAATCCACCCATTCAGTCTCAGTATAGCTTCGCGGTGCATCATGTACTCTGGAAGAAGCCGGAATTATTCTTCGTCGACTGGCAAACACGCTATGGCCTCTGGAAGTGTTTTCGTCTGGGTGACAAAGCCTCGTTAATCGACGAATTGTAGATCTAATTGTCCATAAATTTATAAATCTACAACCTCGAAGACTCGTAGAAACAGACTTTTACAAATCAAGTCCATAAAAGGAAGGATTTAGACACAAAAAAATCATAAGACTAAGCATTTATAAATAGAAGAATATATGGAATCAAGAGTATGATTATATTTTTAAAAAGTTATGGAAATAAGAATCTGTAAATCGCAGAGTTTCTAGATCCAAGAATTTGAGAAATAAGGGATTATATTCAGTTTACTTAAAAAATTCTATAGTTTAATTTTGTATTTATATTCTTTATATTTGTATATTATCTTTCTTTGCCGCTTTATCATTATTATTATTATAGTAAAAAATTATATTCTGTATCATAGCTAAGTTATCACTATTAAATTTCCATATACATTTAAGTATATTATCAAAGCAACTTAATGAAAAAGAAAATGTATAATTCATACAGTTACTATAATTTATAAGTGTAGTAATATAAATATATTAATAACTTGCATCACTATGTTTTATTTTAATTAGATCAATAATTTATTATACATAATTTTTTATCTAATTTAATCAAGTCAATTTTTATAAATCATTGCATATATTCATATATTATAGCTGTTATATGAGTGTAATTGAGATAAGTAAATAGATATAATTATTGTAATCTTCAAACTCCATTACTGCAACGCATTGATATTATTAATTACATTGTTATATCTTGTTCTTTTGTAGATGGGTGTCGGAAAGAAAAAGAGAAATTTTATTCTGGGTACCAACAGATAGGAAGTGTCACACTGTATCGCGACGCCATTGCTCCGGGTATCGCGCATGCCGCCATCTCGGAGCGCTTCATAGTCGCATGATTTATGGCGCACTGGTTTTGTAATTCGCAAATAACAAAGTGACTCAGACTTGCTTAGACTATCGTGCGTAATGAGAGCCCTATCGTTGGTGTTGCGTCTAACATTTCCTCCTAAGTCCCGAAGAAAGTTCGAACAATGAAACCCGAATTCGAATGTTCTGTTTGTGAATTCTGTTTGTGAATTTCGCTTTGATGCTGCAATATAAACGACAGGTCTCACAAAATTCTAAAACGACGTGAGAGTTTCATCGTCGTAATTGCCGTCATCGTCGCAATACGACAGAGTCGTATTGTTAAAGCTTAATTTTTCGGCCCAGTGATACTTGAGGTAACTTCTTCGCAGGACCATTGAAGACAAAGAAATCCGTTGCACGGATCTAATCGGTAAACGTACTGATGTCTTTTTGCAAACTGTTAATTTACAAAGGATAATAATGTATCTAAATGATCTTTTAAAATATTATAAAATTCTTTTTGTTTTCACACTTATATTATGTATGTAATGTTCAATTGTATTATTCTATATCATCATCATAGGTCTACACAATTATTTCATTAAGTTGCTTTGACACTTTAAAAAGGCTGATATAAATCTTATTTATAGATTGTTACTTGAGATGTATATAGCAAAAACTAATAGAGACTGATACAAATAACAATATGAACAAATGTAACAACATAGCATTTGCAAACTAAGCTGCAGTTAAATATAATTTTTTTATAAAACATCTTTTACAGGTACAATGTCTAGCGAACAATTTTCTTTAGTATGGAACAGTTTTCCAAGAAATTTGTCTTCCGGCTTATATACTTTGTTGACGGATGAGCAGCTTGTAGATGTTACATTGGCAGCTGAAGGTCAAATTTTAAGAGCCCACAAGTTGATATTGTCAGTTTGCAGCACATATTTTCGGGAGCTTTTTAAGGTATTGTTAAAAAAAAATATTTACAAATAATTGTTTTTTCTTTTTTATTTTATTACAGTTGGCATTAATATTCTTTGTGTCACATAGATGAATTCATGCAAACATCCTATTGTCATACTAAAAGATATCAGTTATCGGGACCTGTCATCTATGCTGCATTTCATGTATCAAGGAGAAGTTAATATAAAACAGGAGGATATCTCCAGCTTTCTTAAAGTTGCAGAAACTCTTCAAATAAAAGGACTGACTGCAGGATCAGATGAGGTATGTTGTATTAAACATTCGAGTTTTATCTATGCAAATATATAAAATATTTTAGAAAATGCTGCCTGATGCTAATAATGTCTAAAGGGAGGGTTTACATGAAAAAGGAAACTTATATATAAATACTGTCATACAAAGAATAATTTATATTTCTCTAAGATATTTCATCAAGACACTATAATCTCTAACATTATAAGTTTTATTTCAGAAGCTCAGTGATACTCTTGAAGGGAAGAAAGATTGGAGAGACTTAGACTTTTATCTAGATAAGGATGAAGATAATCCTAGCCATACAGACGGAGGCTCGCACATTGCGGAGAAAGAACAATTAATAAGGAGACAACATGTTTTGACAGAAAGTTTAAAAGGAGGAAGATCTTTCACAGAACCGACATTAGGTGTCGGTGATATTAGCCACCAAGTTCACACAGAATCTGACGACTACAATCTCCCCGCAGACATACGGACGACTTATAGCGAAAAGTGTGCGAGCGCGGATGTACCGATCAGCAACGTCGAACCATTGGATTGCACATCATCAGACGTGAGTCAGCTGCAGAACACTAAACACGAACCACTGGATTACACGTTGGACACCGACATAGATGCTGAATACAACAGATCGTGCATGGTGGAGAAAGTACTATATAACTCCGAGGAGAACGCGCAGAGACAAGGTAGTGATCCCCCTTCTGCTCCCTGTTGGCATCTTGCGCTTGTAAAGACGACGACGACGATTGACTAAATCGTTAGACTGAATAAACGTCGACGAAACATCGTCATCCGGAGCTGAAACGCCCTTCGGCCAAAAAGAGAAATTTGCCGGCGGTACCAGCGGTACACCGGAGCGCCGGCGCAAAGGTTTGACGTACTCAAGTGTTGCCACGGATGGATATGTGTTACTTTATTATCGAAAATCATTATCACGTGTTTGGCTGCGACAGTTGCAAATTCCTACAAGCACTTTGTTACATACTCTTTGACTATAACCCCCGGTGTGGCAGTGTGATTCGCTAACGATTGACAACAACTCCTCCACGATTTTCCATGACAATTCTCTGACTATGCATTGAGATCTAGGGAAGTCTGTATTTATGACAGTTGACGCGGTTTTCTAATTTCACATCAAGACACGAAGACCGTGATTCGTTCAACTTGTTCGACGCCGGGGGTAAAGTCAAATTAGATTTTTCTACGATCAACGCAATATCACGTTTGCATGCTCACGCGAATGGGTGTTTCAAATCCGAGCGAGCGATGTGTATATCTCGAGTATACTTTCCGCATAAATTCATCACCAGGCACCTCATCTCATGCGGTCATGGATGTTTAGAAAAAGCGATATTGTCTTACAGATTTCGCGCCAGACACGCAGTTAGTTCCCTACAGTCAGAACTCACAAACTCAACCGTTCGGTACGTTTTACATCTTTGCCACATTTTGCTTATCTCATTCGCTCCTTTGTTTTTCTTCTCATTCGTTGGCCTGTACATTTGCAAAGGGAACCAACTCACAAGACATGTTCTTGTTGCAAAATGTAGATCCGAGCGATGATTTAGTTGCTCCTCTTGGTGTTTTCTGGATTGCTTTACTTCTGAAAACAAATACCATTTGTTTCTCTCTAAGTCACAGGATTTTACATTTTCACGCTATGGTTAAAGTACAGCTTTTATACCGAATACAGTGTCACAAATGTGCATAGATAATTGCCTCTGTTTTTTTCTCTTGTCACACATATATTCATATTTGGCATGTGTTTCATCACTTTACGTAAGCTTTCGATACATGAGAGTTCCTTCCTCGCAGTCGGACAGCACGTTCTCTTTCTCTCTCTCCTGGCTTTAATATTCTCGGATTTTTTCCCTTCAGGTCCAAGCAACGTGACGGCGTTTCAGGGTGATTATATGCCGTACGATGCATCGGTGAGCCCTAGTAACAAAGGTCGACGCACCGTTAAGGGTATACCCGGCAGCAGCTTACCTCTGGAAACAACGCTGCGTGTCGTTTCGGAACTAGGACCGACGCTCCGCTTTGAGCGCGGCAAGATGATACGCATGTATTCGTGTCCGTGGTGCCTCCGTCATTTCACGCGGAAGGAGAATCTCAAACTCCATGTCCGTTATATTCACGGTCCGCTTGAAAGTCTCACGTGTAAGCTTTGTGGTAATAAATATAAGAACAGTAACAGTCTGCGTGTACACTCCTACCTCTATCACAACGCCAAGCGGGATAAGCACGGCAAGCCACTCATGGACGGCGGCGGCAGTGGTGATGGCGGTGGTGGTCACGGTGGCGGAGACAGCGGTGTCGTGTGAACAGAGACCGGAATGAATCTCTTCTCTTGTATATGAACTTTCGCGGAAGACTTTGTGTGGCCGTCGTGTAAACGGTGTAAGGCCGGTGCAAGTATATAGCGTGAACGGCGAGTGGAATGAATTTATTATATTTATATTCGCGCACAATGCTACACTCGCACAAGTGTATCTAAATATTAAGTAATTACCGACCACACTTCAATACATTTATAGAAATAAAGCGCCTTATTATATACATGTTCTTGCAGACCTATCGCCCTCCTTTCATATCCATCGTCCAGATTTCGTCACTGAACTCCTTCAAGATCCACTGTTGTTTTTGAGATAAGTAAAAAATGTGGGGATGCGTGTGACATATCGTCCCCGTTATATAATAAAATAAAATTGGATTTCGAAGAAAACGATTGCATAAAATTTCATGTAGTCTTGAAAATTGATGAAACATCGAACATTTTTTACTCGAAATATAAATCGGATTAAAGATCGGATCGAAATATAAATTAAGTGCGTAAATTTACAATTCTCTTTCTTCACGGTAATCATAGCATTTGATGTTTCTCGAATATTATTAGATATTCTGTTTATATGTTTCTAAACGAAAATAAAGTCGAATTTAGAGTTATTGGATATGAATATACAATGCATCTTAAATCCTCTAAACTAAAATACTCTTAGTATTTCTTTTGTCCTTGCTGTTTATGGCATGCAACGCTTAGTCTTTTATCTACTGAAAATGTAGATAAAGGGATAAAACTATAAATAGTAAACTACAGTATTTATATTACAGTTGTAGTTATAAACAACTATAGATATAAGATTTAATTAACATTTTGTTAAATAAATAAAAGAATGGTAATTTTTTTATTTAAAGGAAAAATAAAAAGAAAAAGCTTGAGTCAAAGTAGTTTTAAATTAAGACAAACGAAATACACAATATAATAATTTTTAATATAACACAATTAATAATGTATTAACAATTTAATTACACTTTTCCAATGTCGATTCTATGCATTCGCTAATCTTTGCTAAAGAAAACAGTCGATACGCAGTGTCGTTTATTTAGACTCGTCCAGTGATTGCAAAAGAAAGAAATAAGACATAGTAGTGTTCAAAATCTGGTAAAAAAAGCAAAATTAATTTTAATTAAATTAATTTAAATTCATTTCAGTTTAAATTAATTTCATTTCATCAAATTAAATCCACTTAAATTAATTTTAGATATGGTCAATAAACAGATATAAAGAATCGTCTGAACTCTACAAAAGATAGGATTGAAAGAGGAGTTGAAAAATTATTGTTGACAAATGCAAAAATGTTTGTTATGGAATTTTTATGAAACCCTCTCGGCAAAAAAGAAATTACTCACAAAGGATTCTTACGTCTGTAAATACTTTGATATTTTCATTAGGGTAGTATTTCATCAAGTAAATCGATACAGCAAAATTTTGAAGTTGAACTTATTGTATTCTATGCTGTTCTTACAACAAATTCTCGCAGATTTTACAATTGATGCGAGAATGCGAGATGTGAGGAAAATATAATTTGATTTAATCGCATGATAAAAATCGATAGTGAATTGCTCAGGCGATAAGCTTTATTGAGATTTATTCAGCTGTTGACTGCATATTGATTCAAACACTCACGTTGATAAACATGTTGACATTTACGGAAGACACTTTTAACGCAGTTATAACTATTGGCTTTTGCAGCATCGTCACGACAACGCCTACTCTCACGTGACAATCGAGTTTGGAGTTCGACCATTCGCTGAAGTAGATTCCCTCGCGGAAGTGCTCGCTCTAAACATTCGAAATGATTGACTTCGAGTCAAACAACGATCACTCGTCTTTAAAAGTATCGTCGATCGAGACACTCACCGCGCTCGTGACGAGGCTGCCATACCAAGCATAGATGAATGTTTGCAGCAGTTTCATCACCATGAAAGAGCCAAACGAGCAGAATTGGTTGACTGTCATGTCTGTAAACTATTCCCAAACAGAAGAAATTTCTAAAAGACATCTTAAAGATGTCTAAAAAACATCTAAAGTCTTCAAGACGTCTTAAAAAAATAAGACGCCTTTTGAAACCTTTAAGATATATCCTTTAGAAAAAAAGTTCATGCTATTTGTTATGTTTTTTTATTAATAAACAATTATTTATTATATTTTTGTTATTAATAATCAATTATTGTAACGAAACTGCAACGTATTACAGTTCGTGTTACCTCTAACAGGATAACAAGAAGAAATCCTTCTCGTTTTCTTGTGTCTCGTCATGCGCGATTCAATCACACATACCGGATACACCTCGAAGATCAATGCGCACATTAGCACAGCGTTGGCAAGGATCATCCGTAGAATAATGATCCCATAGACATCCTCCAGTAGACGCACTGACTGGAGCAATTGCTGATATGTCTCCGTGCACGTCTTCAGCACTACCAAGAATACATCATCGGGCTGCGGACTCATCAGCCGCGCAGACATGGCGTGCAGTATCGACGAGATCTGGAACGTGTAAAAGCCGAAAAGATTGTCGACCGCGGCGATGGTAAATACCATCCACCAGCTGCTGAGCACTTGATACAAATACTGTAGATAGAAGAGGGGACCACTACTTGGCACCGACCATGGGAACTTCACCGGGTATGGCCATTTGTATCTCACGGCGATCGCCGAACGAAAGATGACTGGCCGGATAATCACGTTAATTACCGAGGGCAACACATACGATAAAATCGTAAAACCTAACATGAAGCTTAATACATAAGACGGTCTGGCGAACGTGTACAAAGAAGCGAGCATGGTCGTCTTGGTCCTCTGGTCTCGTGCCAGTTCCTGCTCGAAGAGATCATTCAGCGTTTTGTGCAGCTTGAGCAACTTCTTCCGTTTCACCAGGAAACAACACGACTGGAAGAAAAAACAAACGAGCATGTTGTGTTCACCCACTGATTAAAATAGGATTATTAGAAATTCATCTATTTGGAGAAATTAAATTGTTAGCCAGCTCATAATCGCAAATTGGATTGGAAATGCTTCCAAATGAAATATTTTGTACAGTAACTTTCTTCAAGAAAATTCTTTAAAGGGCAAACTCCGTGAGAATTTTTGAGTATAAGTTATTGAGATGATTTCTTTAACTGTGTGAATAGCCTTTAGACGAACGAAAAATGAACAACGTCTTCTACATGCATATAAAGCACGTTTTGCTTACCATTAAAACAGGCGTGAAGATACTGCTGGCCAGGCCGAAGCACTTTGACACGATCATTAAATTGTCAGAGTAGTCCCGGCAGAAGTTTATCACGAAGACAACTTGGCTGAAACACATGAAGATCACCAAGATGCCTATGACGTACGACTGAACCACGGAGCGGACTTGTAAAACACCACCGAGATATAGTATTCGGTGAATACGACGAGCATACGAGCGATAACAGTGCACCGGGACGTCATCGACCGTGGTGGTTGTCAGTATATCCGGGGATCGCTCAGGGTGGTGATCCATGGCTGATAGGATAATGGGGAGAAGTCTGACAGGATTATCGGGCAAGAACAACGTATAATATTGCTAGAAGTTCCCGACAGAAAAAGAGCGCGTAAGTGCGCTCTTGCTCATGGAGGGTTGCGCGTAATGACGCGAACGAGCTTTTGATTTTATGTCTTCGAAATGCATGCCTCGTCAAATTGGTCACGGAGGCGGAACAATCGTATCTTCGACGTCATTTCTCACAAAGTACTCTTTCTGTCACCTTTCATTTTACGAATAATCAAATCATCTTGTTATAGCTATGAAATATTAAAGATCAACGAGATCGATTCTCAAGGAACATGACCTCGCGTCGAAAGTAGTTGAGTGTAAGGTTGGCAAGAGAACGTCGACACGGATTGTTACAAAAAAATTTGCGTAAATAAATGAAAAAGTGATTCAAAGATATTTACGGGTTTGTTCTTAAAAGATGGAAATGAATGAGATATCGATATGGAAAAAATTTCCGATACATGATAATATCCTGTGAAATTACTCAGAACAATAATTTCAAAGTGAAGTTTACTTTAATTAATTAATAATACTTAAATTAATTCAATTATTGTTATGGATCTTCGCAGGTTCTTACTTAAGTTTTTTATATTACCTATATATTTTTCGGCAATTTATATTTTAGATAAAAAATTCTACTTGTTGGAACTTGTTGGAAAAGTTAAAAAATATTAATTGTAATAAGCTACTCTTTTTGAAAAAAATTCAAATGTGCTATAATCGAGTCAATATATCAGGTACCAAACGTCATGATAGCGGCGTTGCTCCGATTCGATTTTAGTTATGAATACAGTGTATAACCACTGATGAAGTAATGCTAAAGACTGTCAGCCCTGGGTAAATTATTTCGTTGGCAAAGGGCCTCGCGGGGCCTGGAGGTAATTTAAGAGTCATGAGAGTACCGATCATTTCAGCTATACCGAAGATAACACAACATTTGTATCTCTATCTTGTTTCTATGTCTTGTAGAATTTAGTTTTCAACTTTGAAGTATAGAGAAAGGGGAAGAGGTAGTCCCTGAGGGCTTATAATTGACGTATATGTGAAACTTCAATTGTTTCAACTTGTTAACTCCGGTTTTATTTTTCAATTAATTTTACTCAATACTTTCAATTAATTTACTCAATACTCAAAGGATGATTACCTCTGAGGTAGGAATATAAAATTTTCTGGCATAGGCCGTACGTTGGATACTTAATTATTATATTGCCGGAGAACAAACAATCTCCTTCCCTGGCAGTAAATATAGAATAAATATATATGTATATGTATAAGTAACAAAATTATTGCTTTTGCTCACAGGCATAGGCAATACATGTGCTTTATCTCAAAAACACATCGTAAATTAACAGATTAATTCTTCAGTTAATTTTCCTCTGAGGACAATTCACACATATTTAATAATTTAATGAAGTCGTACATATAACGACGTAAGAAGATCTTTAAGATTAGTAATTTAATAAAACGAGAGTGATATAATTTTCCTCAACTTACGCAACATATGCTGCAAAGTTGTTTTGAAGGAATATAACATTAAGAAATTTGTTAAATCACTTTATAAGGAAGACTATTACAAATCGTATATTTACTTAATAAGTCTGCTACATGATAGGTGAAAAATACGTTTAAGATTATACGATAAGGGTCGGTTGTTCCAACTTCTCGGTAAGTTAACTGATTGTTAAATCATTTGTTTTTCCTTTAATTTAGACATATCATTTAAATAAAACATAGTGTTAGTTACCTTCTCGATACTTTCCGATATCTTTTTCCCATTACTCCATATCTGTTACCATTTATGCTTATTCGAGCTCTACAGCTTCATATTCCAGCTACAATATTCCTAAGAGGGCGTTAGCGTTCGGAGAGATTTCTTTCTTTGAATCTCGTGAGACCAACGATCTTTATTAGCGTCTCGTCAGTGGTATAGCCAATTTCAGCTCGTCTTTTTCTCTAATCGTTGTTTAGTAAGATCGAGTAAAATAACGAGAAAATTCGAGTAGTGTTTTCGTTGTGGGATAAAGTGTAATTATTTTGTAAAAATTTACACTTGCGCGCAACCGTTCATAATGCAGATAATGTTTGAACGATAAATATGACGTGATTTAGATAAAATCTGATTGAATGAATCAATATAACCTCGTTCCGCAACTTTTGTTGTGCTTTGTTGAGTGAATCGAGCGGTAAAACGTGTCCAGAATGGCGGTCGGCTCGACGAAAGTTGTTCAGGTGACTAACATCGCACCTCAAGCTACCAAGGACCAAATGCAAACTCTTTTCGGATATCTCGGCAAAATTGAAGATATCAGATTATATCCTACGATCAGAGACGTTGCCGTACCCGTACAGTCACGCATATGCTATATCAAGTTCCACGACCAGGGCTGTGTTGCTGTGGCGCAGCACATGACTAACACAGTCTTCATCGACCGTGCACTTATTGTAATCCCTTACCAAAATGGAGATATTCCGGATGAACAACGTGCTCTAGAACTAACCAACAATGGCACAGTTGTGCCAGGCAAGTATAAAATATTACAGAAATATATGGAAATATAAATTAACGCAAACACAAATATAAAATACTTGACAGTTTGAGACTATAACTAGAGAGGTATCAGAATATATCATAAGATCACAGAATAATAGAATAGTGTCTAAAAATATAAAGCTCTACGAACCTATAATTATTTACAATTTAATAATTTTTCTCAGGTCTCTACCCATCAGAACCAAAACTGCCACCAAATGTGGTGAATGCCATCGAAGGTATCCCTCCAAATCATGTCATCACTACTATGGATCCCAAGCTGGAAGCGAATGGATTGCCACCTTATCCACACCTGCCAGGCCATTTGGATAGTAGACGTATTGAGGAGATTCGGCGGACACTGATAGTGGCGAATCTGGATGCGTCTGTGAGCGCTGAGCAGCTATTGGAATTCTTCAGCAACAACAATGTGGAGATCAAGTACCTGCGTATGTGCAGCAGGGACTCGGATACTGAACATTATGCGCTAGTGGAGTTGTCGGAGCAGGGTGCTGTAGTTGCTGCACTGTTGTTGAATGGCAAATCGCTGGCGGAACGTCCGATTAAGATCTACCACTCGACCCAGGCAATTGCGAAGCCGGAGGCGAAGAGTAACGAGGCCGCACAGAAGGAGATCGAGGAGGCAATGTCGCGGGTGAAGGAAGCGCACAATCTCATCTCGGCGGCGATCGATCCTATGATCGGCATGCTCTCCAAAGATAAGCGCAGTAGAAGTGGCTCGCGCAGTCGGAAGTCCCGTTCACGCTCGCGCGGCCGCAGCCGGCGCTCCAGATCGCGCAAAAGATCGCGGTCACGCCATCGACGCTCGCGATCTCGTCATCGTTCGCGCTCTAAACGTTCTCGATCGAAGGAGCGCCGGCGCAGCTCGCCATCGCGACGACGCAGCGGTTCTCGCAGCCGCCACAGATCACGTTCCAGATCACGTCGATCAAGGTACTAAGGGCTTTTCGCAAGTCTATTATGTTGATGTTGTACACTTTTATCTATTTGACTTACGACTTCGAGACATTGTAAAACATCTTAACGGTAAAAACGTATTTAAAAAAGATGAAGATAAAAATTTTATATATTTCTAAATCATTATGTTGCGTTAGTATATTGCAAATTCTAGCACACTTAATAAACAGACATTACGCAGTGAACTCGGAGGGAAGATTAATCTCTCACTTAATTGCAGATCACGTCGATCACCGTCCAGATCGAAGGAGCGGAAAAAGAGATCGCCCCGACGTCGTAGTCGCTCACGTTCACGTAGCAAACGTTCCAAGTCGAGATCTAGACGCTCGCGTTCTAAATCCAAGTCCAGGTCGTCTAAATCCAAGTACTCTGATAAATCTAAGGACAAGGACCGGGAAAGGCGCAGTAAGGATAAGTCGGACAACGGTAAGAAGAGCGACAGCGATCGGGAGAGGCCCGAGAAAGAGAGCAAGAGTGAGAAAAAGAGGTCCAGCAAGGAGAAAAAATCCAGCGACAAGTCAGAGTCGAAATCGGAGGAGAAGGGCAGATCCGCTTCGGAGAGCAATGACAGCAAAGAGAAGACTGCCGAATCGGAGAATTAAATGGGACAGGTTATGCGACTTGACGAAGTTTCATTCAATAATTTCGTCAGTTTCTGAAAATCTTCATTTATCTTTATGTATTGATACAGTAACAAAAAAGAAGAAAAAAATATACAACTTCACATCATTTGAGAGCTTCTTCCTTTCGGATGCGATGATCCATTCGCTCGTTGATAACTAGAAGCCATCGTCAATTACTGGCTGGTTGTCGCTTAGGCTTTTGGCTTTGTTCGCTTCTTTCTCGGGACAGGCGGCGGCTTGATAACGTCGTCGCTTATTTCTATCATAGGTGCTTTGGATGGCCTTTAAACAATCGTGAGAAACAGTGTGCTATGATATGCGATTTAATTGTAGCGTGTGTTTTAGTCTAATATATAGAAATTTATTGCATATATGTGTAATAAACTTCTATACATAAATATAAATCAGTTTTAATGTAATACATAGAATAAAGGCAAAATTATCGAGAGTTTAGGAGCCGGTGTTTATAGCAACATTTTACATATGTTACTTTGTAATAACATGCGAACAATGAGTCGTATGAAAGGAATGTGTCTCTCAACGAAAGAATACTTTCAAACAATCATATCTTTTACTGTTAAATTATTTTTTATATTGTCTGAAAATGAAGAAACATACCCAGCAACCATTTGGTTTTCGTAAATGGCTACGTCGTCGTAAATCTCGATCTTCATAGGTACTGGGGCGCGAAAGAGCGATTTTTGTGCATTTTTTATGGTTGATCGTCTTTTCAGTACCATCTGCAATTTTTTTTATGTATGTTGATTAACTACCTTCTTTTGCATTGCACATTCCTTTGAACTGTAAAATGTTTTCTTAACATTATTTCTTACCATTCCAGTGTTTCTTCTGTCTTGTGTTGAAGTCATTTCTATCGAGCTGTCCATACGAACATTTTTGCGCAATATGTCATCCATTTGGCTACCCCCTGTTGATTAAAACGAATATTTTCTACAGAACGCTTCAAAAGCTAAAGCCCTTTCGGGACATTCCACACAAGTAATTAAGTTAAAAGTTTTCAATGTTTACTCACGCATTACTAATTCGTCATATTGGCCGAGCGGATCTATCTCCAAAAATGTGGATAACGTATTGGGATAACGTAGATCCATGAATATCATTACGATCGCCAGAAGGACACATAGTATACCTGGAGATGCATATATATAGAAGATATATATAAAAGTAACAAAAAACGTCACCAGTGTAGAAAAGATTATTCTTCGAATTTTGTTAAAAGGATAAATTAAGCAAGCGAGTCAGTGACAACGATTTTGTTGCTGTCAATATTGAGTTTGGTGATTTAAGAATTTAAAACAAGGAAACGTGGAAATTAAAACTACTTTACGTAAATTTTAATTGTGTTAAGATGCAAAATCTCAAGAATGTCACCTAAAAAAATAAAATTTTAAGGATCACACACACACACACACACACACATACACACATACATATACACATCAAGATTAAGATTATTTCAAGTCCTAAGATCATTTCTGCAAATAGATCATTGATCTGATCAATCACCGCATGTAAAAGTCATCCAGAAGTGTGTGCCCAGCGTGATCCTAATGGTGTCTTTCTCGAAAGGGATCACAAGCGGAATCGGATTGTGCACAGAGATCCACACGAGGCAAGTCAACAACTGTAAGCTGCCGATTATGCCGATTAAGTAAGCGGAATACCGACTCACAGATTGCAGGAAAATGTTAGCCAAGATCCAACAAGCGAAAGCCGTCCTGCGAATCATGGATAGTTTCAAATTTTTACGTTGAAGTATCTTTCTAAGAGTAGCTTTATTTTAAAGAAAGATCTCTATGATTTCTTATCTTCATTTACAGATTCAAGATTATAATGCTATTAGGATTTTGCTTTGTGACAAGTAAATATGCAAAGATATTTATTTCTTCATCTGGCTTATTACTCGTGGAGCTCATTCAAACTCGAGTTTGTCTTCTCCGTGCTTCAACATGAGCAAAAGAAGCAGAGTGACGTTTTACATAGTTCTATCTCACATCTCCATTTTTCATACTTACCAAAGCAAAATGTGACAATACCAGCCAGCGGTTCGATAAAACCGCCCGAATCGAATGCCTTCCCCATCAATAACAAAATATTCGGCGATCCATAAAATGGGAATCGGCAAACCTCTCCTTTGGCTTTCGCGGAAGGTCCTCTGTAGTAATCCGGCTACAGAAATTTTCATTTACGTTATTTTATGTGGACATTGATGAAAAATGGAGTATTTATTCGCAATAATATCTACCATAAGGCCCGAAACCGATTCTACCCTGATCCCATGTCCAAGGAAATCTTTCATTGTAATCGATCGTTTCCATCGCGAGCGTTGTGTTTTCTTTTGGTTCAGCTGAAAAACCCTCGATAAAAGTCTAACGAATTGTGTCATGTTTTACTAATTTTATCTTTTTATTTATCATTCTATCTTTTATTACCTATTCTAAGTCATTTTATTTCTCCAATTTTCCTTCTCGCTAATGTATTTTTTATGTTCAACGTGAAACTTTTAACGAACTCTGTTACCTTGATTTTCGACTCATTCTCACGAATTACCTTTCAACGTGATGTTCACCGATCTTAGTCCTATTTTGACTTCCAATCGGGCCTCGATTTCCTCACCCACACCGGCCCGATAAGGTGTTGTACTATTTGCTCTGCCATATTCCCATTTCTGACCAAAATTCTCCACTGCAAAATTGATGTTCAATTAAACTGGTGAAATTGAAAGTCAAAAGTTCTATTTGAAGTATTCACCGATTAGTAGACATCCAATGACGATGCTTAAAGTGACCTTGATGGTCATGTAGATGCTCTTGATAATCATGTAGGTACAATAACGAAAAATTAGTTTTAATAGTATATTGAATATTGAATTTATGCAGGAAGAAAGTTTAGAATCTTAGTGAAAACCAGTTCGTGTGAAATCACTATCGAACGTCCCATTTTAAATGCTCCAGGCAAATATTTCGAAAAATATGAAAAACACGGGAAAATGTTTCAGACAAAAGTTGCATGGTTTGAAGGGGGCCACATGATGAAAATATGGACTTGACCTTGAGTGACCTTTTTAACGCCAGGTTAATGTAATCGATGTTTTTTTAAATAGAACTCCCTTTTTTTTATTGCATATTCTTGTAGCCCTTGTTAAGAGGTTTTCAAAACACTACCTATTTTTGTCTTTTGCCTAAGCCATTTCCAAGATATGAAGTTTCAAAGTTGACATACCGCCGGCATTCGCATTACCCGATGTACATCGCGGGGAGATTGAAGTATTCTACTGTCTCTTGTCTGTTATTAATAAATGCTTTGAATTCCATTTCAAGCCACTAGTACGAATTTTTTATCGACATAGAGCGCTAAATATTATTATTCGCCTATTGCACTTTCTCTCGCTGATAAATCTTATTTATATATTTGGGTTATTCCTACAATTGTATTTCTGATTAGTTTTATAATGCTCGATTATCTTCCGGAAAAATGCCGGTGATATCAACTTTGAAGTTTCATATCTTGGCAATAGCTTGGGCATAAGACAAAAATGGGTAGTGTTTTAATAACGTCTCGACAAGGGCTACAAGAATATGCAATAAAAAATAGGAAGTTCCGTTTAAGAAAACATCGATTACATTGACCTGGCCTTGAAAAGGTCAACTTAAGGTCAAATCCATATTTTCATCATATGGCTCTCTTGAAACCATGCAACTTTTGTCTGAAACATTTTTCCGTATCTCCCATATTTTTCGAGATATTTACCTGGAGCATTTCAAATGGGACATCCTGTACCCAGACAGCACAATGTCCAAAACTAGGACATAAGACGTCTTTAAGACGTCTTTAAGACGACTTAAAGATGTCTTATTTTCAGACATCTTAAAGACGACTTAAAGATGTCTTAAAGACGTCTTATGTCTCAGTTTTGGACATATGTGCTGTCTGTAGTATTTAACGCGGTATTAAGTACAATGAATTGTAAAATCAATATCTAAAGAGAAAGAACTCCAAAGTAAGTTTGTGAGATTATTTTCGAAAATAACTTTTGGAACATAAATATATTCATTGCAATTTTTCATTAACTGATTCATATAATATGACGCAAACGTGTATAAACATTTTGAAAAAATCCATCAGTGATATTTCAAATTTATAAGAAGTTTTCGTCGTACTTACTTGTCTTTTCCGGTAACTTGGTATGATACTAATATAAGCAATCGAGATAATGACGAAAACTGCGATTAATATGGTCTCGATCACGTCCACTGTCACTGCGGTATGATGCGGAGAATATATCGCGGGAAAGCCCTCTAATCGTCCGAATTGAAAATTGCCCATTTTATGTAGCACCGCTAACAACTTCACTATTACTTTATATGCGGAGAGTCCAGAAATTGAGTCAAGGGGGACCATTTAACATCTGAATAGCGTTGTTCGTAATAGTGAATATACAGCCTCGGCGTTACAGCTTTATCTGAACTTCTCTTCCGGCTTTCCTTGTATTTCGTGGATGATGACTAAAGTCTCGTTATCGTTAAGTTTCCGCAGTTATTGCAGAAACCAGTATCGCGTGTAGTTACATCAATATAATACATAATTTTACGTGCTTAATATAAATTAATATAAATAATAGAAATACCGAATTTTTATTATAGACATAAAAGGAATTAAAAATTTTCATTTTGTACATAATTGAAATTTCGAATTTATGGACGTAACATTATGAATGTAATAGAAATACAGTTTTTATTATACATATAACGAAAATATTAATTTTTCATTATAGAACTAATGAAAATTTAATTCTCATTGTGTACATAATGGAAATTCAATTTTCATTATATAATACATAATATAAATACTAAATTTTCATTATAGCGATAGTAGAAATTATTTCATCATGCAGAACTTCATGACGTACGTATTAGAGATTCTGAGTTTTTATTATATTTCAAGTTATGTACATACACAGTTGCATACACGGTAAGCATATATATGCACACACACACACACACACGTAACAGAGGTTTTCTCCTCTTTCCCGTATGCATCCGTTTTTTTGTGTTTCACTTCATTATTTTATATATATTTTTTTATGACAATTTTTTTAATTGAAATTTGCATCCGCGCAAGTGATATGTTAAAATTCACATTTATATGAATAGAAAGAAGTCTGAAAGCAGCCATTGGGCCGGATGTTCCGGGGCGCTTTTCCGACGCGTCCTCTGAGAAAATTTATGCTCACTATAGGTCTGTTTTTTATCGCTGAACTAGTGTATATTCAGGGAACATAAAAAGAAATAGATATACATCTAGAAGTTAGTGAAAAGGAGAGAAGAAGAAAATAAGTGCAAGTTAGTACAGCCAGTTCAGCAATAGAAAACAAACCTCATGTCTGCCCTGATGGTAACAGCAAAGTGTGCACGATTCTTGTTCATTCCACTTTCTTACAAAAATAGTAAGAAGAAAAGTTAGAAAAGAACAGACGATCGCTCTTCATCTTTGTCTCACCACCGATGAGCAGACCGTGCGGCAGGAATAGCCACAAAGTGGGTCAGCGGCAATCTTATCGCTAAGCGAGAATTCTTCCCATTTTGCCTCTTCGCAACTGACAAATTCTAGCAATGACTACCTAAGACTGTCAGCCATGGATAAATTCTCGTATTGGCCAAGGGAGCCCCAAGGGCCCTGAGATAATTAAAGAGCGATGATAATATCGACTGCTTTAGATACGCTCAAGATAATATAGCCAGCAATTATTGCCGTTGCGAGGCGAGGGGAAAGACCACAGACTTCTAATATAACTAGACTGCTAACTCCGACTCAATACATGACCCCGAAAAGTATGTACCGTCCTGGTGTCCGACGTTCACGTCTGATTGGTTGAATCAAAACACATTTCTTCTAATTGGATGAACCATATTACTTACATACCCTTTCTCCTTGTCCAATTCACGCATGCACAGATGTTTGATTCTCTTAAGCCAGCGGCACACGGTGCTTGTTTTCGTGCTGGATTGCTTGCTGCATGAAAATACTGCGTTCTGATTGGTGCATTTCCGAAGATGGATGGAAATCAGAGCGCCAATTAGAACGCAGTATTTTCATCCAGCAAGCAATCCAGCACGAAAACAAGCACCGTGTGCCGCTGGCTTTAATTTATTGCACTAACAGTGCAGCTAAAAAGAACATACCAATAAAGATTAGCGACTGAAAATCTTTAAGTATCGAATATATTGAAGTTTGCAGCGACAAAGAAATTAACTATTATTTTATCACAAGTGTGGAGGGCAGAGATGATCATTTTTAGTTAATTTCGAGTTAAAAAGTATTTTACAAGATATAAATACACAATTATGTCTAACAATAATATTACTTTGCCAAAAGCTCCAAAAGATCTGTGCTTTTCTGAGCTTGATTTTATACAGGTTTGATTCAATTATTGCCAAATTTATTTATTTAAATAATAATCAACTTTCCACCAATATAATTTAACATATATGCATATGTATTAGCTACGTTATTTTATACATATTTTATTGTAGGATAATTTTGATGTTGATGCTTTTTTGCAAGAGCATAGAAAAAATGGCAAGCTTGAGACAATGCGTGATGATCTTGGCATGTACTTGAAACTATTGAGATCTGCCATGATTGATCTAATTAATAGGGATTATACAGATTTTGTGAACCTATCCAGTAATTTAATTGGTCTGGATAAAGCTATTAATGATTTGCAATCACCGCTAGGACAGCTGAGAGAAGAAATTATGGTAAACTAGAGAAGAATGTATATAAAAAAATATTAATTTTACTCTTTATAGTTGCATTCTTAATTTATAATATATAGTTTACTTGTAATAACAAAATTATTTCTCAATTTTTCATTTCTGACAGCAAGTATGGCAAGCCTTGGATGATGAAATTATAGCTATTTCAACTAATTTAAATGACAATCTGAAAATCAGAGAACGTAAACAAAGTTTAAACAGTTTACAATATGTATACAAATCACTGAAGAAGCTTTCTTCCATATTATCTATGAAAACATTTATGGAACATCCTACTAAGATTGATATTTTAGAACAAGCAGCAATTGAAGTGAATCAATTAAAATTTCATACATCTAGGTGCAAATTAGATATCTCAGTGGATCAAGAAAAGGTATATATTTTTATAAAAAAAAGTGGTAAACAAATTATAATCAATTAAAATAATTGTTTTGTAACAGGAAAGCACTGAATTAGAAAACTTATATTTAACTTGCCTGAATGAGTTATTCTTAGCATGTATACAGGAAAAGAATTCAAATTTGACGATTCGTTGCCTTAGAATTTATGTTACACTTGACAAAATATCAAGTACTGAGGAATTAGTGAGATATGAATTGATAAGACCATTAATTTATAATATGATTAATGAAGAGAATCTTCAAACTGATCCACTTGGTCTACAAAGTATTTATCACAAGCTACTAAACATTCTAAATGTAGAATTGAAACAACTATTAGATATTACTCTATATTCTGACAGGTATTTGTTGTATTTATATTATGTTTATCTCGTTGATTTATAAATGTACTTATAAATATATTTAATTAATACAATGGTTGTTATAATAAATGTTGATTACAGAATATCTGTGAAAGGATTTAATTTTTTGGTGAATAGCTTTTGGGTTGAAGTCGAGGAAAAAATTGAGCAATATATAAAATCTATTTTTGCTCCTGGAGATCCAGTATTGTTTCATAAGGTAGATAGAATCTTTCTAAATATGTTTTTCATAAAGAAGAGTATATAAATTAATATATTATATTATATTAATATATTATATAAATTATAATTTTAGAGATATACAGCTACGTTAGAATTTTTAACAAAATTAGAAATGGAATGTGTCACATCTGAAACTTTAGCAGCATTGAGGAATCATCCACAATATAAAGGTTTTCTTAAGAAATGGAATTTACCAGTATATTTTCAAATTCGATTTCAAGAAATAGCTGGATACGTGGAAACAATATTAACCGAAGCAGTATCACCAGATTCAGTCAAGGGTAGTCTGACTTCACTGATACAAAAAGATTTTTCACTTCATGCAACTTGCATAATTTGGGATAATTTACTAAGAATTTGGGCTGATGATATCTACTTGTACCAATTATTTCACAAGTGAGCAATTATTCAGTAAAATTGTTTTCTTATAAAATTAATAACATTGTTTATGCTACTAACATTAATGTTACAGGTTTTGGAAACTCAGCCTTCAAATTTGTTCGAGATATCAGACTTGGTGTCAAAATGCAATAAAACAAGTATGTTTTCATTTTTACTTTATTATAACGTGATTTTTGCATATAAACTATAAATCTGAAAATTATTTTTATGAATATAGTATCTTACTATACATGATAAAATAAGGTATATATCTTATTTGAAGGTATGGCCTGTAATAAATGAAACTAACAATTCAAATGACTTTGAGCATTCTACAAGATTGAGTTTTCTAGTATATTTATACACTGATATAGAGAAACTAGTAAATGCATTGCCATCCTTCTTACAAATGGTAAAATACAAAATTAAAGATGGGAATGCTACTATATTTAAATTATTAGAAGGTAATTATGTACAATGAACAAAAAATGTGATATATATTATTACAAAACGTGTTATTAACATTCGCTATATGGCTTCTGTTCCAGACTCTCTGAGTGAGACATCTAAAAGTCTAGTAAATTTTTTACCATCAGTTACAAGAGAGGTTGTGAATGAGCTCTCGGAACAATGTATAATACACTTGAAACAAGTCAGTGACATTCCTAGATTATTTAGAAGGACGAAACGAGATGTACCGACTAAACCTTGTTCTTATGTAAAAAATGCAATAGTTCCTCTTACCAATTTCCATGTAGATTATAATAAGATCATTCCCGAAACTATTGGTCACTGGTTAGAATTAACGTTGTCATCGCTAACAGAAAGGTAAATAATAAAAAAAAACAACAGAAGAACATATCAGATAAAATAGTTTAAGAAATATAAATATAAAAACACTTTAAAGGCATACATATTTTCTATATATTGAACTTGATTTTAGTTATTTGCTATTTGTTACGGATGTATTAACATCCGTACAAAAAACTGAAGAGAGTTTAAGAAGATTGAAGAAAATTCGCGACAAAACTACCGGGATTCTTTCTTCAGAATCACAAGGAACTAGCGACGACGAAAAGATACATATTCAACTTAAAGTGGACGTAAATGGTTACGCAAATATGGTAAAGTCATAAATATATATCATATCTATGAAATATAATATTTTTATATTTGCATAATTGTAATTTGCATAATTTTCAGATCGAAGATCTTAACATTTCTACTACTAATATACATCATCTGCAAGACCTGATAGATGCTGTAGAAGCAGCTATGAAAAAATGATGATTTTCAATTATATTACAACATGTGATTCAATAATGGATCAATAACAACGCCACTGTTTTGTCAATAATCAACGCTATTACGTGGACATATTGCAATGATACGTTAACTTGAATGAATGATATTCATCCAAACTTTATATCCTGGATGAATGACATACATCCAAACTTTATATCTAGCTATACATACGTGAGATTTTATTTTGAAGTATTACACATATTTTTCTTATACATTCTATGATGTACATAAGCGTCTTTATATAATTCACGTATATTGTCCTTATTATCTGTCTTTCATCCGTATAATTTTGTCGTAATTGATATGACAAAGTTATTCGTGTTTAAATATTAAGAAAAGGGTATTGATTGAAGCGAACGCATTATTTTACATTCATCATCTCATCAGTATACATGTATATGTAATCGTTTTATAAAATTTATAGATTTTTTCAACTTTATATACAAAGTACAGAATATTTGTATAGTAAGCTGATTAAAGATATATCTTTTTTTGATAAGTTTTATAATATATTTCGTGCCCAATAAGAAAAAATTAGTTTTTAGCAATTTTCAGGAAACAATTTCCTTTTCTTTTTTTATTTTTTCTTTGTTTCTTAATATTTTTTCTATTGGATACGAAATATATTGTGAAACTCATTGAAGAAGTGTTGCAACATTTAATCATCTGACTGTACAATGAGTCTTAATCAGAATCACTTTGCCGGAAATCGATCGTGTAAACTGCATCATGATGAGGATAATAGGGATCCCACCAATCTAAAATACGGTAACCAGTAACATCGCTAAGTATTACTTCATTGGTTAGTGTACTAGGAATAACAGATGTTCCAAATCCAAGTAGAAGTCGATATTTTCTATAACCGGGCATTAAGCTCATTGATACTGTTTGCAAGATTAATCCGATTACTGGCGGTAACATACAATATTTTAAGCAAGTTACCTGTGAATTATTAAACATGTTAAATGGAAATTGCAACATGTTCAGTTGTTGTAATGACTAAGAAAAATTTATATCACATACTCTGAGCACTTTGCAACCATTATCAGAATTCATAGCCACATCTTCCAACATTTCGATAAATTCAGTTTTTTCACTGTTACACTTTTTACTTTCCTTTAACGGACTATTATTTTTTGGAGCATTGGAAATCTCCTTTAGTTTGAAAAAGAAATACCATCGAATTTTTCCCTCCTAAAACATATCATGTTAAATATTGTACAAAAAGACTAGATTCTAAGTAATTGTATAATTACTGATAAAAACATGTAAACAAATATCTATATCATTTTTATCTAAATCAAGAGTTTAAGTGTTATTGAAGTATAACTTAAAAACTTACTTTATGCCACATATGGGTACATTTTCTTTTCACAAGGGAATGTGGTTCTTCTTGTCTTAGATAAGATACATCATCTATTTCACGTTGTAATAACCAAGTAAAGTAATTGTAATGTAATGCTCTGATAACACAAGCTCTTAATCCATGCTGGCGCATCATACATTCTGGTTGCAAACGCTCAGGTAAGTCTGGTACATATTTGTGATACCTAAAATTATAGATTTTATTTAAATCATATGTTACAAAGTAGTATAATTAACTTACACTTTGTATAGATGAAACCAGAATTTTGCAGTAGTGGTTACATAATAAGAACTTTTGCAAATTCTTGCAAACTTTCCTACAGTTTCAGGTGGTATGTACTCAGAAATTATAAACCATATGTCCAATGGATAATCAATGCCATCTATAAAATATAAAAAAAATGTTAAAAATATCTATTTATCATGTTGAAGATAAATTGTTCAAAACTTTAGAGTTTCTTTCAATGTATTATGACTATATATTTTACCTTTTTCTTTAGTATTATCTGTTTGACTAAGTGGCCTCCATTTTCTTCTACCTTTTCTTATATTGGTAAAAGATTCTGCTAAAAACAATTATTATATATAAAACAACTTTAAATAATATTCATCTGTTATATAATGCTTGTTACTTACCTTTGTCAATATTTCCTTTATTATCTTGTAATATGCTTTTATTTGTTTCATCCCATATATATCTTTCTTTCAATGTTGCTCCTTGTTTTACTAAATAAAATTTAAATAAATTACAAATAACATATATTGATTAAAAGCTAAGAAAATTTATTATAATAGAAAGAAGTATATTTGATTTCAATACAATTTACTTTTTTTAATCCAGTTTAGAATATAGCTGATATCTGATAACAACTTAATTCTTAACAAATGTTCAGAAAAATAAATTTTCTTATCAGATATTAAATATATTCTAAGCTAGATCGAGAACAAATCATTCAAACCATGTTGAAATAAAGTTTACAACATAAATTACTTATCAATGGTTCTTAACCTTTGATAGAAACACTTGTGGCTGCTTTTTTGAGTCTCGCATGGATTTGTAAAGTATTAGCAAAATCATCAATAGTTACATCTGTTGATATATAAGATTATAAAATATGATAAATACTATTCATAATCATCATAATATAATGTAAAACTCATTCTATCTAGGAAATAAATCAATTTCTTCTTATACAGTGAAAAAAAAATATAGAACAAGAGTAGCTTATAAATTCATATGTTAAAATAAAAATCTACACTGAACTCATTTTGCACCATATAACGATATGTAAATTAGATCTTATAAATAAGTTAGTAAATGGATACTTAACCTCCCAAATCGTCGGTCCTTTTCGTTTCAGTAGTTTTCTTGCACGTTTTCTTTCGTAAACTAGACATTGGTATTATATGCAATAAGCGATAATATACAGCGTTAACGTGCTAATTAATCAGGTACGTATTGTATGCAATTAAAAAAATCTATACAGTATATACACTAAAATACAGTATATACACTAATAATGCCGGCAAATGCGACTAGTTCCCATGGTTATCGACGAAGCCATTGACATGCAATTGACATGATTGTCATCGTCGATTTAGCTCGTTCGCCACGAATGTCATAACCGCTGTTAACGTCTGCCATCAGAAAGTGGAAGCAAATTGAAGAATCCTGATAAAATATCGTATCACATCACAACTGTCAGAAAAGATCATGGCACTTGCAGGTGTGTTATAGCGTATTCGAGTAGACCAGGACTGCGTCCGAAAATTTCACCCGGGTGGCTGGATGTATTCTCTCTTCCGTTTTGTATTCGGAAATGTTCGGAGATCTTTTCATGGGTCTGTTCTAGGGGTGGGCTATGTTCGAAAATACATCAATGTTTAAAATATTGATTAATAAAAAAGAAATTGAAATGACATCGATTATTTTCTAAAAAAAAATCGATTTACTGATTAATCGATTAAATTTGCAAAGTAAATATTTAAAAATTGGTTAGCAGCAGGTTAAATACTGCTAGAGGTGCGTTCGAAAATATCACTCGGATGCTCTCCTTGCTTTACATGTTGGATGCATTCTTAAATTCGCAACAGATGTAGCCGGCGTTATTCAATACTTATTTTTCACTGAATGTTAAACAAGGGCTGCGTTCCGATATTCACTGCCAGTACTGAAAATACATAGTTTGCATCACGTATACTATAGATTTTTAGTGCTGACAGTGAATATCGGAACGCAGCCAAGGATGAAATAATGCTAGTATTTTTCAGTATTTTTCAGTCTAGTTATACTATAGAAATCTGCGGATATTGCATACTGAACGCGACTAGCGACGTGCTATGAGCGATATCTAATGAGAGTTCTGTTTTAAGAAGAAAAAGCTTTCATTTCTTCTTTAAAACGGAACTCTTATTAGATATCATTTATTGTTCGTCGCTAATCGCGTCAGTGTGCGATTTTCGTAAATTTTATGGGCTTATAAAAATAAAAATCTAAACTAGGCACTTTTTGTAAACTTTTAGAATTGCATTTGGTAGTGCTCGTCGAGACAAAGAAAATGATACTTCGCTCGCGAATGACAACTTCATGTTTTTTGGAAAATGTAAACAATTTTTTCAGATACTTATGATGGTCGTAGAAAGTCGCGCGAAGTGTCATTTTCTTTGTCTCGACGAGCCGAATGCAATTCTAAAAATTCATAAAAAGCGCTTGGTTTAGATTTTCATTTTTATAGGTTCATGAAATTTATGAAAATCTAAACCAGCCGCTTTTTGTGAACTTTTAGAATAGCATTCAATTGTGCTCGACGAGATGAAGAAAATGACACCTCTCCTGACTTTCTACGACCACCGGAAGTATTCGAAATTCAGTGCTCCATGTTCGGAAAAAAGTAAACAATTTTTTCAGACACTTATTATGGTAACGATATATTTATACGATATTTACGATTATTTACACGCTATTTTTATATCGCTAGTAATCTGTATTGCGATCGTAATCGAAGTATAAATAATATGGGATAAAGCGGGAAGCACACACTTTTACATAAAGGCATAATGCACGACGAAATAAATCAATCAGACTCCTCATTTCTATTGCCACGCTTGAAATGAAAGACTCTGATTGGTCCATTTCCCTATGCGTTGTGCATTATGCCTTTATGTAAAAGCGTGTGCTTCCCGCTTAAGGGCAAGAGCACAGACTTCTGTATAACTCATAAAGGCTCATCTACAATAGCTGTAAGAGTAAGGCTGTAAGGCTGTAACGTAAGCTGTCAGCGAATGAAAATATTTCATTTCGTGTCTTGCAACCTTACAGCCTTACTCTTACAGCTAATGTAGACGAGCCTTAAGAGCAATACAAAACGCATAAGAGAATCAACCATTCAGAGTTCTTCATTTCTATCCTGAGGAGGGAAATGAAGAAAACTAATTGGTTTATTCTCTTATGCGTTATGTATTATGTGTTATGCAAAAGCTTGTGCTCTTGCCCTAAATGTTTATGTTATCTTCAGCATAGCTAAAATATTCGGTATTATCATCGCTCTTTAATTACCTCCGGGCCCCTCGGGACCTCCTTGGCGAATACGAAAATTTTCCAGGGCTGTCAGTCTTTATATTACTTCGTCGGTAATATCGGTCTATAAGTCAATAGTTCGCTATCTAGTAAAATCGCATATTCTGTGGCTTACCCGGAATATACAGTGCTCGTTGCACTTGCGATTCGTCACTGTTTGGTGAGCTAGTCAAGTCTAGTTGTTTAGTGACGTGACGTCGTAGCAGTGTGCACGGAGTTGAAGGGATAGCAGTTATTGAATAAAGTTGATGAATCGGAACATCTGAAAAATTCCACGGAGAAACGGATAATCAGGGACGATCATCATGGCCGACAACGAACAGAAAGCATTACAACTGGTAGCTGAGGCTGAAAGAAAGCTATCGTCGTCGAGGAGCTTCTTCGGCTCTCTGTTTGGGTGAGCTAACAATCGCATTGATTCGTCACTTGAACTCGCCCGGATCTCTCTTAATAAATTACTCGCATTTCATTTTGTATCTTGCGTCACTTGCTTGCGCAATTATATTTGTAGATTTAAAAAAATCTCATTAGATTCTTCCATTCGATCGTATTACAATTTAGTTTCCTTCGTTTAATACAATCACAAGCATAAATCATTTATATGTGTGCATGTTATATACACGATATGTCACATATATGTAACTTCTATGGACAATATTGTTGGCAGATATGACTAAGATTCTGTGTGCCACAAGATTTCTCAATTATTTATGATATCTCTTCGGAAATTCTAATTGTTCGCATGCTTATTATATAGATAAATTAAGTTTTAATTAATTTTACTCATTGTCAAACCTGTTATTATTAAGAACTATATACTATTAACATATATATTTTTGTCCTATTAATATTATATAATGTTATATAATGTTATATAATGAGTCAGTAAGTCAATAATTAACTTTACAGAAGTTCATCAAAAGTTGAAGAAGCAGTAGAATGTTATCACCGAGCAGCAAATATGTTCAAGATGGCAAAGAAGTGGAGTTCAGCAGGAAAAGCATTTTATGATGCAGCAGATTTGCATGCCAAAGCTGGTAGTCGTCATGATGCAGCTAACAATTATGTAGATGCAGCCAATTGCTTTAAAAAATCTGATACAAATGGTAATGATTAATAAGAATAATTTTGAATTAGAACAATTAGTTATTGATTTAATTATAAAATAAGCAACTTGATATTATTTGGTATCATTCCAGAGGCAATCAGTTGCTTGTTAAAAGCTATTGAAATTTATACTGACATGGGTCGTTTTACAATGGCAGCTAAGCATCATCAAAGTATAGCTGAAATTTATGAAAGTGAAGCAGTTGATTTGGAACGTGCAGTACATCATTATGAGCAAGCAGCGGATTATTTTCGTGGTGAAGAAAGTAATTCCTCTGCAAACAAGTGTCTTCTAAAAGTTGCGCAATATGCCGCACAACTTGAGAATTATGATAAGGCTATTCAAATTTATGAGCAGGTAATATGTAGAAATATTTATAGCGATAACAAGATTGAGGAGATATAGTAAAGAAACGCAACATAGTCAAGTTTTTTAAAAATGTCTACTTTTGTGATGTATCATGCTTTTTGTGTGTGTGTAAATTTTTACAAATTTAATTATAATATTAACTTATTCTATAGGTTGCCACCGCATCATTAGAGAGTTCCCTGTTAAAATACAGTGCTAAGGAATACTTCTTTCGTGCTGCATTGTGTCACTTATGTATAGATGCATTAAATGCTCAACATGCTATTGAACGTTATCAGGAACAGTATCCTGCTTTCCAGGATTCTAGAGAATATAAACTGATAATGGTACTTTATTTTTCTTTTCTTATATTAATTATATCATTGCTTGCATACTATTTAATAATTTGTGGACATACATTTACAGACACTGATCGAACATTTGGAGGAGCAAAATCTTGAAGGCTTTACAGAAGCAGTGAAAGAATACGACTCAATCTCAAGATTGGATCAATGGTATACAACAGTATTATTACGTATAAAGAAGCAAGTTAACGATAATCCAGATCTACGCTGATCAGTTTCTTATTTACTCTTTTTTGGCAACAATATTATTACTCTAACTCCATGTATATTGATTTTTAAATCATGCTTTATTTTCTGTGAAAATTATTAAATAATTCCATTTTTATATCCAAATATAATCGCTCATGTTGCTCCATTATATACTTTCAACTATTTTGATTATTGTTCATATATTTTTAAAATTTTTAAATATTCACAAAATCATAAAAAATTACAATATGTAAGATGTAATCATTTAAAATGTTGCAGATTTCATTGTTATTCTTTTTCATTGCTGATACATAGCCTTAATGTTGCTTCTGCGACTTTTATTGTAAAATAATAGCTGAAAATTTGTACTATATTTTTCCTCAAATTAATACTTTATGAATTAATTTAATCAAGATTACAGACTTTAGATTCCAAAAGCTTAAATTAGAAAATGCAAATAGCATATTAAATTCGTAGAGCTTCAATTATTTTTTTATGCGTATCTTGGTTATTTTATAATAAAAATTTATCCACTTGTATATTTTTCTTCTCTACTCATAATAGTAAAGAGCAGGTATTAATTGTTATTTATTTATGTGTGTGTGTGTGTATATATAAGTATATATATATATATATATATATATATATATATATATATATATGTATGTATGTATGTATGTATGTATGTATGTATGTATGTATGTATGTACGTATGTATGTGTGTATGTATGTGTGTTACATTTATTGAGAAATATCTTTATTTTATTTCTATGTAAGAATAATTGTTAACAGTCCCATTTGTTTTTGGGCTTTTTATGGCAAAGGAATGAGATACAGTCATCATTTATCATCCTTGCACTGCCAGAGTATTAAATGCAAATACGTGTAGCAAATGTGTAGTGTTAAATTGGAACATTTTGATTTAAATTTCATTTCTTTATATTTGTTTCCGTCTGGTCTTTTTCCATTTTATATTTGATTCAAACTGTAGCTGCTGTTTATAGTTTACCACTTACATTAATAGCTATTACATATAACAATGCATATTCCTTCCTAATATCTAATTAGAAAAACACATCAATATAACTGTTATACAATGTTTTCTGCAATAATATAGCACTGTATCTAATTGCTAGTATTCATCGCCTATGAATAAATGTATTCTTATAAGGTGTCAACTATATGGAAGAAAGGTAAAACAGGGAACACAAACATAAGATGCATTTATAATCGGAATACAATAACCGATTAGGCATACACATTTTTCTTTATGTTACCTTATTACTACTTATCATAATTATTTTCCTTAATATATATTAATTGCAAAAATTAACGTAATATTTATATACATCGTAAATACAATTATAATTTACGATGCGTTTGTTTAAACTTTCTGATTTCACTTCAATAATGTAAGAAGTGCGAAATATAAATAACATCATGAAAATTTCTTGTATGTATTGTAGCAGTGTTGCAAGGTACACGAGCATAGAGTTAACTTAGTAAATATAATGGTGGACACATTGATTTAACGATGGTCGCATCGAGGTATTTGCATTTTATATAAAAGCAAGTATATATTGGTACAATATATCTCGAAGATATATACAATAAAATTCCATTGTTCATTAGAAGTAGAGAGAATCTTTGCATGCACGCGAAAAATAAATCACGCACTAGCGTGTAAGCATATGTATACTTATTGAAAACAAAAGAAAAGACATACATAATAAAAGTTTCAGACTTTACGCACAGTATACATTGTTTTCCAGTGAAAACGAAAAAAACAAGACCCAGACGAAATCTTTGTATAATTTTAATGTAAAGACCTATGTGATAAATGGTATTTTAATTATTGCGTTTTATATAGTACGCCTATTGCATTTGTGTACATTTATAATAACTATATGGATTTAATTTGTTTGATTGTTCTGATTTGCAGTTATTAGTACATGTTTTAAGTTTTGAATCACATATAATTACGCCTAAAAGTATAATGTTCACACAAGATTTATCACACAGGTGTTGATATGTTTGCCCTATTACTTATGTAGCCACGTTTATTCATATAATTTATGTAAATTAAATACGCTTGTAAATAACAAGGACAAGGCAATGCTGTACGCAACGCAATATTTTATTAAATTGTACCTTGTAAAAATGCGCTAGTCTATTAATCATATATGTTTCTTTATATGCGTTTTGTATTCCTTAGAGAAGTGTTTAACATCATCTGCTGTATAATTATGAATGTGGATTAATATACGTTACACACATGCAAAAATAAAAATAGCATTGTTTATCTTGTATGCTGTCGATCATTCACATGATCAATAACCATGAATCATTAGAAATTCTTTCGACATGTAACGCACGCATACTTATATCTTTTAATGTATGATGAAATATTTATGTTATTGCGTTGTTTACTGGTATACTTGAATGTATTATTAATTATAGACAGGGGATATATATATATATATATATCAGATAAAGTACACATATATCTATGTAATCACGACGAATAGACTTACATCTTTTGTGTAAACCTAATTTATTGTATGTAATACGCTTTTAACCTTCTTTTGCTTTGTTTTGATTGTTAACATTTAAATAAGTATCATCGTTGATTAGTTACATTTCGTTGGAATATTTGGATATAATCAGTTAATGTAGTAGTATTTATTCTGCATTCTGTTCAGAAATAAAGAATATATATAGCGATTAAATTTTCTGATATAATAAATATGTTTAGGAAGGCTATGTAAGATCCTATTATATAGTGAATAATCTGCCTAATAAATACTACATATAGAGATTATATTATTACATATATTATTTATATAATACTACGAAAAGATTAAAATATAACTAAAATACATTATAATTAATTAAATCTAAATATTAAAATATAGTTAAAACATAATTAAAATAACTAATTTTAATTTCAAACTTCGTTGAAATTATTAAATAAATAACCAAAGCTAAATATAATCTAACCTTTTCGTTTAATTTTTTATTCTAAAAAATATTGCATACAAATATGACCTTTTGATAAGAATAATAAAGAAATAATTACAAGACAATTATTAACGTTTCAATACATAATGAGACAGGATGGGCCATTTAAGTTAATAATGCGAAATATCTCAAAAATGAAGCATTGAAAAAAGAAATGTTTTAAATAAAAGTTATAAAGGAGACGTATAATGGTGCCTTTGGTTTGACCTTGAAACGTGCATTTAAGATCAGATGAAGGTCAACTTAACTTTTTTTTAATGAAAACCCCAATTTTTTATTATATCTTCTTTTTCTACCAATTAATTTGAACAGCTTTTGTCTGAAACATTTTTTTATTTGCCTAATATTTTTTAAGATATTTAAGAAAAACTTGGTAAGTTTCTGAATATTTAACTTTCGATATCTCGATAATTATTTATCGGAAGAAAAAATAATACTAGATTTATTTATTCTACTTGTTGGTCACAAGAATATATTGTTACAATAGTACCCTAACTTTTGTTAACTTATCGATTTTTGAAAATTTCAAAATCATCAAATTATTACCATCCATGCTTATTTCGAGCTATGTTTCATATTCTGGCCACGATATTCCTAAGAGGACGCTAATGCACAGCGAGATTTCTCTGGTACTCTAAATCCCATAAGGCTAACAATCTTTATTAATATCTTGTCAGTGACTAAACACAGCCAATATAGATGTCGCTGGTTATCATATGTTTGAAAATTCAAACAAAAAAATGTCAGTTACCAATGTGCTCCATGAGATGTGGTTACAGGAAGTGCAAAAGTTGGAAACTTTTTGCTGGAATTCTTCAACGTTTTATTATTTTTAATATTACGTTGATATTTTTGTATATCTAAGTCGACTGAAAGTGAGTAAGTAACGATGAAATAATATAACATTTTGAAAAATTCGTGGTAAACTTAACATAATAATAAATATTGATAGTGTATAGAGGAATTTCTGTTACATAGGTTAAATATTATGTTGTATACCTGTCATTTAGTACACAAACAAATAGATATAATTACTTTATTAGTATGTTATATTATGTTTTTCCTTTGGTTATATAGAGATATTGATTAATATACTATTCGTAATGGCCAGTGGACAAATATTTAAAATGCCATTGATTTCATCTCATGAACATAAAGAAGCTATTCATGACACAATTTATAAAATGATGGAACATATCAACAACAGAGGTCTAAGGTATACTTTATCATGGTTATGAATATCATAATTATAAAGCAATTTTAAGGTCAAAAGTTGAAAAAATACTTTAGTTGATATTTAGACCTATTAAAATATGAAATAATTGTTTATAATTTAATAACAGAAGTTAAATATTATAACTATATTATTTATATTTTCACAAGGTTATAGTTAGTTTAAGAGATCATATAAAATAGATAGAATATTTAAAAAATATCCTATCGGACAATTATTCTTTTAAAAGTTTACTTCTTTTATATTGTTAAACAGATATCAATGGAGTTTAGATGATTTTGAAGTTGGATCACCTTTAGGAAGAGGAAAATTTGGCCGTGTATATCTAGCTAGAGAAAAGACCACTCAGTATATGGTAGCCTTGAAAACATTATACAAAGTTGAGTTAATAAAAGGACGTGTGGAAAAGCAAGTAATGCGAGAAATTGAAATACAAACACATTTAAGGTGTATATTCTAAATTTTATTATGTATATAAAAATTTTTCTTTTAGATAATGTTCATTTCATGTTTAGGCACCCACATATTCTTCAACTTCTAACATACTTCCATGACAATAAGAGAATCTATCTAGTTTTGGAGTTTGCTGCAGGAGGAGAACTATATAAAGAATTAAAACGTCAGCCAAATGAAAGATTTAGTGAACACTTGTATGTATTTTATGTGTTTGTACTTTATTCCCATTACTGCATATATAATATATATACTTATTTGAATGTTTCTCAGATCTGCTAAATATACTTATCAAGTAGCCGATGCTTTGGAATATTGCCACAGGAATAATGTAATTCACAGAGATATAAAACCTGAGAATCTATTACTTACATATGATGGAGATATAAAGCTAGCAGACTTTGGTTGGTCTGTGCATGCACCATCTTCAAAGTAAGCAATATATGTTAGGTTGATAGTTAAAGTTCTGTTTAATATTTTTTTATAATTGTTTATTTTTTAACATTATTCAAAAACTTTATTGGAACTGCAAGGACTTGATTAATATTAAAATAATTCTTTCAGGCGTAATACATTATGTGGAACACTAGATTACTTGCCACCAGAAATGCTAACAGGACAGACATATGACATCTATGTTGATCACTGGTGTCTGGGTATACTCTGTTACGAATTTCTCACAGGCCAACCACCTTTCTTAAGCTCTTCTCAACAAGAAACATATGCAAAGATAAAAACTATAAGTATGCAGTGGCCAGAACAGATTACACCTGGTGCTAAAGATCTTATTTCCAAAGTAAGATATGTATTTCAAATATTAGCATTGGAATATTCATAATAAAAATACTTAATTGACCTGCAAATTTAATTTTACAGTTAATCAAGAGAAAGAGTTCCGAACGAATCTCTTTGGCTACTGTTAAGAGACACTTTTGGATCTTACAGCATAAGGACTCACCTAGAACGAATGTATAGGTCAAAAGAATATTGTTAATTTTATAATGTATGAGATATATTTCTTTCTTTAATGACTTTATTACAATTTTACGACAAACAATATATAAAAATATTGAATACATATATTATGGCCAATTCAGATTAATACCTGTTACGTCTAACGCAACAATATCAACTTCTGCATTAAGAAAATCACATAGGCTCGGCTTAGTCCTGCCGTAATCTCCGTGTACAAATTCTTTAACATATGTACCCGCTTGTGTTTTAACATCGAGAACGAAAAATTTGTCAGCACTCTCGGAAGCAGTGCGTAACAATTTCGTCAATTCTTGAGGCTCCGCCCACCGTGCGCGCATCTTGTAAACAAAACGAGTACGCGGAGTTAAGGGTCGTCTGTGCAATACTCTTATTGGTGTTTTTTGAACGATCTTAATATTTTTCAATTTATTCAAGCTTTCCACTTGCGGCAAATTATCGCTCGCGCTTCGGCAGACACATAATGCTCGATAAAACTTCGTTTTGACATGCTCTCCTTCTTTAAGCTTCTGCAAATCAAATCTAAAACGCGCATGTATGTTTTAGATTGTGTTTCTTAAACGATATCTCAATTATCAATTCAATAATCCAATCAGTCAGTTCTTACTTACTGGGTAAATTTTCCGTGAAACTCACATTATTTTAATATGTCGGTTATTCAACAAAATTACATTGAAAACATACCTTGAGAGAACTTTTAATCCTGACGTTATTTGAACCTGTTTCGTCGATTGATTAATATTATTAGCTAGATACATCAAAAGCTCATCTGTGATATTTGTCATGCGAGGATTCAGCAACTCAACCGCGAACGGTCGACCATTATATATGTTTCGGACGTCAACGTCTTCTCTTCCAGATGATAAAAACTTTATAGCTGCATGAATATAAAAATTGTACAGTTTTGTTGAAAATATGAATATATATAGTAATAAATACAAGTCAATGCAACTAAAACATACATTCTGCTTTCACAGTTTCTGCAATAGAATTGCACAATAAGTCTTGTACTGAAGTTTCCACTTTTTTCTCACCATTTACAAACCACGGAGTTTGACTGAGTTCTCTCGAAAGTTTGTTGTAACGTCCTGAAATTCTGAAGCTATATAAGAAATTTTATGTTGCATTGCAGAGCTTGTAAATTATAGAATGATAAATAGCAGTTAAGCCACATCAATACCTCCTATAAAAATACTGCTATGAGAACACAGAACATTATCTACACGAATAAATGTCTGTGGTACAATCTGTGAAATTGTAAATTGCTGCAAAAGTTGCTCATCTGTTATCTCATTCAACAAAGTATCAATATTCTTTCTACTAAATATGTTATCATTATATTTTCTCTTTCGTTTGTTTTTATCATTCTTATGCTTCTGAATCCTGAAGATAACAATGAGACTAAGTAAGTTTCCTTCAGATATATTTACCACAAATGAATATGCTTCTTTTTTAAATTGTATAAATATTTAAACAATACTTACAATGCTTCAAATATTATTTCATCATCATCATATACCAAAAAAATCTCAATAAGTAAAGGTGATGGTGTTGACAAATCTGTATATTTTTTCATGGTTTGTTCAAGTTGTGGTGTTATAAATAACTTCCAAGTCTCTTTAATATTTTGTAGTTTTGCTTTAAGAAAACTTATAACAGACTCACAAATATTAGTTTCTTTGGATATATAAGCATACAATATGTGTTCTCTAAGTTTTATCGATACAGGAACAGTTAATGCACAAGTAAAAGTGTTGCAATCATAATCTTTTTGCTTTACTTTATCTGTTATCTATATGAACAAATAAAGCATATTAACTATCAATAGTACAAATTAAATAAGATTATATAGATGTATTGTGAATGTTCAACAAACCTTTGTAATTACATTTTCTTGTATTTTATTTTGAAGAATTCCTAAACATGTGATACAAGGTATTTCATCAGAAGAGAAATTGTCTTCTGTTTTGATGTAACCCATCTATAAGATCAAGATTATTATCGGTATTACATAGTACTTTAAATTAAGAACACACGTACCCGTGTTGCAAATTCAAAAGGTTTGATGTAACAGTCTGCCATTCGATGTCCAATAAAACGTAAACAACATCGCAAACAACAGCCTCGTGATTTTAAAAAATGGAAAACTATCTTCTCTTCTTCCGTCGAAATAGTATTCATCGTGATACCTAAATATTTATATATTGTTTAAATTATAATCTACGTTCCAAGTTCACATGTTACTATCGAGGATCTTAAAAACCATCTGGCTCAATTATGTAATTTTATACATAAAACATAACCTAATTTTCTACACATAATGAATATAACCTAACTTCAAACTTTTATTTCTCTGATGAACTTCCTATGTTAATGCAAAAAATGTACAGTAAAGAATTTTTTTAACAGAAAGATGCATTACCATCCTTTTGTATTAGCAAAGAGAAACTTAAGATAGTTAAGGCCGTTGCACGTAGAAGAATTTAACCGTAAATGTAAGGCCGCAAGAAAACTGACCAATCTCAGTCGATTATTCCTCTAGTACAAGGAGAACAATCGACTATGATTGGTCAGTTTTCTTACGACCTTACGGTTGCAGTTACAGATTTCTACGTGCAAAGGCCTTTATCGGGCAATATTGGAGGCATTAAAGCCAGCGGCATACGGTGCTTGTTTTCGTGCTGGATTGCTTGCTGGATGAAAATATTGCGTTGTGATTGGTACATTTCCGAAGATGGATGGAAATGCACCAATCAGAACGCAGTATTTTCATCCAGCAAGCAATCCAGTACGAAAACAAGCACCGTGTGCCGCTGGCTTTATTCTGCCTCTCTCTCACCCTCTCTCTTTCCCTCCCACTCCTCTATCTCTCTCTATTCTCTTTCCCGAGCCAAATGAATATCGTGCGAATAGACAGAAGACCTGTTCTGAAATTGGCTTCGGAAATTTTGCAAAAAGAAATATAAGAACGGCCATTGGGCCGGATTTTAAAGCCAGCGGCACAAGGTGCTTGTTTTTGTGCTGGATTGCTTGCTGGATGAAAATACTGCGTTCTGATTGGTACATTTTCGAAGATGGATGGAAATATCAATCAGAACGCATTATTTTCATCCAGCAAGCAATCCAGCACGAAGAAAACAAGCACCCTGTGCTGCTGGCTTTATACACTTTATTCATAGGGTGCGTTCCGTTTCACGCATATGCGCGCATTTATCTATAATTTATGTCACGTATATTATAAAAATGCGCGCTATGCGCAAAACGGAACGCACCCATACTGTGTTCGAACGAGAAAGTTCGTACACTAAACGCGCGACTTTCGAAGGCAAGACGGTGTTCTATAGCGCACATGTTCCCAATGACTCATCGTGATTAGGGAAAATGGCTGACGATCCGTCTTGAGATGTGTTTTGACAATTTTGCTTGATTGATCCCGATATGCCACGAAGACTTACGTCGTAAATGCAATTCCTACGTACCGTCGGCTAGGCGAAACATCTCAGTCGTGATGTGATTTAGCGCATTGCGATTGTGTCGAGTGCCTGAGTCATCCCGTTGTGGTCGCGACTGATTTGTTCGAACGTGTTTCGATCTGCCAACATCAAGAAAAGATACATAAAATTGAGAGACTAATATTGTTCTCCTTTTTTCTAATCTCGCTCCTCACGAGATTTATGAGGCAAGTCACATTGGTTGATACCGATTAGAATAAGAGAACGTGCAAGTACCATGAACATTATGTACGCGTTGTGTCCTCGTCGGTCTGTGACGAACGATTTTTTCATCATCAAGCTGTCGTTTCGCCTAAGAGATCGTCACGCTTCACATAATATTTGTATTTCGACGATGTGATAACGCGTCTGTGATAGCACACTTGTAGAATTGTTCCTGTAATGAATAGCAGAGATTTAAATGGCAATATGATAGATCTATTAAGCGATGCTGCTTGTATGTAAATGTCGTAAGCAGATATTTTTTGACAGCTTATACAATAGTTTCTGTTATTTTTGCAGGTGATAATGCAACAGACTTATTGTATCCTCTTGTATAGCATTTCCTGATACAGCTAGGTGGATGTGAGATCTGTAAAAAAGGAGTTGATTTAAATCATGCTGTAGAGATTTGCATTGTGTGTCTTTTGTAATTACTGTGATCATGATGTAAACAGAGGATCATTAAGGCAATAAAATGTCTACCATTCCAGTTAATAATGGGACAGCACTTTGCTAGTCTCAAAGAATTCTTTAGAATGGATGGTGAAAGACAGCCTACAGAGATATGTGCCAGTGCATTTAGCCAGCCATTGCCATTGGAGATGGTGAATCAGGATGGCATTGACAGTTTGCCTGAGAATGAGACCAATGGCAATGTACCTGTTATGAACTCTAATTTACTGCCAAACAGAGAATGCAAGCTGGAAGGGAATTTGGACAACGACCATTTGAACTTAGATTTAGACAACCATAATTCTAGATTTGAATCTTTATATAGTCAACCTGTCGAAGCGCAGGATACCAAGCAAGTTTGTAATAATGGCAATGTGACCAATGAGACACCATATAGACAGCAAGAGGCTTGCTGCAGTAGTTCAGGTGGTAGTAACAGTAGTAGCAGCTCTGAAGATAGTCCTGTGAATCCACCTTTAAGAAGATCTTCTAAAACTTTATCGTTCGGAAGGAGAAAAAGTATGTATCTGATTTATACATTGTTATCGTACTGCTTTGACATTCTGTTGCTAACATCAGTTGTATGACATATGATCCCATTAGACAAACCACGCAACAAGGATCAAAGTCCGGTCTGCAATCATGTTTTAACGTCGAAGAAGAAGCGCAGCAATTGGGTGCTGAAATTCAACTGCGCCAAGAGCAAAAACTCCAAAAACACAGACATCATTCCCGGCCAAGGGAATAGTAATTCGGACTGTGTATGCACTGGTTACAGAAGAACCGAGGAACACCCCATGGGTGCGGGCATTGTATTTAATAGTCGTTCTGCACCGCAAAGTCCTGTTCTTGGGCCTCTGCCACCTAGCCCCGTGATTGACTTGTCGCGATTCAACCCTGAGGAGTTCCCTATGGAAGTACGTCTATTATATCTGAGGATTGATCTCTTATTGTAACGTCATATATTACGGATTCGATATCATCGTATCAGTTCCCTTCGTTTTTCTTGAAGGATTGCGATGAACGAGCACGAATGCAACGCGCTCGGGAAATGGAGGAAGGTGTTGAGCCGCCTCCTGGTTATAGGCCTAATTATCCTTCGGGAATCCAAGTTCATCCTAATGGGATAACGGTGGACAGTTTGGCGGCATTGTTCCAAGCACATGCCGGCATTCAAGCTGCTGCCCTCACAGCCTTGTCACAAATCGATTTTACATTAATTCCGAATATTGAGAGACCCGCGCACACGCAGGTAAGCGATTTCTTCAGCGATTACATCGTAACACGGCTCATTGCGCGCGTTCAATGCACGACCGCATGTGATTTTCGTACGTTCACATCCCGCTAATTTCTCACGCAGGTCGATTACGTGCATTGTCTCGTACCAGACCTGAGATCAATCACGGCCTGCTCCTTTTATTGGGGTAAGATGGATCGTTACGAAGCGGAGCGTCTGTTGGAGGGCAAGCAGGAGGGTACTTTCTTGTTACGGGATTCTGCCCAGGAGGAGTTCTTGTTTTCCGTGAGTTTCCGCAAGTATGGGCGCTCGTTGCACGCACGGATCGAGCAGTGGAATCACAAATTCAGTTTCGACTCTCACGACCCAGGAGTTTACGCTTCCGAAACAGTATGTATTATATGAGATTTCGCGAAAGTAAGATATACTTTATGCTATAAATCATATATGTGTCAATATATATTTAATTTTTTTCTATGATTTGTTTTTATGAAGAGTGGAGGAAAGGGTATAAAATTGAACATATCGACTAAGAAATTTTGCATTTTTCATATAAGATTAAATTATTATATTTTTATCACTCTAGTTTTTTGGAACAGATTTATGCAAAAGATGATAAAAGATCAGTTCTCCAGAACGACAAAAGTCATTTCATTTTACTTGAAAAGTCCGAGAGCAGCCTAATACTTTCAATCTTGCATATATATGTAAGGTTGAAGATAGTAAAAAATATTATTAAATAAATGTTAATTGTAATCTTCCCTCCCTCTTTTGTAAAGTCTTAAGAATCATAAAAATCACTATTTTAAATCGCAATCTTGCCTTACAAGTTGGAGTATTCACGATTGCCTGTGCACCCACCTTGCAGGTGTGCGGTTTAATCGAACATTACAAGGATCCGTCGTGCTGTATGTTTTTCGAACCTATGCTCACCATCCCGTTGCATCGGAATTTTGCATTTCCGCTACAGCACTTATGTCGAGCGGTGATAACCACGCGGACAACGTACGATGGCATCAACAAACTGCAATTGCCAAAAACGCTTAAGAGCTATCTCAAGGAATACCATTATAAGCAGCGAGTGCGTGTCAGGCGGTTAGACACGGAGACCGATCTACAAACAGACGGCAGATCCATATCATACTTACCCCTAATATGAATCTTCATATTCGGTAGAATTTATTGTACGTTGCGTAATTGTTTTCCTTAATCTCCACATCTCATACTGTCACGTACCACATACGCGGCGGGTACCGTGCATAGCATACCGTAATTAATACCGAAAACCATGACTTCGATACAGTTACACAGACCACGTCATCGCAATATTAGCAATAAAAACTAAAAAAAGTAAAGCATTGTACTCGTCTTATGCGATAATAGAGAGAGGGAGGAGAAGAGAGGAAAAGAGAAGAGAGGGAGGGAGGGGGAGGGAGAGAGAGAGAGAGAGAGAGAGAGAGAGAGAGAGAGAGAGAGAGAGAGAGAGAGAGAGAGAGAGAGAGAGAGAGAGAGAGAGAGAGATCCGGGAGAGAAAGTGACGTAGTTATGTAATTAGCAAAAAAAAGAAAAAGAAAAAAAATATGAAGAAGTGAAACTTGTGTGAACAGACGCCTACGTTTTCACTCAAAAGCAGTCTAGAAATCCCATATGTAAATATATCAGACAGGGGCAGTGCTTCATACCACATGACGCGCGCACACGATATAACACACACGTATCGCAAAAGACCATTTACTGTATTATGTGAAACTTCAATATCATTGCTACTATTCTTATTATTGCTACTACTCTTTATTCTCATTTTTCTATTTTATTCTTTAGATAACCATGTTATCTCGTGTAACCGCGTTATTTTAGTACATATATATGTATAATTTTATTTAATGTTAATTGAAGTTACGGGATCAGTTTGTATATTGATAGTTTTTATAGGACGATACCAAAACCCATGCTAGCGCGGCTGCAATTTAGCGTTTAATTCTTAAAATTACGGTATTATTGTCGAATTTTTAACCTTTATACGTAATGGAAAGGTTTACAATCATTGCAAGATCTGGTTCATATTACTCCTATTGTGCCTATTTATAATGTTAAATATTATTAGATAAAATCTGTCTGTGTTGATCACCATTGCCAGAAACAAAAATCTATAATTTATGTAAATCATTTAAATTTCAAAGAAAAGAAAAACAGGAGATATCTGATGCAATGAACTGAATTTGGATTAATGATACAAATCACAATCATTGAATTAATAAATTTGCAAAATATATAATATTATAGTATAAAATTGTTAAAAGTATTGGTTAACGGTTGCTCATATAATGAACTTCATATTAAAAAATAAAAATTGAATATTTATTATGTGTATATATATTTCACTAATATCTTGAGACCTGATACTATAATCTGTATATGTGAAAACTGTTTGTTTGAAAAATTGTCAACTATTTATACATGATTTATACATATTTTGCATTTCCGCTACAGCACTTATGTCGAGCAGTGATAACTACGCGGATAATGCACTTTTTAGAAAAATTCTATAATTTAGACATATATTAATCTGTCAAATGATAACTAAAGATATTAGAAAAATATGGTCTTGTACTTTTAATTTATATTTTTATACAAATTAATATAGCAATCAAACAGAATAATATGGGACTGTTCAAACTTATTAAATTGATAATATAAATAAAGTTAATAATTTATAATTTTTGATTTTTCAATAGATATCAGGTTATCGATTTTTACTGCATTTTTATAATATTATATTCTCAATATTTTATTCCAAACCATAGATTTGTAGTACATGATTCATTTTTTTATTTTTAAAGCTTAATGGAATGTTGCAATAATACATTCAAAAATATTAGAAATAATTACACTTAACAGGTAGTCAATGTTGCAGCATGTATTGTGTAAATGGCAGTAATATTTTATAGTTGAAAACGAAGAAAAGAGAGAACACCACTAGAAAGAAAATATCTATTGTTCCTTCAGGAAAAACAACAAAGTTCTTTTAAAATATGGTATCACCTAGCACACTTCTTTTTATACACTTACGTGACAAAGTTTATATCTTACTACTATTATAATAAAACTGTTTCAATATTAATATTTCTTAATCCTATTGATCTTGATATTACAGTAAATAAATAATTTTGGTTTGTAAAGGTTATGATAATTGTAAAGGATACTGATAAAATTTCTTTCCCATCTTTCTACCATGTACAATTCAGTGACAAGCATAAATCGGAAATACCAATACTTCAGAAAGGATTGTAATCTTTGCACAAGATTAATCATTGTAATTGAATTATTATTCTTCCTCAATCTTCGTAAACCGACTTGCTGCTCGTTCGTTCGTTCGGTATATGGTTTTAGGTAGAAAGGTGTACCTATACGTCATTCTCCAGCTGCGTTAAGCCCCTTGCACAATGCCAGGCAACAGGCAATAAGAATAAAAATAGACCAATCACAATAGATTATTCTTGTAATAGTCGATTGTGATTGGTCTATTTTTATTCTTATTACTTGTTGCCTGGCATTGTGCAAGGGGCCTTAAGGGAAGGGAGGATTAAATGAGGTTAGTGGATTTAAAGCCAGCGGCACACGATGTTTGTTTTCGTGCTGGATTGCTTGCTGGATGAAAATACTGCGTTCTGATTGGTGCATTTTCATCCATCTTCGAAAATATACCAATCACAACGCAGTATTTTCATCCAGCAAGCAATCCAGCACGAAAACAAGCACCGTGTGCCGCTGGCTTTAGTTTGGTTGAGAGTTGGATGAGAGGTCACCTTCCCCTTAACGCAGCTGGAGAATGGCGTATGGGTACACCTTTCTACCTAAAGCCATATACCGAACTGAACTGAACTGGATGAGAGGTCAAGATAACAAACAAGGAAATTGTGTATTATATAATATTTGCTTTTAAGGGAAAACAGAAACACATTAAAACAGAAAGTTCCGTATAGATAACGGTGAACACGTATATCTGAGAAACGTTAGTGGCCTTTTTGAATAAAATGTCAATAATTGAATTATTAACCTCATGTGACCGAAATTCGAAAGAATTTGAATCGTTAGTATATGATTTATTAGTCAATAATAGCGGTGTGCCATTTGACAATCGAGAGGTATGTATAACAAATATCCCATTTTCTATAGAAATTTTGTACAGTGCAAATATAAGTCTCTTTGATTAACGTTTCTTGACTGATGTATTGGTATTTCTTATACCTGTGCTATGACGTCAATTAAATCTTGATTCTGTTTTTTTCAAAGGACCTCTGAAGCAATGTAATAAGTTGCAGTGAAACAAATATATCTTCTCTCATTCTAACTTATTGCACTAGTATGCACTGGTTCAAAAATTCTTCGAAAATGAACAAATCTCTTAATTTAAGTTTAAATTATAATCAAACAAAGACTTGAATTTAAATTCAAGTTTAATTGATGTTGATAGAAATGAGTATTAGACCAATGAGAAAATTGATGCTTTCCTTAAACCATAGGCATTATTATGCACAAACATTTTAATATAAAAACCAAAATTTGTATCAAAAGCAAATTTACATACTGCACTCCTATTATTTAAAAATTTATTATTACATTGCTTGATTTTATATAGTGAGTTATATGTTTGTATATATTGTATTTTAGGTTGATGCTGTACAAAATACTATTGTAACAAGTATTAATTCTCGTATAAATGTGGCAAATACTCGATACAGTGCTTTAGTTATGCTAGATAAAATTTTATCTGGCTGCTCAAAGGATATATTTTCAAAATATGCTTTATTATGGATAACTAAAACCACTGAACTATTACAAAATACATTCAGTACCATACAAGAAATAACATTAGCTTGCAAAGTACTAGGATTTTTATTTGAACATTGCAAAGAAATTCCTGAGTTACATAAACAGATTTCTATGCAAAATATAAGGCAGCTAATACCTGTATTAGATAATTTATTAAGAAATGAAGAGTGTGGCCCAATATACTATTTAATAGCTGTTATGTTATATCATTATCCTGAAATTTGTGAACGATCACAGGTAATATAACAAAATAATTTCTTTCAATTAATAAATTATTAATTTAAGATATTTTTTCTTATCTGAGTCATTTAATACATATTTGTTTTAATATTCTTAGGAATCAATAAAAAAGATAATATTGTTACAAATTGATTCTACACAAAAGAACTCGATCAGTGCAAGCGCCAAATGTTTCGTACTTTTGTCTAAGGCAACAGAACGTTCATTTCAACCACCATCGACCAAATCCATGTATACTAGATGGACATATAATCAAACATTACTTTGTAATAACTTGCATGCTATAATGGATGAATTGTTCTCCACATTAATGGAGTTAAAAACTGTGGATATTTGGGATAAATTTAATTTACCTTCTATATCTGAAGAGAATGTAATACAGTATTATAATGAACAGAAACAGAGATTTTTAAATTTATGTATCTATCTCTCCTCAATGTTATGGTAATATTTTTTAATTTATATATACATATATTATTTAATTTATATTATACTTTAATCTGTATTATAATGTTCATTTTCGAAAATATCTTGCATATCTTTTGCAACATTTGATTTGTGATTATAGTGGATATGATGCAAACAATTCTGTTGTACCTCATGATATCTTGGAAGTTTTGTGTCGAGGATTGGCTATTACACCATTAAACTTGAGGAATAAATCTTCTATTAAAGAACAGATGTTATATATGATCTTACCAAAATTACACATTGGTTTATTTACAGTTTTAGATGCATTAATAAGTGGGTAAGTGCCATTAATATATGACTATGTATGTATAAGTTGTATACACACTGCTCAAAAGAATTATGGCATAGATAATTTATTGCCAAAAATTGGTCAACTTTGACTGGCGATTACTTAGCGATAAATTATTGTAGACTAATGTTTTTTTTTTTAAATGAAGCTTGAAATCTGAACTTTAAGAATGTATCTCCATTTTTTGCATGCGATACACCTCTATCCCTGTAACCTCTGACATCTGAGGGCATGTTTGGTGTACTGAAAATTGCAAAGTTTGACAGAATGCACGGACGTGGACAATTTTTTTCAGGGACGCTGTTTGCATCGTCATAAAGTTCAAATCTTCCCCTTCAATTTGAAAAAAAAGTGGAATCGCTACAGTTTTTTTCGTAAAGTTACAGCCCTTCAAAAATGTCGTTGTTTTTGGCCTTCGGGCCAAGTGTGCACGCATGTGTGTGTGTGTGTGTATCCGTGACAGAAGAGGGCCCCATGGTTCGTCACTTCCATGGTTCACACAATAATTATTGACAGTATATCAAACATGCCCTCAGATGTCAAGAGTTACAGGAATAGGGGTGCATCGCATGCAAAAAATGAAGATACATTCTTAAAGTAGAGACTTCAAGCTTCATTTTGAAAAAAAAGTCATTAGTCTACAATAATTTTTCGCGAAATAATCGCCAGTCAAAGTTGGCCAATTTTCGGCAATAAATTATCTATGCCATAATTCTTTTGAGCGGTGTATATACACAATACTTTTATCAGTTTTTTTTAGATTTGCACAAGAGTTGATACCATTCGGGAAGACAATATTAAACTTGTTTCAACAAGTGTTGCAATGGACAAGTCAAGTTTTAGAAAATCATATAACATTTAATAATACTAGATCTTTCAAAAATATAAGAATATCTACTTACAAATGTCTCTCCACATGGTTGATAAATACCAATTCACTCTCAGGTATAGAGACAGTTGCAAATGAATATATTGCCTTCATAATGAAGGATATAGTACCAGAACAAGATTGTATACTATTAGCTGTAAGTTTCAGATAATTATGAAGAAACAAACAATTTCTATGTTCATTACATGTTAATTTATGTATTATGAAAAATACAATGCACATGTATTGTCTTATTTCAGGTCCAAAAACCACAGCATTTGTCTAAACGAATGATGAAACGTTTTAAAGATAGTCAGTATGAAAATAGTCCAATTTTAAATAATAGAAGAATTGCTGCTGAAAGCAGTGGACCTCTAGATGCAGATTTATGCAAAGAAGCTCTCATTACTTTGCAAAATATACTTCACAATAGTGGCGTTTTGCTAAAGCCTCTATTTTATAAAGTATATTTTAAATTTCTACATTTTTATGCTTATTTTTCTTGTTAAAGTATAATGTACTTTTATAACTTATCTATGTTTTACTTTCTTGCAGAATGTGCAGAATACAGTGATACCTTTATTATATAATTTCTATTTGAGACATTCCATGTCAAGTTTTTATAAGGATCATGATGAATGCCGCTTGGAGTTATTTAAAGTTTTAAGGGCTTTACAATTGAATCCAGATACCACATTAATAACTCCTATACAATTTTATTTGGAAATATCACATAGTGCGACTCATGATGTTGATTTGAGTATTGCACAGGAAGCAAGGTTTACTATAGCTGAATTAGAAAAAGTCATACATCCTATAGCACCTACATTACAATTACCACGACAAAAGTAAATAATGCCAACTTTATTTATCTTTAAATATTTTCTTGCTCATAAACATTATTTTTTATGCAATTTGGTTGCTTATTTCACTTAACTCTTGTTGTGCACACTTCTAGAATCGCATAATGGTCACACTGGGATCTCTCGCGACCCCAATACAAAAATGTGTACTGCAATGAAACTATTATTTTTTTTTGGACTGGGAACAATTTCAGGATATATTTCAAATATATTTTTAAATGATAGCATAGTTTTTGTGAATAAAATTTGGTCTCAAAAGGAAAAAAAAAATTTATAAAGCAAAAAACACGAAAAATGACATTTTTTACTTAAAAAATTGTAGTGAACGTAATTTTTAATATTTTTTGCTAAAATTTTGAGGAAGTACTCTCGATGTGTCACTTTAAGAAAAAAATTAATATAATAGTAGGACTTTCAAAAAAATTTCTCCAGACCGGAGAGTGTCAACTTCATTTCACAGTCAGAATCGTACTGACGCTTAGATCATGACACATCGTGCTTGCTGAAAGAGAAGACACAGAACTAACAGTAAATGGCAGTACAAGTCCTATTTTCAAAGATTGACATACCGTAAATCATCATCGAAAATCTTTGGGCTCGTTTTGACCCCACAGTGCACAACGAGGGTTAACATGTCATGTTTTCAAAAACCGATTATTGACATTAAGTGAAGGAAGACTATTTTAGATATTTATTTTAGAAACCTTAAAATATTCTTTATTTGCAGTGAATCCGATAACGAATCTCTTCCTGAAAATCAGGAAGAAGTTGCTATTGCCACTACTGCTACCACTATAAATTTAGATGAAAGAAACAGGATTGAACATGAACTTTCTCAAGAAGCAGATGCCATATTACCTCCATGTAAACGACAAAAAATAATCATGCCACAAAGTTCAGAAACTATACAGAATAAGACCACTTCAGAATCTATCAATATGAATGATGACGAGACGAATTTTAACAAACTTCAGATAGATAAAGAATCACATGAAAATATCGAAAATTTATTACAAGATGGAGATAAAGTACACTGTAACAAGAAGCCAAGTCTATGGAACAGAAATGAACTTACAAATGGCAATACTGAAACCGAAGTAAAGTGCAAATTACTTAAAGCAGAGCACTGTGAGCGATCTAAAGATTCGTCATCTGAGGAGCAGCATCTAAATGAAGCAAACAAATTGTTAGAAATTAATTTTTCTTTGAATGACAAAGAAATAAAAGAGAAGATAGCAGAGAAAGTTTGGCAGAAAGAAGAAGAATCAGATACCGATGATCCAGATATGCTTAATCTGTTCCATGATGTTCCTATTCAATAAATTTGTTATTAAAAAATAGAAATATTTTTATATACTGCCAGTTTATTAATAAATTAAACAATATTATAAGCACGTGCAAAGTTATTTACTCAAGGAATGGTATTCGCAATTGTTCCATATGGCATGTGCTACTTAATCGATGTTTGGTGATTTTTTTTTAATGTCGGCAACCGATTTTTATTTTTTTTAAAGAAATTTTTCTAATATTGTCTCAATACAATGAAATTTATGAATGTTAAGTCCAGATCTACGATAAGTGTAGTAAGCTTTAAGTCTTAAGAAATTGGTCAATCATAGTCAATTATTCTTGTAAAAGTAGGTTGAAATTAGTTAATTTCTTAAAGTTTAAAGTTTATTACACTATTTTACAATTATGGACAATAAAATTGTCCGGTTTTTAGTCATAAATTTCGGAACGTTGCCGAATGGCTCAATGAGAGCACTTATCTTACCGAAATTAAGCCTGGTCTACAATACGTGTTGTAAGCTGTAAGCCGTAAGAACTCACCAATTAAAGCCGATTATTTTTGTAATAATCGACTGTGATTCGCCAATTCTTACCGCTTACAACTTACGACATGTATTGGGTGCATTCAGTACTACACCGCTCATTGAGCGCTAAGTGAGCTCTTGCATCTGATTGGTATATACCTTTAGATTTAAAAATATACACCAATCAGATGCAAGAGCTCACTTAGCGCTCAGTGAGCGGTTGTAGTACTGAATGCACCCATTGTAGACCAGGCCTAAAGCATGGTCTACAATGGCAATAAGCAATAAGAAGTAAGCGTAAGCGGTAAGAAATAAACCAATCACAGTCGATTAGGACAAAAATAATCAACTGTGGTTAGTCCATTTCTTACTGTTCACGCTTTCTTCTTACTGCTTACGGCCATTATAGACCACGTTTAAAATCGATTATTATAAGAATAATCGATTATGGTTGGTCCATTTCTTACTGCTTACGCTTACAACCTAGTTCTTGCAGACATTGTAGATGGGCCTTTAATTCTCTATTGGATCATTCAGCGACGTTCCGAAACTTATCATTAAAAACTGGACAACCTTATTGTCCACGACTTCGAACTAATGGGCATATTCTATACTACAACTGCTCAATGGCCGCGTTCAGCAGACTCAACAGTTGGACACATTATTAGATTTACCACTGAATTTCGCTCCTGATTGGTAAATATTTCTGGGTCTATGAAGAATCTAAAAGAATGCTCCAATCACAGACAATAATCACTAAGCGCTCTCTGATCACTTTGGTCTACTGAACGCGGCCATTGAGCGTTCAATGGAGCACTTGCATCTGATTGGTATGTTTTTTAGGTCTGGAAGAATACACCAATGAGATACAAGAACTCACTGAGCGCTCACTAATGCGATTAGCCAATTTCCAATGAAATAACAAACCGGTTAAATTAGTAAAAGTTGGTAGAAACTATTGGAGACTTAACGAAAAAAAGAAAAGTTATAAAGAAATACAGAAAATATTACTGAGGGCCACTTTTACTAAGCTACAGTTAACTAACCGTTTTAATAATCTTGCAGAATTTCAACTGAAACTGCTGTGAGAAGAAATAGAAAATGAGGAACTAAACAGCAACTCAGTTGGAATTTTGCAAGATTAATTGCAGCTTGATAAAAGTGACTATTATTGGTGGAAAAAATGAAACGCAGCACCAATAATTTTCACTGCTGCCAACAGTATCTTCTTTACTGGCAACAGTCACAGCATTTTCAAACACACCCTCAGTCGTGATCGCATCCATCTTCTGAATGCATGATCCGATGAGCGAATATGATGAATATAAATAATGTGCGTCTTTCGGTTACTTCGTTTACTTATGATTTTTGCATGCCGCATACGTTGATATATACGAATCACGCTTTCCAGCCATTGAAGACTTGTGCCTTACAAATCTTGCATTTCGCATGTTCCAGTCGACGAATTTGTTGTTGCTTGTGAACAAGGACAATAGAAGACTCTGATTTATATGGTGTTTATAACCGAAGGGATTGATCCACTGGATTATTCTAGAGAACAAGAGTAACTGGCGACGTTCTACAAAGTAGCGATCGTCATTATAAAAAGACTGTACGCATTGGATTGCAAATATTACTGTGACACGGATATTGATATGAGGTTAGAGTCCGCGTTATTCTGTGCTATCAACATATCTCACCTTGCATTTATCTCGTTTGTGTTGGACATTAAAGTTAAATATTAAATTAAGATCAGACTCAATTGTCACTTCTGTGTTTCTGACAGACTATATAAAATGGACTGCTGGAGAATATAATTGTTGTATACAGTGGTGATAAGATCTGGTGCTCCATCTGTGTTGATGTGTGTATTCCATTTGTGTCATGTTTCCACTTCGGTGAAATTAGGGATTGTAGAATCATGTAAGTGTTCAAACACTATATAATAGCATAGGAAATATGACTCTGTTGAACAGAAGCAAAATTTAAAACCACCATAGTGGGATATTTTCAGAGATATTTTGACAGATGTTATGTTTACAATAAGATGTGTTATGCACAGGACGGATCCAGAATACGATATGGGTCCTGCGGCGGAGGTGAAATATCCAGTACCTCCTGAATTTGATGACGAACAAACATTAGACGAAGAAGAAGCTTTAGAAGGTAGTGAAGATTCTCACGAGTTGTCCAATTTACAAAAGGTATATCTCCGCAGCATCTGTTTTTGGTATCTTGTATATACGTATCTGTCATTTTGTAACAAAGTTCTGATCCCAACTATTCTAGGATCAAGCCTGAGAAATGAAAAAATCAAGCCCATAAATAATTACAATTATGATAAGTTTCCGCAATACTTTGGACTCAAAGTGCGTTCTCGTAGTGAGATTCCATGTTTAGTCCATATAAATACGCTTGATGTAATAATGATTTATTTCTGTCTCCTTGCAGGAGGGTGATATGCCACTGAAAGATCTGCTTGCCATGTATGGATACGGCGATCCCTCAACGGAGAACTCGGACAGTTCCGATCACATGTTGCTGCCGTCCGGAAGTGGCGATCCCGAAACCGAGGAGCGTTATTCAGACAAAGGTGACAACGACGCGGACGACGACGACGATGATGACGAGGCCGATGCAAATAGTAACGAGCCAGATCTCAAACAGTTCTACACAGAGATGCTAGTGAAGGGGAAAGATAAGACATCATCGATCTCAACGACAAAAAGCAGTGGCGGCGGTGGGACGGGCAGTGGGGATAACAGAAGGCACAGAATTGACGATGACGATGACGACGACGAAGATCCCGAGGCTGAAGAGTGCACGATGACGGGCTCTCGAAGTGGGAGCGGGAATACAAGATCGTCACCTACAATCGCGGGAATCAACGCCGTTACATGCACCGGTATGGTTAATTTAGGAGGCTGCCCAGCGACCGGCGTCACTAACAGTACAGTAGAAGGAGCCACTAGTGGTGCAATAGACGTACCAGAAGATGGGATTGTCAGCACTGGAATAGGAAGTGGTAGTTCGAGACTTTTGCGAAGTGTTTCGAGACCACAAAGTGAAGAAGAAGAGGACGATTGCGATTACAGTCCAGACGAGGAAGAGTGGAAGAAGACTATCATGGTCGGTAGTGATTTTCAAGCTGCAATACCGGAAGGTTTATGGTTCTACGATGACGCGTTGCCGTATGAAAATGAAGACAAGCTCTTGTGGGATCCCACTCCGATATCTGAAGAAGATACAAATGAATTCCTAGAACGCGCGCAGCTTCCGGCGGTAAAGGGCGGCTCATTACCGGCTGGATCTCATATCAGAGACGACGAACAAGCGTTGTATCTCTTGCTGCAGTGTGGCTATAATCTTGAGGAGGCTCTGAGAAGACGTAGAATGAACGTGGTACCACCAACGGAAGCGGTGAGTCTTTGGTCGGAAGAGGAGTGTCATAATTTTGAGTCGGGACTGCGGACTTACGGGAAAGATTTTCATCTTATACAGAAAAATAAGGTATGTATAAGAATGGAAGTAAATTCACGACGATATTTCGTGTTCGATTCATTTTTTCTTCTCGTTTACATTACCGATACCTATGTTGTCAATATTAATTTCGCATCACGTCTATATCACGATAGAATGGTTATTTAATGTTTACCTCATTTACCTAATGACAAAACACATTATTATTGATGATGTCGTTATGTAAAGTAACCAAAGGTCACAACACATAGAAAAACGTAAGCAGTAAAATTTAAAAAATAAATGAATCGATGAATCAACCAACCAAAAATTTCGATATGATCCGTTCTCGATAATTTTCAGATGCGATTAATTAATTTATTGTTTATTTTTCAAGTCTTGTTAATGCTAACGTTTTTCGTTATATCATGATTCTAACTTAAAGAAAATCATAGGAGCATAATAGGAAAAGAATGTTAAAAACAATGTTCTCTTGTTTCTTAGGTCAGGACGAGATCTGTCGGAGAATTAGTGCAATTTTATTACTTGTGGAAGAAAACCGAACGACATGACATATTCACGTACAAAGCTCGATTAGAAAAGAAAAAATATGCGCTGCATCCTGGTATCACGTGAGTATTTTCTCCATCGTGACTTCTCCTTTTCTCCAATTTTATATCACAAATGTTGACGAAAACTTTTACCGTATCAGATATCACACATGTTCGCAGGTATTTGAAATTATTATCTAGAAGAGCTAGAAATCTAGTATTATAGTTATCTGACGATAGAATAGTAATACACTTGTACAATGCAATTTGTTTTTTTCTCGTTGTTATTATTGCAAGTATGAATGACAGAACCGTTAAATCGCAAGCAGGGACTATATGGATCGATTCCTCGAGGAGCAGGAGGGTGTGCGAGATCGCAGCAGCTCGCCGAATGTTAATTATCTGCTGTACGGCGATGCTAAACGGCAGAGGTCCAACGCCAACGTCACTAACAACGACGAGATCAAGTCGGCCGAGAATTGGGACGGGAATTCCGTTGATCCGTTGGCGGACATCAACGGTCCGACGCCGCCTCCACCTCCGCCGCCCCCGCCGCCGCCACCTCTGGCAACGTCCGCTGCGACTACCATCTCCTCGACGTTGTGCAGTTCCAGTGCTTTAAACATACCAATATCCCATTGCTCGTCGTCTGCTCGCCATCCGGATGGCTCATCGTCCGAATCCGACTGTGCTAACCCGCTGGCGTGGAGCGCTGCCGCAGCGTCTCGAACTCAAGCTACCTCCTCCGTAATCACGACGATAACAATCAACACCACCACAGCCAGCACGTCCACAACTGTCGGCTCAATGAACACAGTTACTACTAGTTCCACCGTCACCGCCACCGCCGCCGCGGTTTCTAACAATTACTATCAGCGAGTGACGTCATCCAGGAGCAACGATTCCCATGACTCGCCCTCGCCGGAGAACATTTTACCTCATCTGCCCCCTTAGCATCTAATCCGACCTTCAGGTGTCCAACCTGAAAGGCGGCGGATGTCTTTGCGCGGTGTGTCCAACTCAGCATTCACACCATCGCTATTGTCGTAACGCATAATATTCGTTAATATCAAGGATTATATTTTTATACCGTATCGTAATATGATTATCAATCGTCCTTAGCGTGAGTGCGCGCGATGTACAGTAAGATGGAGGGGTTAGGTGATACGTAAGATGGAAGGGACGCACGACGGAGCATAAGAGAGCGTGTCACTGTACGTAAGGTACAAACAGATGAGGAAAGAAGAAATAAAATTACAAAAGAAAACGCGAGTCACTGTGAAACTTTCTTTCTATTTTTCTCCTCTCTGTCTCCATACGTATATACGTTTCATAAGGTAGAATACATTTTGAAGGAACTTGTTGAGAGAATGTAGATGGGCCAGCAGAGGAGTGGAATAGTATTACATACCGCGGATGAAAATCTATGTAGATAGATGATTGTACTACATAACTGATCATTCAACTTGTCGAAAGCATGTCTCTTCAGCAGTATATTTATAACGATCACGAAACTCTTACGGAACAACTTGTCATTCTATAGAATGCGATGCTCGATAGATCATTGGAACAACGATCGAATCGAATGAAAGTCAGTAGAAACACATGGTCATCATGATTTTAACATAAAGAACGCGCTGCAACTAGCGGTTCTAATGATTTCCTTCGTTTTGTCCCTCGTTAAGTGTAGTTGGCTGTGTATAAAATTATATATAGTTTGTATTCTCACATTTTTCTTAGAAACTATTTAAGGATCACGAAATGTTTCTAATTTACTGGATATACATTATTTTATGTTCAATCATTTATAAATAGTATTGATATAAAAGTACACGCTAAATTAAAAATATCGTATTCACTGTACTCTTCGTATTTTCTCCCGTGCCTGATACTCCTCCCTCCTCCAATCATCATTTTCGTGTACATATAGTCTTTCTGCTTTCGATGTGCGAGTATAGCAGTCATTGACATATTTATTATGATACATTATTGTCGATTGATACTTTTAAATGTCTCAAGATGTACCATTTTAGTACAAAGTAACACAAATTGCATTGTGCAAGTTTACATATCGACACTAAGAAAGAATATGATATGACGATTGGAAATTTTCATACCGATGTACAAATGACAGCTCGCTGTCTCACATCGATCCCTCCTACTGTTTTGCATACTTGGAATGTCGAGATTTCATCTGCATTCCAGAACGATAAACTGTACAATAAAACTGTACACTGCAAGCTCATTTCAAGGATACGATTTCATAGCCGTTATCGGAACTGTGCCGAATCCAACAACTCCACAACCGTCTTCAGCAATTTCCCCATTAACGGTAAAAACTGCACGCTGCTGACGTTCGCTTTAAACGCACCAGTAGTGAGGATACTATCGTCGAGTCTCCTCTCTCGTACCTCACTAAGGCCCATCTCCGTACTCGAAGAGTCATCATGATCGGGCGAGCATACCGGTGCCTTGTCGACAGTACTGTACTCTTGGAGCCTCGCCGGTAAATGCTTCTGCGCCAAATCGTCTGTGCTGTGAATCGTCCTGGAGCTCTTGGTGTCCGCATCTATCAAGGAACCTTTTACCTGCCAGATATCGGGGGTGCCGCGGTGCTCGAGAAAATCAAAGAAGACCCCCAGCTCCGTGGCGGTCTCTCGCGCTATGAGCTGACGGTCGCGCAAAGCGAGCCTGGGGCTCTTCACTCCTTCCAGCGCCTGGGACAATATCAGGATCAAGTTGATCTCCAACGCCAGTCGCGTGTTGTTCTCGTCCATGGACTCGAACCACGGGTCGCTGAATCTATGGTTCCTCGCTATGTTCGGACTACCGTTGCCGGTACCGGCGGCCCCACCGCCGCTGCTCTTCGTAACGTGCCTGCCGGTGGCCAAGGCGGTCGCTCTCGAGAGTATGGTGTTCTCGCAGATCAGTGGGTCATATGGGCGACGTACCAATCTAGGACTGCTGAGCAACGGTACGGTGACGTCCAGGCCACTGACGTATCCCAAGAATTCGCCACCGAGACTTGCAGATGTCCTAGACGTGGAGCCTGAAGCCGCGTGAAGGATCCTCCTAAGATCCTTGCTGGTGTGCATACGCCGTAGGTTCTCCGGCGCGGCGCGTTCCCATTCCTTCTTCGCGGAATCCGTCTTGTCCTCACGGCCGGGCTGCGAGGTGAATGACGAGGTGGAAACCGGTAACGAAGCAGTCGGTTGTGAACGAGAGTGGAGAGCCTGAGTGAACAGCTGGGTCGAACTAATGATCGTCCCGTAAGTGAGCCGCGGGCCGGAGCTCATGCTCATCTGCGGCGGCCCGAAGTTCATCTCCGCCATCGGCGTATACCAATAATCTTGCGTGTATATCGTGTCCACCAGGGTGTTCAGCTTTGGTGAGAAGTGGACAAAGGTCAAGGCGCAAGTGGTATTGATGACGATGAGCTTGTTCACCAGCAGCTTTAGCTCGCCGCTCGGCAGCCGATTGTCGCAGGACTCAAGCTCTTCGGCGCTTTCCACGCTTATGCCATCGATGATGAATTTCAGTATCCGCGGCCTTAGCAACAAGTTCACCGTGCTGTCGTAGGCCAAGTACATGCACTTGATGAGGGTCTCACGTACGCTCGGCTGAATCGCGTTCCAGGTATACGTCTGTGTGGCGATCGTATGGATGAGAGCGACCAGCGATTGTATGAGGTCGGCAGCCAACAGATCGGCGGTGTGTCTTAGCAACGTGGACACTACCATCAACTGGTGCTCATGGGAATTTAAGAACAAAATCACGTGATCCGTGTAAATCATATGCGACTCGCTGGTGACCAGACCGATGAGGAACTCCAGGCCCAACGTGTAGAGCGGCCACCAATCTTGGCAACGCCATCGACCGTTCGTTGAGTCGTCGTACAACGAGTCGAGCATGCTGTTAGCGATGTCCGCCGGCGGGATCAAGCTGAGCCACAGTTTCGTGATGTCATTGTCATTGATGGGATGTGGGCAGTACGGTGAACGCGATATCACTCCGAGCAGACTCAACGCGGCTGTGCTGAACTTCAGATAAGGATATTTTTGTAAGGTATTACCGATGCATGCCATCAGCTCGGGTATCATCTGACGGAGTTGCACGCAATTGGCTCTTCGACAGTGCTTGGAGCTCGCGCTGCGCTCGACGTAGGAACGCAACAACTGCGTCACCAAACAGATAGCCAACGTCGCCGGCAGACTTTCCCGCATACCACGTAGCACCTCCGCGTTGTTGTAGTCAGCCTTCTTCTGCGTGTCCTTTTCGTCGGTCTTCAAGTCGACGGAAAGCTGTTGCTTCCGGTGTTCCAGCCGGCGAGCGGCGTCCTTTAGTTCCTCCAGTTCGCTGAAAGCGATCGTACAGGAATGTGCCAAGAGATACTCGAGGCTCGCCGAGTCCTCGGCCAAAGTGCTCTTCACCAGCTGCACGCAGCCGAGGAGCAACGAGATCAACGTCTGCCGCAAGGCCTTCCCGAAGCCACGGTAGGTCTGCGCTACTTCCTGCGTAAGCTGCGATAACCTGTTCTTGAAGATCCTCGAGTCACCGACGCACATCTGTTTCCAAGAGGTGATGCACCTCAGGGACAAAGACGCCAGCAACATTGGGATTTTACCGCTGCTGGGATCGTTAGGTTCTTTCACCCGCTCTAATAAAGAGTCCAGAGCCAGTTGGCTCAGAAGATGTGCCTGCGACACGTTGATCGGATAGTTTTTGGCAGTTCGATCATCGGTAAGCATAACGATGAAATGGTACCATGATTCTAAATTGATTTCGTACAACGGGTCCATGTGCTTATCTTGTTTTGTACGATCTTCCTCGATTTTGTTATCATCGCTGGAAGTCTCGAGGACATACATCGCCAACTTCTTCCAATAGTCGTGAGATTTGTCCAAAAATTCCTTGAGATTTTTCGAGAAGTTGTTCTCGAGCAACGGACTCTTGTACAACTCCAGCGTGATTATGTCCAACAATTGGGAATAACCTTTCGCACCGGGCACCAGAGTCTTGAAAAGTGGCGCAAACAGGTAACTCCAGAACTTCTCCCGCTTCCGGAAGAAGTTCACGAGGATCTCGTTCCTATGATACCACATGGCGCGCATCACTGTCATCGTACTATCGTACAACTTGTCGCACACGATATCGTCTTCCTTAGACATCCGTTCCAAGTAGGAGTCCAGAAATTGGCTACAGCCTTCTGTGAGAAACTCATCGGCCGGTCGTGGAAAGATCCTCTTGCATTCCGCTTGATGCATGATGTTAAAAAGGGCCTCTGTCAGGCCGGGTTGCTTTTCCAAGCACACAGCGACCAATTCCAGAATGGCGACTTTCACGTCGATTGCACACGTCGGCAACGTCAATCGGAACGCGAAGGTCTCCCGTATGGATGTGCCATCCATCCCCATGCAGACGAGTAGCGACATAGAAAATTCTTCCGCAAACTTCTTCAACAATCTAACCGCCATTTTCTGCAACGAAGGGCTGAACCAAACATACAAATAATTAACGATGGTCGGAACTATTAAGAGCCCGTTGGGCACCAACGGGGACGAATACAGAGCGATTTCGAGAGGCGATCTATCGCCCCGTTCTAGACCCAGGGATTTCCTGAACATCAACAGTCTATTCACTATCGATAGAGCCAGTTCCACGCTCTTGGTAGTCTTGAATCCTTTCCCGCTGATCCAGTCCGTTTCCGTTATCATTTTGTTGTGCAATGTGCGCTCACCCGTCCGGATTAATTTCAATAGCGCGTGACGCGGCTCCAAGTAAAGCAGGCTATATACTACAACGTGCTGCAGCTCGTTGCGGATGTCGTTCTTGGGCAGAGTTGAGTCCAGAGCGCGATGGATGCAGAACATACTCTTCAGCCACAGGTCGATTCTCTCTGCGTTCGACTCGAAGTACCACGAATCTAGTTTGGGTAACACACTTTGCAGTAGAAATACCATACCTGGTATTTCGATCTTGTACATAGCTTCTTTGCTGTGTTTGGTGATTAGGTAATTATATAGCGTGTCAAGGAACGCGCGCAGAATGGGATAAGTGTGCTCGATAGTTTCTATCCCCGATAACCAGGACGCCACGAGGCCACCGTCGAAGGAGATCGCTTCCGCGAAGTCTGCTGGTTTCTGATACCAGTTGTTGAACTTCGGATAAACACTAGATCGCATCCGCAAGAGGATGTCCTCGGGATATCTCAAGATCAATTTGGACGAAAGACTGATGCACACTGCGACAATTCTGTATAAGTTGGTCGGCAGTACCGGATAAGAGAACCGATTAACGATTTCGAAACTTAGTTCCGTGGGGGTCACCATGTTCAACGGTATCTCTATGTCTTTGGCCAATAATGCTTCCAACAGCTTCAGACCTTGACAAACGTTCTCCGGTAAATCAGTCATCACTGCGCTGATGTTTGCAATTCCGCCGCTCGCTTGAGAAAATAACTGTTCTATCTTATGATGCAGAGCTTCCCAATAGTTTGCCTTTGTACGAAATAAAACTACTTCCTTCTCGTTCGACAGCACAAAAATGTTCTCGCGGATGCAATCGTCCGGTATGGTGAAGGAATTCTTTTGAATTATGCATTCCGCTTTATACGGTTGTAACGGCTTGTTATGATCTCTTTGGCGGGAAACCTCTAAAGTCAGTGATGGCAGATTATCCAATTCCAAGATGATCTGAAGAAAGAGTAATAAACTTCATATTTCACGATAAATATCAAATATTTAATAAAACGGATTCAATAAGTATAACTGATATATGTTACCTTATTAGTGCTTGCAATTGTCGTGGAAGCCAGACCGATGGCTATGCTGGTTAGAGGTTCGAACTTGTAGGGATATAATTCGGCTGCAACCTTATAAATTGGCCATAAACCGTCATTCCGCTCATCCCAGAATCGAGCTGCACATTCTGGAAACTTGACTGTGGCAGCCATCGCGTCGAAGATACCATTCAAAGCGCTTAATCGGTCCTCATCGATGAAGGCACACACCAAAGTGAGAAGATTGTAAACACTACTTCGCGCCACTTCGGCATAGTGAGTCTCTTCTTGAATCATCTCAGAGTTCATTAAATCTTTTAGATAGTGGAATACATCGAGCTGTATAGCCTTAATTCCGAAGGGTCTGAAACGGTTTAATATGTCTATGTTATCTGGATCAATTGCGTAATTAGCCAGCATCCATGACAGAAGCAGGGGTCCATCTTGTGGTAAACTTTCACGGACGCATTTGTGCTCAAAAGTTTCTTGCATATTACTTCTTACACTATTTATCCAGTCTTCCATAGCAGTGCTGAAATAATGGATACAATAACAGAATAAAACACAGGCTAGGGATTTTTATTTATGTAAAATAATGCTCAGTTAACTCACTGTTTCCTGATATCCAGTGCTACAAGTAGCAAAGCTACCTGACTATATTGTATTTCTTCAATTTTTTTAGTGATAGCTTCCTTATCCTCATGGCTCTTTGTACTTGCTAATCGTCTAGGTTCACCCTAAAAATCAATTTTTATACAGTAATATTTAAATAGAATCTTCAGAATATATAGCATAGGGCATTTTAAAGGCTTACCCCAATACTTCCATAAAATTTGGGAAAATCATTATCAGCAACATGAATATCATGTACAATCACAGTCAGTATATGAAGCAATTCACGCATTTCAATCAGAGTACTATTGTACAATCTATGCAAATGATCTTCTGTACATAATGGCGATCGTATAGGCGGGTTTACAAACTTTAATACTTCTATCTGTTTTCGTATAGACTCAAGTAAATTTCCCATCAAAATTTTATCAAAAAATTTTGCAAATTCTTTGTGATGGGGATGTCTTTCGTTATTTTTATACTCAATCATGAGTTTAAGGCATTTAATCAAAGTCACTCTCTCAGAGTAGTAAAAGTTCCAAATATCATCGATTAGGATTTTCATGGAAGTAAGATCCGAGAGTTGCGATGCAAAAGTCTCTGCGCAATTTCTATATTCATAGGAGACAAAATTGCATACCAAATCCCATGTAATTGCAACATCTAAATTCTGATGAATTAAAAAATATTATTGTATTAAAATTGTTATAAAAATAATAATGAAATAAAAATTAAATATGTATTGCTATATGATAAGTAATTATATACAAATATGGGATGATATACTTACAAGAAGTGGAGCAAGTTTACTAATCAAATCATACATCTGGGAAAGAGGAGGAGGATTTCTTTTAGAAATACTTTGTAATGATTCTTCTGTATACGGCTTGAAAAATTGGAGTCCTTCCTTGAGTAATACAGTACTATTTTTTATTTCGTCTTCCACAGTATCACTAGCACAACAACACGTTGTACCTGATATTATGGACCATAATTCTTTGCTGCAACTTTTCATAAATTGCTACTATTAGATTTATTTTTACGGATAAATGAAATGATCATATAGTATTAAATATGAAAATTATTGACACTCTGACAATAGCAAACATTTTGTTTTCAAAATTTGAAAGCAGTAGTCACAGGCATACTTACGGTAAATTACCCATTGGAGCAACTTCCATGTTGACAACAATGTTATTGTATCCAAAACTGTTTATAAATTTTTCAATGTCATGCGTTTATGAATAAATATAAAATACTATAATTCAAATAGCCTGTTATAACAGTCTATATCAGGATAAGTAACCTCACTTTTATTATATTGGCGGGCAACAAGAATAATCGACCAATGAATCGATATTTAACTTTGATAATCGATTATTTTCCTTATATTTTATAATTTTGACTGCTCATGTCTTTATAGTAATATAACTTATTATTAAATCAAAAGATCCTTTTATTTCTTAATTAACATAGTAAACAGTTTATCCGACCTGCTATTCGGCCATAAAGAATCGCAGTTTGTCCGATACATTATTGAGTCACATTACTTGGAAATTAGAGAGAAACCTGAGAGCGGTCAACACGGCATTTTCTGCAACACCGACTTTCCGCACTGGGAAAGGACGCCATCTGCATCTATTTTGAGAGGGGATCTACGATGCTACATCCACTTTCAGGTGGAAGGTTTCGATGGTAAAATCTGCATGTGGTGGAAGTCTGTGCTACATCTACTTTCAGGCGGTTTATGTCCGTGCTGCAACCACAGTTGTCATCTCTATGTCAGACTATGCCCGGTCGTCTAAAAAGAGCGAGATGGGGGGGGGAGCAAGAAAAATAAAAGTACGTATTAAATATTAAATCTTCGCATACATGTTGCCGTATCAAAGTCCCCTGTATAATAAACGATTTAGAACGACGTCTGGAGACGCATGATGTATCGTTGCCCGTGTCCCGTTCCCTTCGTCTTGCATCTCAATTCAGCATCCCGACCGCTCCGGACATTCGCTCGTGGCATTGACAGTGGCCGTCGGTGAGCATTCGGTCCGCTCGGAGGAGCACATGTTAATTAACGCGACGAGACTCCGATTATAAATATCCCGTGAGTCGACGAAATATCTGAACTTTTAAGAAAAGCATCAAAGAAAATCACATTGACGTTGTCATGGGTGAAATCTCACCCTGGTATATATTTTTTTATTTTTGAAATAAAAAAAGCCAAACGAATGCAATTAAATGTTATTTATCATCATTGAATATTAGATGAAAAGTAGAAGAGTTATTGTCTGGAGCGGATAATCTAACATTTAATAAGAACGAGACAAAATTCGCATGGGATGAAATTCCACTCTTTAACGCTACCATGACCTTTAATTATTCTCCGAAAACGGCGTCACAACAATTTTGACACTTTGTATAATTAGTTGTTAACACATTTTCTAGTCGTACACATTCCTCTTTAATTAACATAAAGCTAATAAATGTCCGATGCTTCGACAGAGTAATTTTCTTTATTTTCAGTAATCAATAAATAGAGTGCATCGATGTCGCGTACAGTTGACAGGCCTCCTCACATTCCCCTCGTCGTTCCGGAACCTTCGAGAAAAGAAAAGATGCCCAAAGGCAAGTCTCTCTTGCTTCAACCGCCGCCGAGGCCCGCAATGTTTACATCGCGCCGATTGTGTTGATCGGCTCGCGAGCGACGACACTTTTTGCCCTTCGTATTAATACTCGTGCGCCTCGCGTATTCGACCTTATTCCATCAGCAGCAGCCGTGCGCGACGCGCTCGTCACTTCCGTCTCATATAATTGAAAGAAATGTATCTCGTCGGTCCTCGAGATACTGAATTGGCATCGCGTTGATTAACCGCACGGTCGAATCGCGAGTATCGGCATTAGAAACGTGAGCGAGTGAAATCCGAAGGACTCCAAGAGCCGGGAAGAAAGACGCCGGCAGCGATACGTCACGTTTCCAGGTATGTGGAATCATTTATTATGCGGGAGGTTTCCAATAACGAGAGCGAACGTTTGACGAATTTTTCGAGAATAAGAAGTCGGAATTTCGCGCTCGGCATTCACGATTCGTCATCATCCAACTAGTAATCATGACTTTATGAATCTGCAATTACTCTCGTCAATCTCTGTCTGTTTATCTATTTATTGCGTTGTTGTATACAAGAGATATTGATCCAGACAGAGACGGATAACGTTCCATGAACGCAGATCTCTAATTCATCATGTTCTCAATCAAACATTCTGAATCATTCCCAAGTGTGTATACCGGTCTTGTGTAGAATATTCAAACGACATATCGCTTCTTAGACTGCGACCTTTTTTGTTTTCGGTCAGCGCTTCTTTCAAGTCTGTTTACTCTCGTTACGGGATCTAAATTTAAATGTCCATTCGTAAAAGAGTATTTTCGAAAGCACACAACTGTTGTCTCTGCTTCTTGTTGTCATTTTTTTCGTCAGCTCTTTCAAAAGCTCCAAGTTCATTCTAGACCTTCAATGTCAATGAAGAAAAAAAACCGTAGCGAATATTCTCCACTCATCCCGACCAAACATTCTTTTTCTACCGCAGCTTACCAGGAACGTTAAATTTTTGTTCCAGACGTTACGGGAAGCAAGTCCGGCGGATGCGGATGCCGCACTGGAAGATCTGATTCGGGCAGAGCAAGGTCGGCCGGAAGGTAAAGTTTACAAGTTTTCTACATATCTATGTTCAACTCTTTATAATCTTTGCCTTTGCAACTTGTTCCTCATCATCTTTCTTGAAAGCTTCATGTCTCATTTAAATTTTCAATGGTGGAACAAAAATATAAAGATAAAAATCCTATATCAAAATATTTCCGTATTTTCGATTCGTCTCGATCAAAGATATTCTCTCTTTACCGCAGATTATCAACTGGGAATACTACTTTTCTGTTTCAGTTGTTGCGGAAAGCAACAACAATCCGGCAGATGCGGATGCCGTACCGGAGGATCCGGTTCGGGCCAAGCAGAGTCGGTCGGAAGGTAAAGTTTACAAGTTTCCTACACATCTGTGTTCAACCCTTTACGATCTTTGCCTTTGCAACTTGTTCCTCATCAGATCTCTTGAAAGCTTCAAGTCTCATTTAAATTTTCAATGTTGGAACAAAAATATAAAGATAAAAATTCCGTATTTTCGATTCGTTCCGATCAAAGATATTCTCTCTCTACCGCAGGTTATTAATCGGGAAAATTATTTTTCTGTTTCAGTTGTTGCGGAAAGCAACAGCAATCCGGCGGACGCGGATGCCGTATCGGAGGATCCGATTCGGGCCAAGCAGAGTCGGCTTGAAGGTAAATTTACAAGTTTACTATAGTCCTCTGTTTGACCCTTGGCGATCTAGAGCTGGGATATAATTTCCGGTTCGACTTGAATTACGATCGCAGAGGGTAAACTACTCTTTTACTCGCTCCCGCAATCGTTGGTCAAATCTGATGAGCGAATGTGAATTTTTTGTTACAGAGTTGAAGCGGAACGTGGCCGGCTCTGACTGCAAGTCGTTTCGGTGAGTAAATACAAAATGAAAAGAGAAACAAAATTCCGCATGACGGATGTGGGACTATGGGACTATGGGAGATAAAATATCGTTCGAGTCAATGCGAATTGCAAATAGATTTTGCATGTGTGTGTTTGTGATGTTGAATAAAATACATTGCTCGAGACAATCAGAGGTTTACTTTATTGAAAGCCTGCATTACATACGAGATTTAAAATACCGAATGATTCTCTTTTGATGTTCAGTCATCTGAATAAAAGATATTCATATCTACAAACGCGATACGGTCATCAGCTGCTTTATTTTCATTTTTCAAGCGGGCCGCAGAATTATTTAACGACAATTATTTGACAATATTCAATTGTCCGCGTAAAATATATTCACACGCATAAATGCCGATACCGTTGGCTACTTTGCTTTTATTTCCAAAACAGGCTGTAGAATTATTTGGCAATATTGTCCATTCGTCACGATCCCTATTGTCTCGAGTAGCGTATAATGCGCGCAGAAATTGCGCCAACGCACGCCGAGCTTGAGGTATCCTCGCTCGCGTGCCTTTGGATATCGCGACCGCGGTTATCAATATACGCGTTTTTACGTTTGCTAACAAAGAAAGCTTAAATTCTCATTTCGCCAAAGTATCGCGAACGTAAGCTTCATCGTGACGGAACTATCATGCGTGAAAACTTTGCCCCGCTCTCTCTCTCTCTTTGCGCTCCCTCGGAGTAACCGGTTTCTGATTGTCGAATCTTTCCTCGTGCATTCGCGAATATTTCACTCGTAGATATCGATATTCCCGCATTTTCGCGACTTTTCAGACACGATCGCGAAAAGCGCCGTAAAAATCCGTTGGACGAGCCGATAAATTTTCACACGGTTTTTGCTCCTCGCCGATCGAGTTTATAGAGTCCGTTTCGCAGCGCGTAAAAATTTTCCACCGATGTCGACGTAAAACGTTCGTTAATTGACGCAAATATCGCCGCTCTAATAATATCGACCGCGTCGCGGAAATGTGGCGAAAGTGTAGCAATCAACGTGGGACGCGCTGCAAGATGAATGCTGCGCGACATGGAGAGCAGCAACGGACATGGGCGGACATTGGTGGATCTGGTTGGATGCAACGGGACATCATCAATATCATCATCGGTGAGCGTTTGACTCAATGCTCGCAGAGAGCTCTTTTATTATTACATTGTGCATGCTGCAAATTTGCATTGACTTTTGTAACGAAAAATATATTCCATGAATTGCCATATATATTATGGCCATATATTATTGTCATATATTGTTGCTATATATTGTTGCCATATATTGTTGCCATATATTATTACCATATATTACCATGTATTATCGCCATATATTATGGCCACTTGAAATCGCGCGAACAATCGAGAAAACTGCATTTGCCGATAATCGCAAAGGCACGCGGTAGACGTCACGGACGAATGACAGCAGCCCGTCTCAGGGCTGCCCGATAACAATGCTGTTGCTGCAATTTAACTTTAAACCACAGCGGCCTCCGGTCGCAGGAATCTTTCTATCGCGGACTAACCCCTCGAGCGGAATGTTCCCGGAGAAGCTCTCTTGACATAAACGCTGGTTATAAGCGAACTTGCTTCGTTAGGGCTTCGTCGCGGTATCGTCGTCGCGGAAAATAAGGAAAAAAAGAGTTAAACATCCGCACCGTTGTGAAAAGAGGGGCGATGGCGTCCCTTCGTGAGTAGAATGTTAAGCCCTTGCGAACGCGAGCGTTAAATTCCACCGCGGCTGTGAACGTCCCTCGACTAGTTTCTTCGCGGAAACTGAATTTTCATAACTTGCGCTTGATCGTGCGTTGAGACTCTATCGAGGGTGGGAGATTTTACCGCCGAAACCTTAAAGTGAATATAGCATCGTAGTTCCCCTTTCAAAATGGATGCAGATGGCGCCCTTTCCCAGTGCGGAAAGTCGGTGTCGCTGAAAACGCCGTGTTGGCCGCTCTCACGTTCCTCTCTGTTGGAAATAAAGATATGGTTGTCCCGTCTGAGTCATCTTACGACTTCAAGTTATCGATAGAAGTTGTTTAGTAGAGATTTGAACCTTTCGTCATGTTAGTTTCTTGAGTCTCTGCTAAATTACGCTAGGTAGGCTATTGGTCACGTTGAAGAATCTCGTTAGATGACACTAAGTAATCCGTTATATACTGTAGTAATTAACGAACTTCAATGTAAAAGAAAGAAAAGGACAGCATGATATGCCGGCGTTTACTTAACTAATGCACTATCTCATTTTACCCCATTGTTAACAGAAAACGAACGTATATATAGAATCTTTCAAAAGCGTACTCTATTCTTCTATTAAGCTTCTATAAGTTTCTCAATTTTAAAGGTTCAACATTATTCTCCCGTATTGTGCGTGATATTTAACCTCGTGATAACATTCTTTAATAAGAGATACTTCATTTCCATATTTCAAATATTTCCATCCATATTTCAAACTTTCGATTGTTTTGCGTGCATCTAGTCGAGCAATTAACCAATAAATCGTTTCAATCGGAAGATTCGCGTATCACTCGAATGGAGCGCTGTGTTTTATGTATCGATATCGATTTCGAGAATCTCAATCGTCGCAATCTTCAGTCAGTTTCGGGATGGTTCGCGACTCGTGCCGGTTCGGTCAACCGTTCTGTACTTTTCGGCTTGCCAAAAGTGAGTCTCACGGTCGGATCGTCGCCGGGGAGTGCCGAGAGTAAATTCCGCGCGCTTATCGCGACGAAGTGTCGTTAAACAGCCAACGTAAGTGGACATCTCGACCTCGAGAGTACCGAGCGGAACGTCGTCTATTGGTTACGGTTATGGCGACTCGAAGCTCAAATCGCTGCCCTTCGCTCTTGCGAGTGGCCGAAGAAGCGTCGCGCGCTGGGATCGTCGCTCCGGGAGTGAGTTTCGTGCGCTTGTCGTAGCAAAATATCTTCAAGTAACCACCGAAAATGCATGTCTCTCGCGATTGACCGCTGGCGATGCCAAGGTTTTGAGGTTACATCGTGTCCTTCGCGTTTTTATTGCGGCACCGTCGTCAATATTTCGCATATCGGAGTTACTCCGAGCATTTCAGTCGCTTTGGACTATGCAGATTTTAACGAGTACACGAGTCATCGCAGCCGTTGGCGTCGGGTGGCGAAGGAGCGTGCGTGCGTGCGCACGGCTATGTCCTTGCAGTACTTCGAGAATCGCAATCACACCGTTATACGATTGCAACTATATTCAGTATGCACAGGGCGCAACATGGCGCGGTAACACACGTATTCGAAAAGCCGTTTCGCGTGTGTCCTGGTCCCGCGGTGTCGCGACTCGCCGGATGCGAGTCTCGCGTGTAAATTATCGCCGTCGGGAGTGCGCGAGAAATAAGTTTCGCGCGTTCGTTGCGGCAAAATATCGCGACACGGTCGTTGAAAGTGAATATCTCGCGGGACGGGCTGTCGGGAGCGTGGATAGAATGGAATGTGGCATGTTCGCTAGGTTATGGCAGGGCGGAGGTTACTTTCAAATGGCTGCGTTTTATACTTTCGTCTCGCCGAAGGAAAAGTTGGTAAGTAACAATATCACAAGGATATCACAACGATATCAAGCTACTTTTCACTTCTGTTTTGTGTTGCGCGATCTTACGTTACATTAGCGCTACGTCTTTACCGAGATCAGAGAATGGATCAGAGAAAGGACAGATTGTGCGGAATAAGACGGTGATGAAAACAGCAGATTTATATGTGTTGTTAAACTTCCCGTATCATATGCAAAATGATCTCCCGGTTACAATTAATTTGGCACAATTATTCGAGTGCCGTGTAAGGAACTTTGTTTTTTAGCTCAGATATTACTTCACATATTGATCGAGCCTTAAACTCTGCATAACAGACAGAAAAATACGATGTGGGATAAGAACGGGGATTTCAGGAATATTATGGGCGAATTAGTTCTTTTTTCCTTAATAAGGGTAAGGCTTTCCCTTACAATATTCTTCCTCCGCTTTTAATACCCGTCAAGATGAGGGATGATGAAAGTTTACGGGAACGCCAAATGCGCTACAATAAACATGCCGTATATATCATTTCGCACAATATGAAACCTTACAGGTCATTGTTCTCGTTCGTTTGGGAATTCCCTTTTCGCGTTGCTCCGCGGAATGACTTTCGATCTCGTGCCGTTGACAGAACGGTCATCGGATCAACGGTCAACTCGGATGATTGAATAGCGACGCATTTTTTATAGATAAAATACGCCACACATTACATGCGATGTACATCGGAAAAGAAAAGATCCTGATGACCAATGACCGCCATTCCGCGTAGGCATTAGGGGCGAGTTATGGCACATAACACGTGCACGGGAGAAAAATCATCCTGCAGGAGAGGGTGACGAGGGCGAAGGCCGTTCTGTCGCGAACATTTATCACACTTAGGACCCGCGACTCATCCGCGAGATGTTACGTGGTATTAGACGGACGTGTAAGACGCGGCTCGCGGAAATGTCATGGACGAGAGCGTGTTCTCATCGTGTTCTCCGTCTCGTCCTCGCCTCGTGATTCCCGCGCGTGAGATTATCGCCGATGATCACCGATATCGACTAAGCTATACTCCGCTTATTTCTCTTCCGTTGTTTCTTCTTCCTCGTCCGGCCGGCGTCATTAAATGATCGTTTAACTCGCGGTTCGTGCAACTCGTAATCACACGTTGCCTGAGTCTATCAAGACAACGACGTTACCGAGACGTAACTTGTGCCGGACAGATGATTACCTGTAATTGCAATTATGTCTTCGTCGTTATTACCGTGACGCACCGTCGTTATTATCAGCGCGCGTTCGTTGAAAAATACAGGCCAATTTCCTTGGGCGGCGTTAACCGATAGAGAGGAGCACCGAATGTTGGGAAAGAGAACAAAATAGAGAGAGAGAGAGAGAGAGAGAGAGAGGGGGGGAAGGAATAAAAAGAAACCGGTTAATATTCATGGGTCAATCGTCGGCTTGCCGATTATTGTTACTTGCGCCGCTATTGTCTGACGTATCGTGTTGCCAGCCGACAATATCGACGGTGTAATGTCCAGCGGAGTAAATTCGGAGCACGCAGCTACGGTTGTGTTAATTAACTCTTTACAACATCACCAATTAAAAATCATAAACTGGATTCGAATGAGCGGAGCGGGACAAGCGGGCGAGGAGGGAAAGCAACGGGAAAATTCACCTGCGGGAAAACAGCGGAGGCGGCGGCAGCGGCGGCGGCAGCGGCGGCGGCGGCGGCCGTCGTGCCAGGGCGCCGACGCGGAGCGCGTCGCGTCGCGTCGCGGCGCCCGGCGCCGCTTCGGAGACGCTGATCATCGCGGCCACCGCCAGTGCACGTTCGTCTTGAACGCAAAGCGTTTCGCGTGGTTTCGTCGGTGGCTTTCTCGTCGCGGCGCCTGTGCGCTGAACACTCTCGGGAAAGAAGAAAGAACAAAAGAGAGAGAGAGAGAGAAAGAGAGAGAGAGAGAGAGAGGGAGAGAGAAAAAGAGACACGGCACACTGTGTGTGCTTGTTGTGCGGCATGACGTCGGCACGACGTGCGTGACGAGGGGATCGGCGAGTCGAAAGGATAAAAAGAGAGAGAGAAAGAGTCGCGATTACTATGCGAGTCGTCGCGGTCGTCGTCGGCGTCGCGGCGAAAGTTTCCGTAGATCGATCGTACCAGCTTCCGCAGCATTCCTCGATACCGATGGCAGCGGCGGTTGTCATCCCCTTTTCTTTCAATCCCTAACACCGTTGACGCATCACGTTTCACGCTGACGCGCCTCCGCGAACGCTCGCGTGCGTCTCTGTGAACAACCGGACGGAAGTTCGTGTAGTTCGCGAGGAGCTCGCTCGAGGAGCGACATACCGCAGCCGGCGATATGTTGGCTGATGTGCGAGCGTACGATCTATAACTCGCGCGGTTCTGTAACAACAGGTGCGACACATTTAAATCCCCTATAAGTGCGTGTGATAGCTCGTTCGCGAGTCGCGAGTCGCGAATCTTTCGTACGAATGACGAACGGACGAGAACGGAGGGACGAAAACTAAGGGCCCCGTCGCTCTCGCTTGCCCGAAGACAAGCGGTTCTGTTTGCGAAAGATCTCTCGAAGAGGGCCTGTCGAGGACGCATAGCCGACGGCACGCGAATTTCCTCCGACGTATCCTCGCGCGTTATACCGCGCGCTCGCGCACTTGTTGCTATTAAAAATCATTTCCCCCGGAATTTCCCTCCGGAGATGAAGATCTCTCGCGGAGTGCTCGCTCAAGTGCGAGCGCCAGCGTGTAAAACATCGCGCATTGACGAACAACAACCACAGACGTGTTGTACTCCCTCCTAACTGCGCTGGCGCGCATGTTTTCATAATGCGCTGACATCGCGGCTCCTGATTGCCGTCGATGCACCCGTCGGGAAATATTCCCGTACGTCCCCTGACGAAAGAGAGTCGCGTATCTCCTTTGCGCGCGACCGCCGCCCGGCCGGCGGCTCGCAAATGTCCTCTCGCGTTTCTGTCGACAGACGACATCTGTCGAAACGCGGCGATGTGGACGCGTCCGGCGTATTTCCGAGTTGGCAGGCATGCGTGTGCGCGCGCGTCCGCACATGTGTGTGTGTGTGTGTGTGTGTAATTTAAGCGCGTCGCAAGCCAGTCCGGTGCTCCTCGGACGAGTCCCTTTGACGAGTCCCGTCTCATAGCCACCATCGCATCGCCACTGTCCTGTGCGACGAGCTCTCGTCTGTTTACAGATCGGCGTGTGCACTTCGCGACGTGCTCTCGCACGCTGCTGGGATCCTCGGACGAGCCGCTTCGCGCTGGCTCGGCTCATTTCCGCGATTTCCGCGCACCGCCCCGGCCCCGAGTGCCGTCAGGGAGCAGCCCGACGTGGCAGGCCGCTCCGTTTTCCACAGCGGGGATGACGACTCTCGACTCCCCTCGTGAGACTCGAGTTACATCGCAGCGAGAATGGGGATGTGCTTTCGGTTCACGTCGGTGCTCTTCGATGACTCTTTGCGAGAACGTCTGCTCGTTGGCGGGCGCATTTCAGCATCCACAGAAGTTTCCCTCGTTGCCAGGGACCTCGCGAGATTTTCTCGCGAGCTCGTGGAGCGAAGAGCATCCCGGTAGAGCGGGCGATTTTCAATACGCACGTATTATAATCCTTACGCTGTTCGATAACGTGAAAATAATAATGGGGATGTGCTTTCGATTCATGTCGGTGCTCTTCGATGACTCTTTGCGAGAACGTCTGCTCGTTGGCGGACGCATTTCAGCATCCAGAAGTTTCCTTCGTTGCCAGAGACCTCGCGAGATTTTCTCGCGAGCTCGTGGAACGAAGAGCATCTCGGTAGAGCGGGCGATTTTCAATATGCGCACATAATCCTTACGCTCTTCGGCGACGTGAAAATAATTATCGGATACACGCCTGGCAGCCAAGTGGCGAGAGTATGGTCTGTAAATTATCTAGATTTTGTTTACTTTGCGCTCTTCAGGCACGCTTAACTCGATCCACGTTGTGAATATCTCACGTGCGTTTTTCTCCACGAATCCGGCGAAATCGGTTTTCGGGCGAGGACACGAGGACGACCGTTCGTTTTGCGGCGCGGCTCGGCGCGAATTTCCGATTAAGCTTTACTCGCCGAGCCGAAGACGTGCGAGCTCGTTTCCATCGTCTTTCGTTCGCAGTTCATCTCTGCTTGGGAGCTTATCCCAAGCTTATCATTCACGCACGCCGCGGCCTGTTTCGACGGCGCAACATCCCGAGATCGTTATCCCTCCGGCCGGACGTCATCCCGATGAAATGGGCGCACGCGATACTCCGGCGAACGGCGGCCGGTGAAATGTAGATAGGAAACGGCCCGTTTTTCCCCTCGGACGTGCCCTGGACGTCACTCAACGGCGCAGATCGCCGCGATCGCGTCTTACGTCTCGCCGGTCGCTCTTCCGCTCGATGAACAGCCCATAGCTCGCGGAAAGGAGCGAAAACTCGGGGAGCGGCGGCGCTTTCTCTCGCGCGCGTGTGCAACAAATCGCCGGATCGGATGAGCTGCTAAACGAACACGTGAGATTGTGACGCTTGTGGAACGAACCGAAAAAAAGAGGAAAGACAGAGAGAGAGAGAGAGAGAGAGAGAGAGAGAGAGAGAGAGAGTGCGATGGACAACCTCGTGCGTGGCTCGTAATCGTGCCGGAAAGACAGCGAGTACGAGTGCTCGACGACGACGAGGAGACGGTGGAGGAGGAGGAGGAGGAGGACACATCGACGGACGAGCGACGGGCCGTCGAGATCGAGAGGGCCGAGAGCAAAATGAAGGCCCCGTTGCTCCTGTTGGGCGGCATTGTTGTATTGTCGCTCGCGGTCGCGAGAGCTCTCTCGTGTGTGTGCTCGCCGCTCGAGTGCGACGTTCTCACCAACGACGACTGCCCCGGAGGCCTCATCTGGGACCCGTGCAGGTACGCGCCCAGTACGGCGTTTATCCGCTTGTCGTCGGTGCGAGGCCGCGACACTCCGGGTGGAGCGGCTCCGGCTGAATTCCACTTGGCGATCGCGCCCTTACGTGGGACGTTTTGCCGTTTTTTTTTTGTTTAACAGCCGGTGAAGAGACGGGGATAGAGCGACGCTCGATGCGATCGCCAAGTGGAACTTGGCCTCGATAGCTCGATGGTCACGTCGACGGGCTGTTCCTTGAGACCGTCTTAACTGTCCGTCGCGCGCGCGTCTCCCGTCGTCTCACCCAGGAGGGCTTTGTTTCACCCCTGGGAGAGATGCTTTAGATTTTCTCGCCGCATCCTCGCGGGATCGTATGTGAGGTTCATCTGTTGAAACGAGCCGAACCATTCGCGAGATTCGCCAGGCTCGCGCGCGTGGCGGACCGTTTTTGCAGTGGGCGCGATTAAGTTATTTTAACCTCCATCGCAATCATCAAAGTTCGTTGGAACGATTTAGAGCGTAAACGAGACCGATGGAGCGCCGGCGGACTCGTTGGAACGCCACGATATTCGTGTAATTAGCGCGCGATTGCGCGTCTTATAAAATTTTCTGCTCATACCATGCGAGGGTATAGCAGTAATTTTCGCTATATCTCTGTAAAGTCGGGCTCTTTGTGTTCGGTCAGCTGATTGTGTTCCACCATGCGTCTTGTAATTAGCCGCGTATAGTGAGCAATTAAAATACGCGCTACAATAAGGGCTTCTACCCATATAATTTTTTTTCCAGTAGACAGTAAAGTATCTCTCTCTCTCTCTCTCTCTCTCTCTCTCTCTCTCTCTCTCTCTCTCTCTCTCTCTCTCTCTCTCTCTCTCTCTTTCTCTCTGTGTTGTTCATCCGCCTTTGTGCGCTTTCTGCACGAGTTTCGTTTCCGCGATTCATTGGCGGGGAATAACGAGATGAGCGCGCATGTACTACTCGCCTGCGTTTCATAGTCGGCCATAAGATAAAACATACACGTCGCAAAAGGATCGAATGCGCTAAGAGTGGTGCAATTCCGAAATGTTCTGTTACGCGATAGCGTTTATCATCGGCACGTTCGGTACCCACACGTAGTCGACATGTTGCGAGATCCATGCCCTTGGGTCTATTTTCGCTCGCCTGTGCATACAAGCGCGTGCGAGCATTGTTACGCCGCTGCATACACACGCGTGTACCGCATAAATTCGAACGAGAACTACTGTCCGTGTGCACCTGAGTTTTAGGCGCCCGCCGTATTTTACCGATACGTACGAGTGACCTGTGACGCGGAACATATCAGTCGCCGCTCGTAAATGATATCGCGAGACGCTGGAATAATGCAGATCTGAATCGCGCCGGATGGATTTAATACGTCGGACGAAAGGAAAATCCGCAAAAAGGCTCTTTCTCTCTTTCTCTCTCTCTTTTTCAACACACACACACACACACACACACACTGCCTCACTCGAGTAAATAACTCGCATTAACATCGCGACGGGGTTATAGTCGGCGTTTAAATACGGCGTTTAGATACGGCGCGCACCTCGTCCTATCATAATCTGTATTCATTTCATAAATTAGCCGTGAAGAAATAACGTTATCATTAATTATTATTAGTACGGCAAAAGGTGCATTAATGCGGGCGTAAAGTATAACATATCGCGATGTACGTATCGCATGATGAAGCGCCTCACGAGTCGCGATCTCGCGAATAACCGGCGCCTTTTCCATACGAAACAGGGGTGGGCATAGGTGTATCCTCTTTAAGGAATATTTGCGAGCAAATTCCAATATAAATCCTGCTCTTGGCGCGTACGCGCATAAGGCACGATCGATGGAGGGGGGGGGGGGCCGCTCGTCGTGCGCGCGCGGTAGTCCCCGACAACAATGCACTGTAAAATCAGATCGATGCGCGTGTCGATGGGTGGGTGTCGCGATGAGTATATTTATGTAGGGCGAAAGGAAAGAAAGAGGAAAAAAGCGCTGCGCCTGCGGTGCAGCGACGCGAGAGACTAACCCATTTGTCGCGGGAAACGACGTCAGAACTAGATTCGTGGATTCGATTTTTCTCCTCGTGGCGTGCGCATTCGCGATGCGTCTGGCTCGCGGACTGGAGAGAAATTAAGTTTCCCCGGACGCTTAAGCGATGCGCCGACGTCGAAGTTTCCGCGGCGTAACGGAGCCATAAAAGCGAAAATCTCGGCATAAAAGCGAAGTTAAGCGCGATGTAGGTCAATCTCGATTAGATATCGCTGTTAGATACGTACTCGTGGAGACTGCTTCGACGACGCTCGTAACTCGAGTCACTTCGGCTCAGGTGTACCGCACGACTAATCAGAGGGCCTCTCATCTTTTCCATATTCTTGAGTGGAGGACGGATAAGCGAACGGCGGCTCTTCGAATAGCGGGCTTCTCCCGCGGCGATACGATAGTCGTGGAGATACTCAGTCGTGCGACTGAGAGATCGGGAGAATTCATTCCCCCGCCGTTCCTTTTTCTCCCGATCTTTGCGATCGGGAAAGTTACTCGCGAGATGAACAATTTCGATGTAATTGCTTTTCGAGACGCGAGACGAAGATCGGTGCGAGCGTGCACGCGCGCGCGCGCGTGTGCGCTCTGGAATCGAATAAGAATTACCGTCGGATTGAGCGCGACCAGATCGACATGTGATTTATGGCGTTGGATTAAATAGAGAAAACGTCTCTCGCGCGAATGGAAGGATCGAATACGCGAGTGAAGTCACAAATCGAAATGTAAGGGGAGAGACACTGGCGTTACCGGTAAATTCTCTTTAGGGGCGATTTACTCATCGGATCACAAGGGCGGCTTCCTAGCGTAATCCACGTGAGACTTTGGAAAATCTTCATACTCGCGCGTGCAACCGAAAAGTTTATATATCTGAGGAATATTTCACTTTTTTGTTTATTTATTGTTTCTCTCCTCGCGCCTCAATATATATTATTTTGTCGTGCGTATATATCCCCGATATTTCACCGTACGCGCGATAATATAGTCGCGCGCGCTGATACGTACAATATGCTGATTCGAAAATGTCGGAATTGAATTTCAAAAGGAGCATCGCGCGTGCACGAGAATGGGAAAAGAATTCTCCGGAGTAGCCTCGGACAGTTATAGCATCTTCCCCGAAGGACCTTCGCGAATTCAATCGGTGTACCTAATGTTTATAGCGCTGTGGAATTTCCGAAAGGGAAGTTCTTACGAGAGTCTCTCTATAGGAAAAAGAGAGAGAGAGAGAGAGAGAGGAGAAAACCGGCGGCCATCGTCGTCGAAACGTTTCGACATGATAGCCGAAAGATAGTCGGGTAATTTCAATGACGATACATGGAGGTAGCTTGACGACAACGACGACAACGGCGATGAGGAGAAGGAGGAAGTTATACGCATCGAACGCCGTGTGTACGGCGAGAGAGTGTCTCCTTATGCAAATTTTTCCAGCATCGACGGGACGAGACGAGCCAAGTCGTCCGGGCAGCTGGGGCAATATCGCGGATCATATCGGCGGCGTGTCGATAAATTGTTGCCGTCATTAAGCCGACCGCAACGCGGCCGTTAGGCGCGTTACCTTTTTATATGCGAGTCCGCTCGCAGCCTCCATTCCGTGTTATTCCGTTTCATACGGGCCGCGCCCGACATCGATAGCACGATACGAGAGACAGAAAGAGAGATGTCCCGGTGCAATTTCGCGGACGCGGCTGCCGTACGCTCGCGCGTTAGCTACGTTCGAGCGGCAGCTACATCCGCGTACGTAACGCATTTCAATGGAACGCCCTGCCGTTCTTCTCGTAAAATCCCAGCGCGACGTTAAACGCCGGTACCAGGCTGTACGGAATCTGAATAAGCGTGCAAGCCGTTGTTTCAATCGCGCGCGCGCGCGCGCGCGTTCCACGCATGCGATCGGGAAGTCGCACGAATCTCGAATGTAATTTCACCAGCGGCGTTGCCGGCGTCGAAAAAGGTCGCATTACGATTTCGACGGTGAATCGCTGGGAAAGTGCTCGCTCTGCGCGTCGCCTCCGATCTCCGATGAAGAGAAAGACAGAGAGGGGCAGGGGGGAGAGAGAGAGAGAGAGAGAGAGAGAGAGAGAGAGAGAGAGAGAGAGAGAGAATTCATCGCGCACTCCATCCTAAGTAAATCGAGTAATCTCTGGTGCACTTGACGATATTTCGAGAACGCCGCGGCGACATTGTCGCCTGCGGTTATTGTGCGCGCGGGAACACGGAGAATTATTTCTCGTTGTGCTCGACTAAACCCGCCGCGACCCCTTTTTCACCGGACGTCGCGATCGAGAGTTTGAAACTCTCGTTTGCTTGAAATATATATTCATCTCTTCAATCGCGGCGAAAGAGAAAAAAAGGAAAATCGATCGGGCTTGTAAAGCGGGCGATTCGCGGCGCATTCCGCGATATTTCGCAGACCCGTACTGTTTTGCGCGAGCCATTGTGGACTGTTCCTTTTTCTACCGCGGCAAAACACGATTGGATTCGCGAGAGACCCGCGCTCTCGCCGGAAATTGGTAACACGCGGCCGCGCATTTTTCCGCGATATATACATATATATACGTATATATAATGACATATATGACATATATGTATACAAGGGATCTATGTATATGTGTGTGTGTGTGTGTGTACGTCACGAGTGCCACAGAGTAAGAGTACGCTGCTCGATGGCGTATCGGGAATTTATTGAGAAATGTTTAACATGCAACGCCATAGTCGGATATTGCGCGGCGGATTCCGGTATGCGAATTAGGAATCGCCAGTAGGAACAAGTTGTTCTTTCCTTGCCGCATGCAGAGGCAGGTAGTGGCCGCGCGTCATTATTCTTCGTCCAACGGCTCGCGCTGCGATCTATCATCATGAACACATATATGACGACATTAATCGCAACAAGGATTATGAGATAAATTTGCGACGCGTCTTGGGACACGCGAGGTATAATCCATATTCCTCGAATGAATTATCCCTCGAAGATTACAGCAACGTGTATCAAGTAACGAGGCGGGACAATCGTAAATGCGTACACTGAGTTTCACAAGAGTTTGAAACACTTTTCTTTGTTTGTGAATATATAGCTCGGAATGCGAACGACGGTCCAACGAGGGAACTTGTCCCCAAGAAACTCGCGGAAGTTAAGTTCTCTCATTGGACATCTGCTGCGTTCCAAAGTGCATTCGAAAAAAGGTGTCCAAACCGTTTCGAAGCGTTATCCAGCGCACACTTATTTGCGAAATGCTTTCCTCACATTTTGTCCGATGAAAGTTAAAGGCACGTTGAATGGATCACGATTGCGATTGTCGCCTATTCGTCGACTCGCGCGGTAATCGATTGTCAGGATCCGAAATGATAATATATGAGACATTCGATGTCACAACTTCACAACTTCAACGATTCACAAGATTCAGGGTAAACGCAATTATCCTTTTATTAGATCCTTATCTGTCAGATAAGAGCCAATATTTACACGGTGAACCACCACATTGACTCTTACCGTAGTCGATTATCGCGGAAGCCGGTAAACAACGGCCGGTAATTGCGGCCATTTGAAGCGCTTCTAACTTTATCGAAAAAATCTGTGAGAGCCGCTTCGCAAAGCGAGCGTCAGCATAGACACGTCTTCGTTTCTTTCATCTTTATAAATTCTGTACATCGCTGTATGTTTCCTCAAAGATACTTTATACGCTGCAACTTAATACACGTGAACGTGTAATTATCGTCGATTACGTTGCCCGACACCGCGGCGGCGTATCCATCGCATTTTATCACCGTACTTTCTAAGCTCTTCGTTACTTTCTTCTCCGTGTCAGCTGCGTTCTAGCGTCATACAGGTATGCGCGGGACTGGAAGGTACATAGGAGTGGATTGTTTCGCGGAAAACAGCAACGAATGCAGCACTAAAAGAAGAAGGCTCGCCTCGTCGTCCTCGTCGAGACGACGTAATAAAATTCCTAGCCGCGGTTGACAATTTTCCGTGAGATTATTTTCCGTGCGGCGCACCGCAGTCCGCGCCTTGGGATTCCATTCGTTGCCCTTTTTTCTGCCCCGTGCGGAGCTTCGTAAGACTATGCTCGCCATGCCGCTGAACATGTACGCACGCGCAAGTCACATATACTTGCGCACAACGCGCGGACTTTTCAATTTCTTACATTTCGATTCTATCAGGTTTCCTTGAGATAAAAATGCAAATATCACTGCACACCTACGGCAAAATCCCGGTGTATCGGATTGTAAATTTCGCGGTGATATCACATACGAGCGTCGACGTTCGAGTCGAGTGAAAGATGAACGTTAAAATAATTCGACGAGAAAGAAACCCGTCTTGCCCGTCAACGACCATAAATATCGCCGAAGAAAATGTTTCGTCGGATTATTGTCGAGTTGGTTTTTCCTCGATATGTGCCGTTAAAACTGCCACTCGAAGACGCCGATATATGCGAAGCTTTAAATATAACGCAGATCCATCTTACGCGAAAGAAAGCTGATAGTAGCAACAGAGGGGAAGAGAAAGAGAGAGAGAGAGAGAGAGAGAGGGGGGGGGGACTTAAAATTATGTTTTACGAACGTAAAACGTAATTTATTATATTATTATATTAATTATATTAATTAATAAGTAAAACACTGAAATCCTCATAATATGTATACGCAGAATCTATTCTCTCGCTTTTACACGTCTTGCGTATTTCAGAAGCGTCTCGTTCGGCGTGCCCTCTCGCTCGGAAGTGGTATTTTCTGATAAATGTGAAAACGAGCTTACAACGCTTCTCGGAGCTAATGGGTTCATATCATTGTCTTCCCCTTTCCCACTTGCGTTCCCCAACATCCAAGCTCGCTTTCGAAGAGAGAAAGAGAGGCGGAAGGAGAGGTACGAGAGGCGGGATTGTATCTTTTTGTCTTGCGTGTAAGCAAGATCTAAGGCGGATATAAAGCCGCTATAAAGCCGTTATAAGAAATGCTTTATATCTTTAAAGCGCCTGTATCCTCTTGTCGCGCCCGCAGGATTTCTTACGAGGGTACAAATGGCCGCGTATTCGAATCGACGGAGACCGGCTGGTGCCGACCGATGCACATATAACTGTTGTTCTCTCTTTCCTTCTCTTTTCCCCCTTCTCTCTCTCTCTCTCTCTCTCTCTCTCTCTTTCTCTCTTTTTCTCTCTATCCCGCTCGCTCGCTCGTTTCGTCTGTCTTATCGTTTCATGCTATATACGCCAGAAACAATTTCCCGCCGCTTTTTTCCGCCGTGCGGGGGCAGAAGAGAGGAAAAAGGATCGAGAAAGGAACGGAAGAAAGAAAGGAAGGAAAAAAGAAAGAACAAGGGATCGCGGCTCGATGATTCACCGGCCACAGGGAGTTGGATATATATCGCGCGAATGAATGTTACGAGCAAGCAACAATGGCGCGTAACGAAAGCTAATAATACCGTTCGCTTATGTATCGCGCCGAGGCCAACTTTTCCCCTCTCTCTGTTGGTAACGCGCGCGCAAAATACAATTCCGCACGGCAACGAGAGAATTAATTAAAAAACCCTTTTTCTCCCGGCTTGCAGGAAAATATCACGAACAATAAAGACACGTCGAGCGCGCGATCGTCGGTCTATAATTATAGCTTCCTACTCGAGTTGCTTTATCGGCTTCTAGGCGCCTCCATCGCGCAATTTAATACTTGCGCGTGCATCGACGAACGTGTTCTCCGCGTCGCTATATTTATTCCGCGCGTATGCGCGTGTGTGTGTGTATGTGTGTGTGTTCACACTGACGGACAGAAAGATTGGCCGTCATTTTTTGTATGAATTTCGGAACGCACCCGTCCGCTTCGTTGATGAATTTGTCCTCTATCCTCTAACGGGAGAAGATAAACGCGTTCTGAAGCACATAATAAGATAATTACGAACGATGCTTCGGTCCACGATCGTACGCGCGGTGAAAGAAAGGCCAGTTAATATTAGTAAAAACTGTAGTTATCTTTGGCTCCAACTGCAGTCTTTTCTGTTGTCTCTATAGAAAAGAAAGCAGCGACAGATGTATCGTGCGTATCGTGCGTATCTGTTTATTATCTCTGACACCGTAGTGACACTCGCTCGGCGAAAATAGTTCTCCCGGCTATAATTCTTTCACTGTGCGATTATACAAATAGCTCGCTGAGCTCTCTCCTCGCAGTGCGTGAGATCACGTCAGATCGTATGTTCTCCGTGTTTGCAGATGCTGCAAAGTATGCGCGCGCGTGGAGGGTGAGCCCTGCGGCGGCCTCTTCGGCTTCTCGGGGAGCTGCGCCGTCGGTCTGCAATGCGTAATCGTGAATCTGCTGCACCGCAGCCGGGAAATGGACGAGGGTGTCTGCACAAGTAAGTATTTACGGCAGGATTTTGATGCAGAATCGAGGAAACCGAGCAATGTACGGCGGCGTACCGTGTGCCGTGGCTCGTCATGAAAATAAAATGTAATCACTTACGCGCGCTCCGAGCCGAAGAGTTTTGCGAGCGCGCGCGATACGGTTACAACCTACCGATAGAAATGCTAAAGACGCCGGCGCCGTGTGATACCGTGTCGCACGCTCCGCGCCAACTTGCCGCGGAAATATAACGCCAATCGCCGCTAATGGAACCGCGCGCGGGACACTTTTCCGTTTCTTATTTCAACGCTAAATTGCATTAACGCTGAAGCGTCACTCCCGCAATTCCGCGTTTCGTTGCATTTCGCGGCAACGTTTCTCGCAACGCTTCTCGTTGCCGTTTGTTCCGGTGAAATTCGCGGCCTGGAGTTTACACGTTTACGCGACGCTTCCGCGGTCGAAAATATTCCTTTTTTTTACACGGCGGTATTAACAGTTTTACGTGCATATAATTTTTTCTCTCTCTCTCTCTCTCTCTCTCTCTCTCTCTCTCTCTCTCGGCGTATCGAGGATCACTCACGTATATTCCTCAGCGCGTATGTTCGCGATAAATGTACAGAAATAACACGATTGATTGTTTTCGTCGCAAGTAGGAAAGCGAGCGGCAGCGGTGGCGGTGACGGCGTTCACATTTAATAAGCGCAAAATCGACAATAAATCTCCGCGCGGGAATGTTCGGTGTATGTGCGCGATTATATCGCGAATGTTTGTTTCATCATCCCTTCGGTTTATATCCTACGGAGATAATTGGACAGCTTGCGTTGTTCCCGGATATAATTGGACAGCTTGACGCAAACGGAACTGATCATCGATGACGAGTGATGATTGTATATCTCCCAGTTGTATTTCGCAATTTTAACATGTATATATATATGTGTGTGTGTGTGTGTGTGTGTGTGTGTGTGTGTGTGTGTGTGTCAAGAGTGTGAAACCATGTCAGCAAGACGGATATAAAAGCGAATGTTTGCCACCTATTAATCGATATAGATTGGAGGCAACTACGGCAGACAATGGTTCTTTGACAACGGTGTATATATTTTTGGAAGCGTATGCTTTTTAATACATAAACCATTTCGAATGATTAATTAAACGCACTCGAGAACCCGTGCTACTGCATCCGCGCGGAGCGTTCCTTGCTTTTTCCGCTCCCCTTCTACGCGACATCCACTTTACTTTTTCCGATATGCGGCAAGGTCAAAGTGGGGTAATTGAGGCCGTTAGTTATATGGAACAGCATAATGATAAAATCGATAGTTGCTGCTGTGAAGTAATTAAAAAACACGCGTGGCACGCGTGTATTAACGGGGCGATATTTCCTGAGAGCCAATGTTCAGCCGGCGATATCGAGTCCGTAGCAAAGTCCGAATACGTGGAAATTCCACGGTGTTAATACACGTGGTGCGCGAGTCGCGGGCTTAAAATTTATATGATGCGAGCAGCACTTGTGCATGTGAAGTATGTACGTATACCGCGCGCGTACTATATTAAACTACTCTACATCGCAGTAGATTTACTAAATGCAGGCTCGCATATGCACACGTACAGACGTACACATTTACACACGACGTCGTCGTCGTCGTCGTCGTCGTAGTCGTCGTCGTCGTCGTCGTCATTTTTATACGCGCGACTTCTTCCCACTCGCTCGAATTAAAGAATGTCACGACGGTCGAGGTCGGACGGGAAGAAGAATCGCTCTGCCGTACTTTCTGGAAACTTGGCCGGGACTCTCAAAATGGTAAAGCCAGTTTAGACAAAAGTCATGTTTGCGTGAATACATTACTTTTCACTTAGAAATTTTCCGTCGCGCCTCCCGTATGTGCCACGTATTGACCTCGTTTCCATCCGGGAATACTGATTCATTGTCGTTGCACGTGAATCTTCGTGGCGCGCGTGTCGAGTTACTCAAAGAATTCGCGTTGCATCTGTGTATGTATGTACATATACGCTACGTGCTTACGTGTAAAAGCAGCTGTTGTGTATAATTACTACATGAAAATTCGACACAGCGCGCAACTCGGCCGGTCTCGTCTCCCTGTCAATCGACAGCAGTCGAGAATCGGTTTGCGAGTACGCTCGCAATCGCGTTAATTACAGCGGCAATTTGCTGCTGGATTATTTTCGTCCCTTAGTCGTTATATCTGGTCACGTGTGTGCAGCGAGGAACTAATTTCCCTTCGTGTCCACATGGTCGAAACAGATAAGCCATGTGAATATAACCTCAATGTGAAGCTCTCCGCGATAACGTCAGATCGGCGCACATCAAGGTATATTACTGCAGAACGCTCCATCATATATCTTTTGTTTTCGACCTTAAAACTGATAGAGTTTTAAGGTTGAGCCCGATCCGCGCGCGCCGTAACCCGTTATTATTCGTCGTAAAACGAACGGGGGAAAAATTCCGGAATGGGGATTAACCACTCACTTGGAGAGAAACTGCACTTCCCGTACAATCATTTATTTATGCGCGTTTGAAAGTTGATAATTCTGAAACATCCTGTCGACATTTTACACAGGGACGCTGGTGGCTGCGCAGCTTTTTTAACTTTTTTCATAAAGTTACTCGAGAAGAACTCTCTTATATTTCGTAATTATCATTGAACGTGAGTCTGGGCGGGACAATGTTTAACGATTCTTTGATCTGATTTGCGTATTATCGGTAATTACTTCGAAAAAGGATGCTCGCTTTCATTTTCCGATTCATTGAATAATCGACTCGCAGATGCACGTTCTGCAGGCACGACCCTTATTCAGTTTCACCGTGGCTCCTTGTAAACCTTCTCTTTTTCCTCGCCTTTTCCGTTGGCTCGGTGTCCTTTGGCTCCTTTGAAAGTTCTTAACACTCTGAACAGAATCGTGCCGGCGGTTCTAAAAGTGGGCGATCCCGCACTGCTCGCGAATCTAATTGAGCGATTTTTGAACTTGTTATAACTCGGATTTTCCAAACTTTGGTCAAGCGACGATTTCAGAGACTGTGCTGGAAAAAGGAAGTAATTAAGAGCCACTGAGAGACACACACACACACACACACACACAAGATATTTCCACGAAAAATGTTCCGGGGTCTCAAGGAGACTCTAAGCGTGTTGCGCGGATAAATTTACTCCGGTTCCGATGCCAATTAACCATTTGTGTGAAATTTACCCGTTGTGGTCATAACAGGTGAAAATTTAATTAAATAACTCGGTTAATGAATTAGGGTAAAGCAAACCTAACCTATATCGGCCCGATAATAGTAATAACAATATATAATAATGAGTTTAATTAAATACAGTGGTATTGCTATAAAATTGCTATAAAATTGCTAGTTCGGGATTGGAATTAGTTTCCGCGTTATCGCGATTATAGCATCTTTTTGAGCGGATTAATATAAATTTCAGCTATTCGAGAAGCGTTAAAATACAATTTAAATACAATCGCTCGCATCGCCGGCCGCGAATTCGATGATCCACGCGGTACACTCCTCCATCCGCGCCGCGTCATTTCGAAATGACCGCGATAATTGTCAGGAACGAGAGATACAGGAAGGATAATACTGACGTGTTTACCGTTTCGTATTTTATTAACAGACTCGTCGGCGCGAAGCGGACGCGCGTCGAGCGTCGCCGTCGCTCGCGATGGCGAGGTGCCAATTTGGTTGCGCGCAACAGCCACGCGAATTTTCACCCGAGCGGAACGCATTCGACCGGCCCTTTTGAAAGCGCACGGGGGACGAATCGAAATACGAAATCGTCAATATTTGGTTCGCATTAACGACACGCCGGGCGCGATATCACTTTCGCGCGATGCGTCGCGCGAATTCGCACGTGCGTCGCGCGCGCGCGAGCGAGCGAGCGAGCGAGCTAGCTTTCGGCTGCGCGTCGAGCCAAAATACGACGGCGAGTTCTAGGTTTATCGACCAGCGCGGGAACAAGCATAGCTGTTTAACGGGAAATTTGACTTGGAAATTTCGCCGGGCCGGTCTCGATTCCGAAATTTCGAGCGAGCCGAGTTTCGCCGCGTCGCGCGTTTAAACGCGCTTTTTTTTCGTCTCGTCAAACGGTGACGCTTTTGTTCATCGCGCCGCGGAGGCGGGCGCGAAGTAATTCGTTTCGCGGCTTTTACACTTGAATGATGAACTCGACACGTGAAAATGGATGCACTTGTTCCGAGAGCAATATATCCGACATTTATGATGCTTCACGCTCGCTATTCGCATTATGCTACATGCTATCGAATGTGAATTCATTATATTTGTTTGACGCCACACTCTCAACGCGGGACTGTTACTTCGACAGCCGTCATACGGGGAAAGATATCCTATGTCAATTTCGTATCGTGCATTACACCTCGAAAATTCTCACGTCGCTATTCCGTCGGACTCGTTAAGTTTTCGCTTGCGTTTACCTTTTACGAAATAACGTCACGCTCGGGTAATATCGCGTTGATTATCTGGAGTACCCAATATGTATATTTCATTCTTTAAAGTACATTTGTCTCGGCCGAGAGAGAGGGAGAGAGAGAGAGAGAGAGAGAGAGAGAGAGAGAGAGAGAGAGAAGAGGGAACAGACACATTTGGGTGATATCGGTGCCTCTATTTATCGTTCCTTGTACCGTCAGCTGAGTTTCGGAAGTAATCTGCGAGATAGTACCTCAAGGCTATAGTCCTAATATCCACTTACGTAACAGCTGATACGTACCGCAGGTGACGTCTGAGTACGCTCTAAGTACTACTTGATGGCTGTTCGCACCGAGAATCAGTACTGTAAAATTAGTTACGCTGTTCCCTCCTCTCTCTCAAAGCGGAGGAAGTACCGTTTCACGTACAGAAAGGCGGCAAAGTGTCGCTTGTCGGAACTCGAACTCGAAACTGTCTTCAACTCGACATTTCTGCGAACTTTGACACCGGCATTTTGGAGCGCACAATAATAGCTGCTTGCGCATTATCTTCCCATTACTATCTTAAAATTGCTAACT